TATTTATTTTTATTAAAGCTGTTTTTTTTTTTTAAAAAAAAAAAGAGGCGTGGCCAAGGGGCGCTGGTAGAGTCATCAGTAGCTGACCCTCCGCCTCCCGTGGGACGTGGTAGCACAGCGGTAAAGAGCGTGCACCACAAGTTAAAGATCCCGGGTTCGAAACCCGCTGATCAAAAGCAGATTCGGTTCAATAAATGGCATAAGGCCGCTTGGGTGTTCATATACATGAACACTTAGTTGTCCTTTTGCTTAACTGCTCTAAAATGACCTCGCAAACGCGAATATGAATTTTCATAACGTGATTGTAAAACAATTTACAATCATTTGTGATTTTAATTTTCATAACAATTGTTTGTGAAAAAAAAATGCCAACCAATGTTATGAAAATTACAACTGATTTTTTTAACAGTGCACTGTTAAAAAAATCAGTTGTAATTTTCATAACATTGGTTGGCATTTTTTTTCACAAACAATTGTTATGAAAATTAAAATCACAAATGATTGTAAATTGTTTCACAATCACGTTATGAAAATTCATATCATGTTATGAAAATTCATATTCGCGTTTGCGAGGTCATTTTAGAGCAGTTGAGCAAAAGGACAACTAAGTGTTCATGTATATGAACACCCAAGCGGCCTTATGCCATTTATTGAACCGAATCTGCTTTTGATCAGTGGGTTTCGAACCCGGGATCTTTGACTTGTGGTGCACGCTCTTTACCGCTGTGCTACCACGTCCCACGGGAGGCGGAGGGTCAGCTACTGATGACTCTACCAGCGCCCCTTGGCCACGCCTCTTGAGCTAGTTATGAAATTTACAATCGGATTCGGAAAATTACTATTGTGTGCTCAAAATCAACATTTAAGATTCGCAATTTTCAGAACATGGTTTTAAAATTACCAACAATTGTCAATTTTACGAAATTGTTTCGAATTTTCGCATCAAGTTATGAAAATTGCAATGTTTGTAAAATTCACATCCGTATTCGTAAAATTGTCATCAAAATTGCTTTGAAAATTCATAACTTTTTTAACAGTGTGCTTGAGGTAATACAAACAACCATGGACATTGCTAACATACACGGCCGCCTCGACGCCAAGATGTTGATGGACCCCGCCCTGTACTTTTATATAACCCCCTCTCAATAGCGAGGCACCCTTCTCCGCCCTTCCCCCGCCCCCTCCACCCGACCGAAGGAGGTCATTCTGGCCTTCCAACGGAATGGCCTTTTGTAGTAACTGGCACAGCATCGCGAAGCCTGTTACGACAACACACGGTCACCTACCTTGTGTATACAGTTGACAATCTTCATCTTCCTTTTGAAGAACCTGGAAAGTCGATTGTCCTGTAATGGTACAACTCATTGCGAACAAGACGGCTTTAATCGTCAAAATTATAACTCAGCATAATGTGACCAAGCCTATTTTAAAGCTTTGCCCAAAACTAGGCGTTTTAATTAAAACGATGATAAGGCTTTATCTTTAGCAAAGCTATCCTCCGAAGGTGGGGTCAAACCTTCTGTCGTGCGATCAATAGTGAGGGACCTGGGACGTGGTCGTGCTGAAGTAACTCAACGAGACTTAGCAAATATGAGGTACTCAATACCAGCTATGAGATTGGACTTGTGACTAAAATTTGAATTTGCCTTATGTTTTCTTTTCTTTGTTTCATTTTTCAGAGCACAATTTAAAGAAAGAGCGTCGTAAAGGGAAGACACCTGATGAACTGCTCCGTGACACTCTTTAACAGCTTCTTGACACTGATCCTAATGCTCATATTCGAGGAGGAAAGGGGGAGACTACGGCATGAACTTTCTGTTCATCCAGACATCAGGCATGCGCAAGTCAATGCAAGAGTTTGGCAGTGTTTTCCTTATGGATCACACTTACAAAATAAACTCCAGGCGTATGCCTGTTGTGTGTTCATGACAATGGATGGGCATGGTGATGGCAGGCCCTAATGATGGATCTGAGACCATCGCCAATGTGTTCGAGACATTCGAAATGTCAATTGGTGCTGATTGTGCTTCGAACATCAAAACAGTTTTTATTGACAAAGATTATTGAGGTAGACTTTCCGGAGAAAGCCCAGAGTTCGGCTTTACAGAGAGGTCCATCCAGAGGTTTCGGAAAAATTCCATGATTTTTCAATTTTATTTTCCGAAATTTCTGACAGTGAGCGGTCTCACCTGCTTTTCGCGTTGTCTCATCGCTCCGGTCGTCTCTTTGATGGCCAGACGTTAAGAGGATATGGTACACCTCCCCAGAAGCAGCGTTTCCAGGGACGCGCAGGGACCTCTTTCTAACGCCGTCCTGGCCACACCGTTTGAGGTATCGATATGAAACTTGACACACGGGCTCAGAAGGGATCAATCTCAATGACGGTGCGTCCAAAAAATTTTTTTGAACGCCTAAGTTAGGCCCCAGGGCAGTCCAGTTCTGGTCCAACTTTCGTTCACAACAAGTCCTAAGAAAATAGGAATATCCAAAAAAGGGCCACGGCACGTTGTAGCTGCAACTTTGCTCTATCCAGAGAACTTGTCCTCATCTGCGTGCGGTCAAAAATAGAGATCAAAACCAGGTAGACGGCGGACCTCTGCACGGCGGATTTGAACATCTTGCGAAGTTTTGAAAAGGCACTGTCGCAGACGAGCTCTACTAACCCCGCCTCCCCCCGCCCACCCCTCCGGGCGGCCCGCCTGCAGCCCGCTGCTTTGTCTCTGCGCCGGCCCCCCCGCTGGCCCCCTCCTCATTCACGCGCCGGAGCCGAGGGTCGGCAGCGTGACGGCCTCGATTTATGGCCTTGTACTCCGAGAGTTAAATTTTTGAACGGATGACTCTAGACTCTCAGGACATGAACCATTGCACTCAGCGCGTGTTCCTTGTGCCAGGCGAATCAAATTTTAATTTTCTACGATAATTTTGACCTTTGTCATTGTTTCAACAGGTCCGGGTCAAATGGTCGTAGAAACGGAAATTTTAGTTGCCTGTCACCAGAATAGCCCGCCAAACCTCTTCGTACAAGTTTCAAAACTAGAAAATGTCCCCTTTTACAAGTTTGGCCGTACAGCCTAGAGCCATAAATCGACCTGTCACGGTGCCGAACCTCTCGGGTGAGGGTGGGCAGCCCGACAGTCCCCATTCAGTGAAACAAAGTCGGCGACAACATGTGCGGGGCTTGGAGACGGTACAGCTCGTCGGCACAAATATTGCACCTCCTCTCTCCGACTAGCTCCAAACCCGCCGTGCAGAGGTCCGCCGTCTACCAGGTTTTGACCTCTATTTTTGACCGCACGCAGATGGGGACAAGTTCTCTGGATAGAGCAAAGTTGCAGCTACAACGTGCCGTGGCCCTTTTTTTGGATATTCCTATTTTCTTAGGACTTGTTGTGAACGAAAGTTGGACCAGAACTGGACTGCCCTGGGGCCTAACTTAGGCGTTAAAAAAATTTTTTGGACGCACCGTCATTGAGATTGATCCCTTCTGAGCCCGTGTGTCAAGTTTCATATCGATACCTCAAACGGTGTGGCCAGGACGGCGTTAGAAAGAGGTCCCTGCGCGTCCCTGGAAATGCCGCTTCTGGGGAGGTGTACCATATCCTCTTAAGCTCTGTGCCACTTAAGAGCCCATGCCATTTTCCATGGCGACGGCGGCAGTGATTTAGTTGGGACGCGGCTACCTTAAGAACAAGGTAGGTGTACGCCAGACAGTGGCTTGTCGTAACAGGCTTCGCGATGCTGCGCCAGTTCCGACAATCCACGCCTGGCGTTAACAACTACCGTGGCCTGCGGCGCTGGCCTGCCTTCGACAGACTCTCTCGCCACACATCGCCTCACAGAGAGACCTGATCGCACATCAAAGCAGCATTCGGTTCCAACTTTTATGCTGGGGCTCAATGTCACCAACTAAAATGTGGATTAAAAAATTAAGAAATTTCGGAAGTTTTGTCGTACTACAATTGATTCACCACTTTGTCACGTTCGTTTTAATGTGACAAAGTGGGCATGTCGTCACATTCAAACGAATGTGACAGTACATGGATGTCACATTCACGTGGATGTGACACGACATGTGTTCTTGGGTACCATGGGTCACATTCGTTGTAATGTGACAGCTCGACAGCTGATTGCGTGTCACACCCGAAGTGTGACAATGCGGTGGGGTGTGTCACTAGACCAGCTCTTATTTTGCGAAAGTGAGAATTCCGCTGGGTTCCCCGACTCAAAATGACCGAAATGGTTAGAAAACTCTTAATTTGAAAGCCCAAGGTCGTCAGACTTACCAAAGCCGTGCCCCAAGACCCTGTATAAAGGCAGAAAGCCAATTTTTTTTTTCGGACTTTTACCAAATTAAGTTTGACTCTAGGGTAAACAGGCCATAATACGGTTCTTCGGATGAAAATTTCGTCCGTTTTGCGATATCTCGACTCCTTCATGCCCAAACGGCCTCCCCAACCGCGAGCATAAAAAAGACGCCGCGCGGGCGGTTGGGGAGGCCGTTTGGGCATGAAGGAGTCGAGATATCGCAAAACGGACGATATTTTCGTCCAAAGGACCGTATTATGGCCTGTTTACCCTAGAGTCAAACTTAGTTTGGTGAAAATCAAAAAAAAAAAATAATTGGCGTTTTGCCTTTATATAGGGTTTTGGGGCACGGCTTTGGCAAGTCTGACGACCTTGGGCTTTCGAATTAAGAGTTTTCTCACCATTTCGGTCATTTTGAGTCAGGGAACCCAGCGGAATTCTCACTTTCGCAAAATAAGAGCTGGTCTAGTGTGTCACATTCATTTGACTGTAAATTTTCACCGTTACTCACGCTCAAACTAACATCGCCGTTTTCACGTAAAAACGAACGTGACGTCACATTCCTTGGCTTCCAGTGTCCGCATGTCACGGAAGGGTAATAAACAACAGGATGTGATCTCATTGGCTGCGGACTTTCGTGTAGAATTCGCATGGTGCTTCAACTGATATCATTCTGACGCACGCGTCGTGACAGGTCGAGCAGAGGGCTGCGCAAGTGAACGGAAAACCACGATGAAAGGCTTATCACTGAAACATTTGAATGTAATTTGCGTATTACTTGTGGGGTTGAACATCGCTGGAGCAGTGAAGCAACTCAACTCTTTCGCGGTACGGAATTCGATACCCCTGCACGCTTAAGTCCTTACGGATAGCGTGTTTGTAGGTTACGGATAGTTTTGTGCAGCCATATACGGATCGAATTTTGATTGTAATACGGATGTTTTTGTCCGTACTACAAAGATTTAGGAATCCGTATGTTACAACAAAATAATCTGTAAATTACGGACAAAAACATCCGTATTACTAACAAAATCCGATCCGTAATATGGCTGCACAAAACTATCTGTAACCTACGAGGGGTCGTCAAGTCACAACGCGCGTGTACGAAGTAATATAGTAATATATGGTAATATATATCCCATATTACCGTTTTTAGGCCGATTTTTCATACTACCCATGATTTAAGTAGTCTATTTGGTAAATTTTTGTGGACTATTAGCAGTAATAAGAGCAATATACAAGTAATATATAGCTTGTGTACGAAGTTATGCAAGTTGACGACCCCTTGGTAACCTTTTTTTCGGAGACCGATGGTCGTGGCCTTTGCACTTTCGACTTTCAGTCTTCGAAAAATGTCTCGAGGGACGATGTTAAAAAGGCGTTTCAAGAGGCGCCGATCAAAACTAGATAGTACTCCAGAGACATATTTTTCGGTCCCAAACCATCTTAGCCTCATATTTCACGAACCGCAAGAGAGAGAGCTAAACGTCCTGAGAACAACTTGTCAGAAATCAAATTTTGAACAAAAAAAAGTTTGTCTGTCTGACTGCCAGACGCACCTATTAATTAGATCTCATTGGATTGAACATGCAGCAGTTGTCAAAGTTGCGAGCACTGCAGCGCACAAACCATACCCATACCCTCGGTAACTCGAGCCGCTTGTTTTTAGGTAGTCGTCTGAGGAATGATTTCCCGCCTAGAACGGGTCCAGTTTGGATTCCGGGATGGGGAGAAAATTGAAGGTTGTAAAACACTAAGAAAAAGTTATTTTTTGGCTTTGGGTGCGTTTTTATCAACGATGGACTGCTTAGGAGTCGATTCTGCGAGCAGATTCGGATTCCTCACTCGCGGGTACCAATTTTCATACCTCAGGGCCGAAAAGAAAAGAATTCCGGAGCATGTCAGTTAAAAAGTTCAATTTGGTCAAAAACGACTTAAGCAAAATAGCCAAAAACTTTGATTGCTCACAGTTTCCATTCTAACTGACCTAGAGGGCTGAAATTCTGTGGGGATGTTCACCTACGGGTAGGTACCATTTGAGCCAAAAATGAGCAAAATCGTCTAAGGTCAACTTCGGTCACTGTCAATCGGCCCTGGAATGTCCCTTCGTTCAGTCTGAAGTCCTCGAAACGGAGTTGGATTAATTTGACTGCTATAACTCAGTTAACCCCATGTTAGGCGGGAAGAAAGTTGTCCAATTTTCTCTTCTGTCTTCTCTCTTGTCCGAGAAAATTGGTCTGAATTTTCAGAATTTTGTAACAGTGTCGGTCTACGTTCAGAGAGACGTGGTTTGCGCGATGATATAATCCTTTCCTGGATATAAAGTCTATGTCGTCGTTATTCGATCAGCCTGATAATTTTGGGATCTCTCTTAGTGTTTATTCTTCTCGAAATGTGGTAGAATTGACTGACACGAGTGCACCTGCTTTAATACCACTGACATTGTTTGTGTTTTGATCATGTTCTATTTCTCAAGGGACCGTGGATTGCTTACGCCGACAAGTACTATATGTGCGAAGGGGACTATCATTGGTCCTGGAGTTTAAAACCGACTCATTTTAACCCAGCACGGCCACTGGACGTGCAACGCTTAACTGGGTGGGCCAACGCCACTACCCCAATGACGGATCAAACGTTTGTAAGTTATCACGATTATTCGAGCATATCTATTAGTCACTTAAAGATCCGTTCACACTGGGAGTAAAACGTCAGCTAGAGTGCGGAATATATCTGTTCAACAGTTTGCCTGGACTATCTATGGACCTGCAAACTACGGCGATGCATCCGGTCAGAAATGTCCCATTTACAGACCGCTTGACAACGTCACGTGATAGTTTTGCTTCAAGAAGACAGTTTAAAGAGATATGGGGCGGGCGTATGCATTTGCCTTTGTGAGGAGCTGGCCGGTTCGAGAGAGGGTCCGACCATAGCTTGTTCGATATTGCACACGTAGTGCCAATTCATGCAATTAGAGACTAAACGCGACCTGTGCTACTTCTGTAACAAAAAGCAACGTTGATAATTCGAAAACTTTCGCATTTCTTAAGCTTCAGACGCTGCCATAATGAAATCGTCTTGTCATGCTTTACACAATTTAAGACCATCGGGAACCTCTTCGGGCAGTAAAAGCTCGAAAGGAGATAAATGACTAATTGACACTTCACATTTTCCAACTTGCAACAATTTGGTTCCCGCTTCGATACGGGCATCCCTGAAACCATCCCCTGGCCATAGCTTGGGCAAGTAATTGAGCAAGTTCCTGAAACGCACAAATCCATATGCGACAACGCCCACATCCATGCTCAGTTACGCGCAAGTTGGCGCATAACACGACACCACGTAGAAAGGAATACGATAAAATGTCACGTACCTTTGAATATTGTGCCCCATTCGTTTGAATGCGAATAAGCTAATTTATTGCTGATTGACAGCCAAACAAGCCAAACCGAGCCCGCGAGCGTACACTATCAGTCAAAAGTGTTTTTTTTACTCTTCGAGACTTTTTGAGACTGTTTTGCCCTAACACTTCTTGACCTTTTAACGGTTTTTTTTAACTTTCAAAATTGCTTTTTCACTAGCGTTCACTGACTTAAAATTCTTAGATGCTGTTGAGAACCTTAAAGGTGTTTTTTATGTCAATTTCGGACTTTTGCGACTATCAGTGACTTTTGCCACGACTCTTTCACGCGCGTACACTGATTTTCGCTGGTTGGGAACCCTTTGCAGCCAAACGAATGTGGCACAAAGCTGAAAGGAAAGTGATATTTTGGCTCATTCGTCGGTAGATGTCAGAATGAGGGCGATTATTTAACGCACGTAAAAGAATGGTCTAACAAAATCGTGTTTTTTCATTTGAGCTGCATGTTACACTGGATATTTGGAACAACAATATGTGGAAGGAAAACGCATTTGTCTTCAAGTTCCCGGACCACGGCTGCACAATGCTCGTAAAGAACATCCCGGATTTTTCCCGCCAAGTTTTCAGCTATAAGCCACGTACACCCTGCCTCATACCGGCGGTAAGGCATGGAGAACAACCGAAGTACCGGTAACTTAAGCACGTTCTTTACATCTCAACACTGTGGCAAAAAGCTACGGAAAATTCTGTGAACAGCTTGTGGTAATTCTCTGTGGCCCCCTTGTCAGTATTCTCCGTAGGCTCTTACAGTATTTTCGGAAGGACCGCACAGTATTCTCCGTACGACTTCACAGTGATCTCCAGGTCCTACGGAGAAGACTGTGCGGTCCTACGGAGAATACACTGTTAAAAAGAGTGCTGTAAATTAACAGCACTTATGCTATTAAGTTTGATAGCAGCACGACTTGTTTTATTACAAGCATGTTGTAGCCCTCGGTGCTGTTATCTGACAGTTCCATTGTAATAAAACAATACTTCTTTGGAGTCTTCGACGATGTCTTCCCAACATTTGTGTTGATTTCATCGTGCTGTTACTAAACAAGACCCTTGTAGTAACCTGACAACAATATATGTTTTAAGATTCCAAAAGGCTGTTTCTAAACATGAAACCTGTTCAACGACAACACAACTATTTTGAATGACGATTACATTGTTGTTATTTGACAAGGAAATTGTTATGAAACGACAGTGCTGTTTCTGGATAGGTTTTCCGTTCAGGCACAAAACAATACTGTTGTTATTTAACAGCATTACTGTAGGTGATTGTGTTGTAATATTACAGTGGATTTTTAACAGTGTACTGTAAAAGCCTATGGATAATATTGATAAGAGGGCTACGGAGAATCCTAGCAAAAAAATTAACAGAATTTTCCGTACCTTTTTGCCACAGTGTAACGAGGTAAGTGTGCGGCAGACCTTGAGAGGAGAGCACTCTGGAAGTGCCGTCGGCGGCGGCCGACAATGCCGCCTTGGCCACTCATACACCACTTTGCAGCCGCAGTTTTTACCGGACGCCAATTTGGTTAGCACCAATGGATTCGGAAAGGTTCAATGAGTGCACTGATACAGTTTGTTTTCGCAAATGTTAAATCCTGACGAATCTAGGGCGAGATAAACAGCGCTCACAGTCCGAGGGGCTCCGCGTCGCGGCTGCCGGGCTACGGTCTGGGCAAGCTGGCGTCCGGCCTGGCTGGGGTTCGGGCGCGCTCGGGCGGGCGCCTGAGCGGCAGACTTGGCGCCCGAGTCGCGCGCACTCGGCACTCGAGCGCGCCCGAGTGCACAGTGAGTGACTCAACCACATCAAAAGAAAACGGGCTATTTCTTTCTCTTCCATGACTTATTCTTCTCAAAATTACGGAAGGTGACACTTCAGTTTGCAGAGCTCCTGGACCCCCCCCCCCCCCTTCCGACCCTTCGTTGAAAAGGTCGTGGCGAGACCTCTAGGAAACCCCCATTAATTTTTGAAGTCAGTCCAGTCGACTCCCTTTTTCCAATATCGTGTTTTCGCTAACTCGTAGGAGCGGCCAATATTGTCGGAACCAGGTCCATTGATTTCGTCTGGTCGCCCCGATTCCAAAAATAACCGTACATGCCGTGCAAGCACCACACATGTGTCAATCTTGCCTTTTTTCTGCCGTTCTACAAGTGAGTCGTTTGTGGTGGTAATGAGCATGAAATGAGATAGGAAGCTGAATTTTGGTGTGTGGCGCGCCAAGGACATACCGAATGACCCTGCAAAATCCTAACAGAATCGGCCGAGCCGTTTAGGAGAAGAAATGCGGACAGACAAAATTTTCCGACATCACCGGAGTGGGGTTCGCTATCGTTCAGCCAAAAATTCTTAAATTTCGTACGATTTTGGCCTCGGGTTGGCTGGGTAAAAATGGTTGTCACTTCCCTACGTCGTCAGCTCGGTTCTCTTCATAGGTCTTTTTTTCTGCAGGCCTTTTACGAGGTGAATGACAAGCCCGTAAGTTATCTGTTCCCCAACGTGCCTACCATGATTTACGGACACTACCGCTTACGGCTGGCGTCGGGTTACCGTGGGTCAACACCCGAGGCTTGCTTCATGGTGGAATGCCACGTCGTGCCCAAGCCCGCAGTGTAGGGGGAAGTTGTACTTTTCACCTGTGATGATTTGCATCATTAACTTTCGAAATAAACTCGAAATTATAAGAACGTATTCGGTATACTCCTTGTTCCCAATAGTCCCATAATAGCAAAGGGAATATTTTGTCGGACCACCACCATTAGTGTTAATGGAAGTAAGCATGTTAAAATCAATGGTATCCACCATTTTTTTTGGCAGATGAGTTACCAATTCCAGATCATCATCTAATACAAATGCTTTCATGCCCTTCACAATACGACCATGAAAAGTTGCTTCAGTTTTTTTGCAATTTGACAATGGGGTACAGATCACCCCTCACCAATGAACTGAACCCAACCTTGAATTCCTCTCCCGACATCTAAACACACAGAGAAACAAAACAACACAAATTACTTCCACGACCACATATATCTTCTCAATAAATCAAACAACAAGGTAATGATTACACATCCCACAAAACATCACAAACAGCGCCCTTAACCTTCAAACCTCTTATACAAAATTCTATAACCACAAAATGACATATCGCAACACAACCAAACAAACATTCCACATTCACATACTCACTTTTAATCAACAACAGACACTACACCAACTTCTTTCAACAAATTACTCTTCCGACTCGAATAAGTTTTTCCGCCAAACAGAGGCTTCCATACAGTTTAATGGCCTAAGGTATTCCCCCAAATTCCACTCTTCATTTGTCATAAACCAACCACACCACCAACTTCCCAAGCAACACAACTTTCTCCGATAATGAATATCTTAAACAACATAAGCGCACTGCAAACAATAATACTTCTTCTTTGATATCGTTTCTACACACTTTTAACATTCCTTTTAAACATGTTCCACAACTAATTTCCCTTTCCACACGAAATTTACTTTCATTCAGTTGGTATGACCAACCGACAAATCATGACCAACCTCCAACCATAACCACAACAAAAACTACATGTCCTATTATCACACTACTCCTTTCAAATAACCGTCACCGCCTATTCTACTCAATAAAAAATACCCTTTCAACATAACAAACTCATTTTTTTGAATTCCCATTTCATCTCTCCTTCCTTTATGTACATTAAAAATTTCACATGTTGTGTTGGTACGACGCGCCGCCCACCGCTAAATGTGATCGCCATTCTCTGACCAACAATCAACACCAACACACCGATACCCATTCGTCGCCACACTCTCATTCTAGGAACGTGACGTCACGCACTGTGCGAAAAAACCACAGCGAATCCCGTTAATTTTTTTGCCGGGATTTACCGTAGTTCAGAACACAGGATTTACCGTGCCTGGCTACAGTATCTACTGTACCTGGTACAGGATATTCCGTACTCCACTCCTGTGGTACAGTAAATCCCGTACAAAGTACAGTAGATCCTGTTAAAAAAGTACAGTAAATCCTGTACTCTGAACTACAGTGACAGCTGTACTAATCACTACAGGATTTACTCTGATTTTTTCCCACAGTGCGTTGAAACGAACGTGACAAAATGTCACGTTCGTTTGAATGTGAACAAGCTGATTTTTGGCCAATTCACACCCAAACGAACGTTCAGTTCAATCCAGTCCACCAAAGTCCACGTAAAGTACTTCCCCTCCATTCCTCGCCAGTCTTCACGTGCAGTTCAATCCAGTCCACCCAAGTCCACGTAAAGTACTTCAAGCTCACAATGGAACAAGACATGCAAGAGATTGAGGGACCACCAGAAAACCCCAACTATAACGACCTATACCCTCCGCCAAAACCACAACTCGCAGCAATGCTGAAGACGTTTCTCAGCCAGAATAACAAGACGAAACTAGGCGATTTCCATGAAATCCCTCTTACAAAGAAGCTATTTCCCATCCACATTAATAGAAGCCTCTAACTTTTCAACAAATTCAAATGCCCCGAATGCAAAGGATCACATCAACATTTCATCGCCGGTGAGTTTTTACATCCACTTAATCCCTCATTATATCTTTCCATGCACTCACCATAAAAATAAACATAACAGTTTTCAAATTAATAGTGATTAAATACACTATTCACTCGTTTCATATTCATTTACAGGAGGCTATGCAGCATATCTAGCAGGACTAACGTCGACTGCTACTGACATAGACGTCTATGTGCATTGTCTTCGGCTAATTGACCAGGACACAGTTAATACAACAAAAGGTTGCAGCATAAAAACTCACAGAAATGTCACAACGCTGTACTTCAATCACAACCAGCATGTTCTGAATGTGCAGTTCATCCAGGTTCGCACCAATCCCTTTCTTTTCCACAATGCTAATTATCCACGATGCTTTACTTACACATTCACTATTTTCTTAGGTAAATTTTGAAATTGGTGCGTCAGCAGAAGAAACAAAGACGGAGACATTTCTCGACCTGATGGCAATGTATGTGAGTAGTAAATACCCCCTGGATTCCCCAGATTTCAATTACCCCCCCCCCCCAGATTTCACCCGCGACGGGTTGACCTGAGAGAGCGTAACCTAAGGCAAGGTGCCCAGGCCTTGGGTAATTTTTTGAGGATTGGACAACCGAACTTCTCTACATCAAAGATTTTCTTTGAGGGTAAGAGGAATGGAAGAATTCTCTTCTTCTCATCCCCCTTTACGTGGAGGAAGTCATACTCCGCCGACATCTCGCTCAGAGTCTGAGGGAGCCTGTCATAGGGCGAGAAGCCAGTTTCCCAGGGAAGGGAATGCAAGCGCCTCACAATGTACTTGTTTTGGCGCAATTGCTTCTCTGGGATCTCATCTCCGGGGTAGGGTGGAGCGAAGGTGGCCGACTTGTGGATCTGGGCCGCTTCGTTCTGTTCATAGAACGAAACCTCCTTGAGAACATACTCCCCGTGCTTGCCCCGGAGCATCTGAATGTCGCAGATAGCGTAAGTCATCGTGCTGATGTCGACTGGTCAGCGACTGAACGAAGAATGATGCTCCTGCGGTCGGGGCGCCTAGATTTATACCCAGCGCCAGCGCCGCCAGCGCGCCCTCACGGGAATAACAGGAAAAGTAGCGATATACATCGGCAACTTTGGCCCATCCCGCACATTTAGAAATGTGTGAATTTCGCTAATGTTTAACCCTTACGGGATTTGAACCTCAGTCTGGGGTCCAAATTTATGTTATTTTCGCCATCAGTACCCTTAAAAACATCAGAAACCATCCAAAAACTCGAGTAAAAAGAATGTTCAAAATATACCCCACTGGGATTTGAACCCAGGTCTAAACTTCTCCGATTCACTTGAAACTGGCACCGTAGGTTTTTTCTCGTCGCCCTGATTCCAAAAATACCAGTACATGCCCTGCTAGCTGTATCCGTTGCCGAAATCCCCTTCGACCCCATGTAGACCATGATGCACCTGCAGCAGCGCCCCCGGGGCTCGGATCGGATTTGCTGCCACCGGGCGGTTCATAGGGTCACCCAAGGAGGCTGCATACCAAATTTGGTCAAGATCGGACCACGGGAAGTCCTCGGACGGACGGACGGACGGCCAAACATTCTTCCTAGTCGCTTGCAGGGAGACCCTACTATTCGAAGGAGGACACAGCCCTCTGTCATCACTAACACTGTAAGTTAATTTTAAAGGCAAAAAAAAACTAACTAACAAAAACGAAAACCTAAACATTGTTTTGTTTATAAAGGGCCAAGAGAGAGGAGTGCTTCGAGAAATAAATCTCAATCCCCCCGCTGCACTGTGGGAAAAAATCACAGTAAATCCTGTAGTGATTAGTACAGCTGTCACTGTAGTTCAGAGTACAGGATTTATTGTACTTTTTTAACAGGATCTACTGTACTTTGTACGGGATTTACTGTACCACAGGAGTGGAGTACGGAATATCCTGTACCAGGTACAGTAGATACTGTAGCCAGGCACGGTAAACCCTGTGTTCTGAACTACAGTAAATCCCGGCAAAAAAATTAACGGGATTCACTGTGGTTTTTTCGCACAGTGTGCTCACTCTCCAGCTCCAGCTCATGCTAGTGTGAGTGTGCCACCTCCTCCTCCACCTTCCCCTGTCCTGGAATCTCCTAAAGTTAGTTTTAAAATCTCGTTGTATTTAATCATTTTAGTTTTTTTGTCGTTGAAATAACTTTTGTAACTAATTTTTTCTTTTCAGTCAGTATTTGTTCGGTTGGGGCCGAAAGTGGTGCCTGTGATTGATGCCCCTGAAATTGACCCTGATGACAAGAAGAAGAAGAAGAAAAGGACACCCAGTGTCCGTTATCGAGCTTGCTATGTGGTAGGTTCTGAAATATTTTTTATCCTTCATGAAATGGTTTTTTATCCGTGGCCTAGAGCAAGCCCACGGTGCAGCGGCAGCGAGTGCTTCCCAAGCGCCGTTTGGTGAGCTCGGCTGTTCAGGCGCTCTAAAAGGGGACGCTGTTCAGAAACGCTGTGCCGCTTCACCCTCTTCTTGACTCTCATTGCGCACGCAGACCTCACCTCAAAAGCAACGATCATGGCTGGTACGGCTCGGGTGCCGGACATAGAGCGAAGAGGTCAAAAGTGCCGGTTTTCAGGCCCCCTCAAAAACCCTCCAACTTTGACGCCTTACAGCTTCTAAACGGTTTGAGCTTGGAACCTGGGCGTGTGCTCATTGGCTTTATTAGCTCTTTTTCTACAAGATTGCGTCAACGGATCGTGGATAAAGAATATTTTTGACCATTTCCCCAACATTTGGGTACTTTCGGTAAAATTTGGTCGTTTTGGGTAAGTATTTCTCAAGATATTGGTCGGAGTCAAATCTGTGACCATATTCTTGTTCCTTGGGCAATTTTACATAAGAATTTCAATTTTCAGCCACTTAGCACCAAAAACCTCAGAGTAGTAAAGAAACTCCCAAATTAAGTAAAAAAGTGGCAAATTTAGAAAACACGTGTTTTCTCGGCCAATAAATTTTTTAGCGACCTAATATTTTAGGATGTTTTTTCTTACTATAAGGGCATCTCAGAAAAAATTTTTGGTCAAAATCGGAGGGGGTCATGGAAAGGCGTTGCACGTATTAAATAAATTAGCTCCTTCCGTGTTGGTTCCGCTTCCGGCCACCGCCGGCGCAGCACCTGTTCCGTCGCTGTTCCGGGAGGGGGGGAGGGGGGGGCCGGGGGGGAGTCCCTCCGCCAGCCAGCTCGGTCACTTGCTCCCGGTCCATTGCGTCCACAGCTGCCTACACTCTAAAAAAAGTTATGAAATTTCATATCCAAATAGGTCTTACATTTCATAATCACGTTCTAAACCTCAATTTTCATAACATTCTTATAAAATTTAAGATCCTGTAATGAATTTTAAGATTTGGGTTATAGATTTTAAGAATAACTGGTTATAAATTTTTAGAACTGGTTATCTTATAACTCCGGTTCTTAAAATCTAGATTTTCACTTTGAAAATTTATAACGCTTGCTGATTTTAGAGCAAAGGATCTGAAATTTTTAATCGTTTGCGTTCTGCTGCCAAGTCCCTTCTGTGTTTATGGACACTGTGAAGTGAAAATAGCATGAAACAGAACCATTTTTCACAGGAAGTTCTTTTTGTGGTCAAAATCCAACCTCTGTTAGATGAATTTACTCTCAAAGTTGGGGGCTCCAACTCTCATTAGATTCTGAGTTATGGAGGTTTACGTAAACTTTGAGTCGTTTCCCTCAAAATTTCTCTCACGACAAAGGAAAAAGTATGCAAACCTCTGATTCTAGCATTGAAGGTATAAGAAAAAGAAAGATTTGGCACATTTGAATATATCAATCCAGAAGAGGCTGTAAAAGGTATTTGACTAGGCCCATTTTCATTATCCTTGAAATTTGAGTTTGCCTTATTTTTGTTATGTTTTTGGTTTTACAGTAAAACTAAGAGAGAGATTAAAAAAAGGCCAACACCATCTATTTTAATTGCAAAAATAAATATAATTGCCAGAATCTGAAGGATGGGTAGCTTTTACTTTGTCGTGAGAAGAATTTGAGAGGAACGACTACAAGTTAACGTAAACATCCATAAGTCAGAAACTATTAAGAGGTGGGGGCCTATTCTCAGTGTATGAGTTTATGCAATAGTAAGGAACTTTTACCCCCAAATTGAGACATCTGACACAAGTATTTTTAAAATGTTACTTAGTCACTTTTTTCACTGTACAATAACCCTAAATCAGTTGGTAAAATTCTCTTTTTCGGCAAGTGTTTACATTTTCCTAACCGATTAGATAGGAATCCTGATGGGCACAGCTACAAATCGAAAAGCTTATATTGTATGCACAAATTGAAGCATGCCCGCCAAGCATGCACTTACTAGTGCATACATGCCATGTACCCGCTTACTACATCTAGTGCGTAAGTGGCAGGGAGTTGTCTGCTTCAGTTAGCTCTTACATGTCATGTATGCAGTGATAAGTGCATGCTTGGCGGGTATGCGCTAACCAGAGCGTGCTTGCAGGCATGCTTCAGTTAGTTCAAACAGTGTATACGCCGGGCCGTGTCGGGCCGAGCCGAGCCGAGCCGGGCACGGTGAGCCGAGCCGGCGCCCGGGCGCTGCTTTCCCGGAAAATCACCGCTCGCCGGCCGGCCGGCCGAGGCTACCTGCACCGGCCGAAGGGTCGCGAAATCCCTCGGCCACTCCGGATTACTGAGAGGCTACGTCATTTTTAGTGTGTCTGTGTCTCCAGAGCTGTGCACATCGCGTCCGGGTCCGAGAGCTACGTAGTCAGTCGCGCCATCAATTTAGTTTCGCTGGACCGTTTAGTGTTATTTCGGCGCAGTGCGTATGGTGCAGTTGAAGTGTTGCCCGTGGTGCCCAACAGTCACCACTCGTGTTTCAAGAGTTTGAAGCTAGATTGGCGATCTCCGGAAACATGATTTGTTTTCGTTACAAGCGGCGTAACTGAATGCTGTTACTCCATCTTTTTAACTGCAGGGACGGACGATGAACGTGTGGGTGGCGTATTATTTCAATTCGCTTCTCCTCTTTCATCTTTGTTCCCAAAGTATTTTCTTCTTGTCGATCGAGTTTCCCCAAAGTGTTCATCTGGATCTAAAACGCTGCTGCGCTGTTTACCACGTCGACTGAAGTTTTGCTGAAGTTGTGATGTTTCTTGTGCGTGCTCTCGGATAAAAATGAAACTCCGCTTTAGTAGCGCGAATTGGTGCGCTACGATGCATAAGTGCTGCAAGATATTTAGTGTGAAAAGAAATGAAACCTGTCTGAGAATTCAGTATTTGTAACATAAAAGTTTAGAACGGGATATGAGATTTCACGACACATAGGTTGTAAAAAGTAATAAAACTGTTATGATGTTTCATAGTATTGGTCGTGGAGATTAAGAACCGGATATAAGTTTTCATAACACATTGCTTCTGAAAATTAATAATAGAGTTCTTACATTTCATAAACCACTTATGACATTTCAGAACAGCTAGTTATGAAATTTAAGAACTATTTGGATATGAAATTTAAGAGCAATAGTTCTACAAATAGGTCCAAAACCAAGTTATGAAATTTCAGAAGCATTTTTTTTAGAGTGTAGTATCCATCACCGCCGTCATGCCGTCTCTTCTCTGGGATGAACTTCTGAGCGCCCTGCAGGCGTCACTCCCGGCAACCCCAGGTAAGCCTCGCCTGCCTCCTCCTCCGCCCCGTCCCGGCCCTCCGACCTCGCTGTTGTTGTTTACCTTGTCGCCCAGACTTTCAAGTGCCGGCCGGCCAATCAACCTGGGGCACCGCGCGAATCGCCTCGCACCGCCTCCGACGCCGAGCACCTGGGCGCGCTTGTTGCTTCAATGGACGAGGATCCGTTCTGGGCACATTCACTACTCCTCTGGCTAGTGCGGGAGCATAACTTCTCGAGTAAGTGCCCCTCTTCTTCCCTTCCTGCCTCCCTATCTTCTCTAACTCGTTCTTCTCTGCAGCCGCCGCCTCCCCACTGTTTGCGCTGACGGATTGGGCTCTGGAGCGGAGAGAGCAGTGCCGCGTCCTAGCCGATGCTGCGGCCCCACCCACCCCACCCTGCTCTTCGCCTCTTCAGGCCGCGGCCCCCAGCCCCGCAGCTACACCGTCCCCTCTGCCAGGCCCTACCCGGGCCCAGGCGCCGGGGGGTACCCCTCCATCCTCATGGGGCAGTCCGGCCGCCCTCTCACCGCCTGCGTCTTCCCCACCTACCGAGCTGGGCAGCCCTCGATCGCCCACGTGGTCGGAGCGGAACGCATGGAGAAGCTGGTCAGACTCAGACTGTAGCGAATTCAACCACCATGAGCCCTGCTATTGCTTCAGAGTGGTAGTGGCCCCCGATCCCCTCGAGATGGGGGGTGAGGTAGGAGCCCGCTCGTGCGAAGAACCTTGCCATGACGAGGAAGACGCCTAGTACCCTGATTACCTAGCTGCTCACCTGTTTAGTTGAATCGAATTATACTTGTTACCTATAGCCTGTCTTTCCTTTCCTGCTGCCCTTTGTTCTGCTGTCCTACTCCGTCCTGCTGTTCCTGCCTTCCCTGGTGCCTCCTTCGTTGTCCTATGGCCTGTTCCTGAAGTCCGTCTCTCTCGCTGCTCCCCATCCTTCTCTTCGCTATCTCGCTCAAGCCATGCAAAGAAAAAGCGGGTTATACCAAGCCCACCACATGTCAATATTGCCTTCGCACATTTACACGTTTGGCGCTTAGTAGGATAGCAAGCATATTTAAGCGTTTGTAAAGTTGTATCCAGTTAAGGAGCTCCGAGTCGACATCCGACTTGGAGTGGGGGGGGGGGGGGGGGTGGCCAAAGGATAGCACACACTAGCGCCAACTGTCGTATTTTCACCGAAAATATGGTCTCGACCGCACTCGATACTATCGACCTTGCCAAAGCTGTTTGTTTACATCATGGCGTAGGAGGGTTATGGATTACATGTAGAACAAGAACTGACTCCTGTGCTTCCGTGTCAAATTAAGTGAATTTCCTGCGACAGAGCAAAGTAAGCATGACACCTTGGAATCAGTGCTAATTAAATTTCTTTCAGTCATTTTGGCTAATTTTTAATCAAGGGGTGTTAAAGTTATGGTTGCTGTATTTTCTTTTCAGTCCAACTGAGATTCCTCTTTTAAATATTTTGTTTTTGAGTCCTGTCCACCACGAGGGGGAAATCACTCTTAAAAACTGTGACCCGGCTACTCCCTATTACGTTCTATTACGCTATTACAGAAGGCTTATTACGCTCGGAAATATCCAGATTTAGGCTTAAATCAGACCCTAAATGAGAAATTTTTTAAAAAATTTGGCTATTACGCTATTACTATTACGCGTAATACTAGGAATCGGTGACCCGACTATTACGCGAGTGGTTTCCCCCTCGGTCCACCATTTTTGTCTCCATATTTTCTGTTGTTCATGACAAGTCCTATCGTTTGAGTTTTAACCCGGGTGGAAGGATCTGCAGTTAAAACTATATGACAAAACAGGAGTTTTTCTGTTGTAAAATGTATTGTTTTAAGTGAAACAAAAATTAAAAAATAAAGAAGTTAAAAGTAACTTTTTAGAGAAAAAAAATTGTAGTTAAACTATAGTCAACTGCAGTAAAACTGCAGTTTAACTATGCAAAAACTACCAGTTATTTGGAACAACTATAGTTTCTCCCTCATTTTCGTGCTAGTTAAACTGCAGTCAAACTGCAGTTCAACCTTAGTTTCGAACAACTTAAAAGCCATTTGAAATAACTAGAAAGAGAGTAGTTGGGGTTCAGTTTCCGAAAAGAGAGTGAAAATTCAAAATAGAGCCTCAGCCCCGTTATCATATAGCCACCTTAGGTGATTTCAACCTTAGGTGTTGGTGAGTGGAGTCACCTCCTCTCGGAGTTGATCACTCGGTAAAAATATACTTCGCATCGAGGACTGATGCACTTGGAGGCACAGCGATCGGAGCCTAACCAAACTACGACCCGTAGCCGTACGCGAGAGGAAAGTTGTACTCAAAGTTATTTCCCTAATATTCCACCTATCGAGGTCAATCCTTTTGTGGTAGAGTCGTAGCATCTCAAATATTTGCCCTGCACAGAGTTTGACCCAAAAAATATTCCTCTGATCGGCTGCAAGAACACTTTTAACTCGAAGACGTAAATGATGCGACACTAGCGCCACCTAGCGGATGATGCACTAAGTGTCCATTTTTGCGGTAGTCAATATGCTTTGCTCCAACTTCACTCAACGAAAGTGTTATTTAATACTACTAGCATGTAATATTATGTTTATTTTTAAAAGGAAGGGTATATGAAGGACTTAACAGAATTACTTTGATTTGGATTTAATAAAAAAAAATCAAAACTAAGAATTTTTCTACATCTTTTAAACTACAAGCAATTTTAGAGTAATCCTATGTAAAGTTGTAGTCCTCTTCATGACAAACTTGCATTTTATGACCAATTTTAATTTTAAACTGTCAGTATAAAAAATGTAAGCGCAAAATATTTTGGACCTTTGCGACAAGTCTGTTTACGTAAACTTGTCGCAGACTTAAGGTTACTTTGTCTCTTTAGGGAGGCTAACTTTAAAAAAGGGGAAGCTTGCATAAATTTTTAAACAGCGAACAACTATACCATTTAAAGTAAAGCCAACTGTATTAGCTATAAACCTTAAACGTTTGCTCTTAACCTGATACTTTTTTTAAAGGGAGACGACAAAAAATTCAACGTAAACCTCAACTGCTTTAAAAGCAATGAAGCAGCCACTGTAATTTTGAGTTCCCCTTGTGGTATGTAACTTTTACTTGATACAACTAGAAGATTGCATAAGAAGTATGGAAACGTACTAGTTTTGAGACATAACTATCAACGTTAGTATGTCGATAAGAGAATATGTTTAGAATACATACTAAGTACGGAAACATACTAGATGAGAGACAGTTTTTGAATATTTATTTTCAGCAGTCGCTTTACTTCCAGAAATGGATATTAAGTAAATTGTAACTGAAACTTAAACTGAACCTCCAACTGAACTTCAAATCAACACTAAAACTACATTGTGAACTGACAGAAAACTACAATTTCAACTGCAAAGTGGAATTGTATTTAATCTTCAGTTTCTTTTTAAAACTAACTTTAGTTCGGGAACTGCAGTTTTGGTACTGTAGTTGAAACTACAGTTTAACGAAAGATCCTTCCACCCGGGAATTTAAAAAGGTCAGTGAATAAATACATTTTTTTCTAACAGTTTATCTGTGTCATATTCACATTCCTATACGCATTCCCATTTATATCCGGAACAGTGGCGCACCCTAGCGGCAGACCATCGAACTACGACAGAAGTGCGCGCTCTAGCGGTCACACCCGGAACTACATGGCCGCAGGGCGCTCCGACGGGTGGTGGGGGACCTCCGAAAGACCTCTCAAAGACCTACCGTTTCCGACGTCCCGAAGTGCTCCCGAAAGAGACGTCCTGAAATGTAGCTCGGCAGTACTTCTTTCGGATGCATTTTTTGTTTCATAAGGTACTTCTTCCGTACTACATTTACGGATGTACAGAGCTCCGATATGCTAGTACGACAGTACTACTTTTGATAGTAGTTTTGTTTACGGGGCATGCAGCGGCGATTTCGGGTAATTGATAGGCGTTAAATAGGAATTTATCCTCCAAAGGTAGATTTTTGCTTCCCACCGGTCCCTGCACCGTTCCCCAGGGTGCCTCCAACTCTCAAATCGTTATGTTGGGTCTCGAGAACACTCGACACCGGGGTCGGAAAGTGCAAGGTTAAACCCCTGACAGCCCTGACTAGACCAAGGATGAAGGTGGGGCCGAGGGCTCCTTCCAATCCCCGGTACGAGTAAAGGCCTCCTCGTCCGCACCTTCCGGGCTTCGAGACTCCCCCGCGTGTAAGGGAGGGTGGGGTACAATGGGACACGGGGCACAATGGGACACTGTCAAATTAGCCACCTTGCGGTGTTCGTAGGATCTGCGGGTTACGCTCGATTATAGGCCAGCAGTTGCCATGTTAGTTTCACAAAGCGGGAACTCTATTCGACTGAGCGTTCTCTCGGCAGGTCGACGCAAAGTGCGAATGTAAGAAAAACTAGGCAAAACTAGCAAGACCGGAGAATTTTGTTTTTCCTCTAGCATTTAAAGTATTTGTCGCACGTTCGTGGCGAGTTCACCAGTGCGTTCGTTGGTCTTTTCAAGTTCAGCGAAACTTGTCTGGGCGCTCTGGCATTTGGGGCACAATGGGACACCCTCGTTTGGGGCACTATGGGACGTGTTAATCAAAGGGCTTTCAAGTTTTGGTTGTAGTTTATGTATAAATGAAGCCAAACCATACGTTAATTATGTTCTGCACAAAAATTTTGGCGTCACACATTTCTTTCGTGCTTTTTATTATATTTAACACTGCATATTCTTTATTTGTTACACATCTTACTCCGGTATTTTTTTTAAAGGCAACCAGTAACGTAAGTCCTTTTTTAAAATAGTTCGTGACAAAAATAGATCAAAACCTATTGCCCACAATTTTTTTAATGCTCCTTCGCTTTATTTTTAGGTCATAAAAGGGTGTGTCCCAATGTGCCCCTGGGCTGTCCCATTGTGCCCCAGCCCGGGGCACAATGGGACAGGTGACACTCTTTGGCCAAATGTCTCCACAGACCAAAAATGCCGTATAATCAATTTTTTGTTCAAATAAAAGTTATAGATAAATAAACAAAGAACATTTTGAGCTTTCGGGAGACATTCTAGCTCCAACGGTCTCGGATCTAGGCCAAAAACAAAAAAAGCGTCCCATTGTACCCCACCCTCCCTTACCTCGCCCTTGAAAGAAAAGGTCAGTATGCAGTCATCATTATACTTCTATTCTAAATTTAGTAATAAAGAGACTTTTTTTTGTACAAGTCAGCTTTCAGTCACCAAATTTAAAAGTGGGTCACCCCTCGAGTCAGTCACTGCTGGCAACAAAGGGCGGATAGCGTGACAAATCAGTGCCGGTGAGGCCTGGGTACGACCAACGGTGGCCCATGCATACTTGATGGTGCGGTGGCTTTGAGGACGCCGCCGCTGGCTGTCGCACAACGACAATCTGGTGCACGCGGTCGCAGGGTGAGTATCAACCAACGCCACCGCCAAAGGCACCGAAAGAGGCACTCCGCCCTAAACTGAGTAATTTAGATCGTTGCTCTTTAACTGTTGTTCCCCGATGACCCAGATTGCACTGGCGAAAGTAGTCTACTGATCTTTGAAATGCGCACAAATAATGTCATGTGGAATAAGGTAGGTGTACGCCAGACCGTGTCTTGTCGTAACAGGCTTCGCGATGCTGCGCCAGTTCCGACAATCCACGCCTGGCGTATACACCTACCTTCGCCTGCGGCGCTCGCCTGCCGCCTTCGGCAGGCTGCTTTCCTACACTGAACGTAGAAATGGTCGTGATCCCCACATAATATAGAATTTGGTGATCAAAATCTTCAACAATGGGACTTAACTTTAGGTCGACGGTCAGAATGGGTTCTATTTTCGTCATCAGCACCCTCCAAAACATAGGAAACGATATGAATCTTTACAAAAAAAATTGGAAGTACCAAACAAGGTGTCTTATTTTCTGCCGTTTTTAAGCGGTCTTGCTACCGCTTCTAGTTCTGCATCCGATCCCACTCATCCCATCCCATCCACCCATCCATCCATTCGGCGCGCTCGGGCTCGGAGGGGACTGCATGGTCGTGTTGGTCGTCGTCGTCTGTCGTCGTCCTGCGCCGCCGCGCCGCCTCGCCGCGCCAGTCCCCACTCCTCACAGCCACCCCCACCCTTCTTGCCCCCTCTCTGCCCGGCCTCCCCGGCCGGTCCACGGCAAGACCGCTTTGCTAAGCTGGGACATTCCACGTGAATCCAACGACAGTTTGGAATCGAGGTCCTCGGATTTCGACCTAAGTGGTATCAATCGATTCGGTATCGGCCCCTGACTCACCATGTAAATTTTTTTGAAAAAATTTTGAACGGTTTAGTTTTTGCACCAGTTTTATGGTTTTATAAGTTTAAAAATAGTAAAAACAAAAATTTTTTTTTTAAATTTTTTGTAGGTGTTCTTGAGGGTTTAGGAATGTGGGAAAAGCATTAAAAGTTGTTTGAGAACCATCTGGGAGGTTTTAAGGGTAGTGAAAATGGTGAATTTTGGTGAAAATTTGACAAATTTCACCGTTCTGAAAATACGTCATCATGGATTTTGGCCAAACTTTTTTTTTCTTTTCCTCTACTATTGGTGCATACTCCCTTAAGAGGGTTTGGATGGCCCGCCACAATTTTCTCTTCTGGAGCCTATAACATGTCTAATTGCGGCATATTTTTCCCTTTAATTGACTGTTTTTTTGTCGTTTCTCTCGTACGCTTACTTGGTCGACCATGCAGATCACTCAAAGTAAGGATATCAGGGCCCAACACAACTCCTGATAGCTAGCTCTTCTATATGCAGACTTTTAGGGACCCATGCAACCATTATTATAGTTACTTTACACAAATTTATTTTATTTTGAGGACATTTTCACTCAGATCTCGACTAACCTGAGACATGGAGTTTCGAAGTGGACTTTATGTAGTACAGCACATGTTTCAACTTGATTACTCTTTCCATTAAGAATTTCTGAATCTTGCCATCCTTAAATAGTGAGTTGTCACTAAACTTTTGTCCACTTCAAAACTCCATGTCTCAGGTTAGTCGAGATCTATGAGTGAAAATGTGCTCAAAATAAAATAAATTTGTTTAAAGTATCTATGATAATGATTGCATGAGTCCCTAAAAGTCTGCAATTAGAAGAGCTAGCTATCAGGAGTTGTGTTGGGCCCTGATATCCTTACTTTGAGTGATCTGCATGGTCGACCAAGTAAGCGCATGAGAGAGACGACAAAAAAACAGTCAATTAAAGGGAAAAATATGCCGCAATTAGACATGTTATAGGCTCCAGAAGAGAAAATTGTGGCGGGCCATCCAAACCCTCTTAAGGGAGTATGCACCAATAGTAGAGGAAAAGAAAAAAAAAGTTTGGCCAAAATCCATGATGACGTATTTTCAGAACGGTGAAATTTGTCAAATTTTCACCAAAATTCACCATTTTCACTACCCTTAAAACCTCCCAGATGGTTCTCAAACAACTTTTAATGCTTTTCCCACATTCCTAAACCCTCAAGAACACCTACAAAAAATTTAAAAAAAATTTTTTTTGTTTTTACTATTTTTAAACTTATAAAACCATAAAACTGGTGCAAAAACTAAACCGTTCAAAATTTTTTCAAAAAAATTTACATGGTGAGTCAGGGGCCGATACCGAATCGATTGATACCACTTAGGTCGAAATCCGAGGACCTCGATTCCAAACCGTCGTTGGATTCACGTGGAATGTCCCAGCTTGCCTTGGCGGAACTTTTTAAGCGGTCTTGCTACCGCTTCTAGCTCTGCATCCGATCCCACTCATCCCATCCCATCCATCCATCCCATCCATCCATCCATCCATTCAGCGCGCTCGGAGGGGACTGCATGGTCGTGTTGGTTCCGTCGTCCGTCGTCCGTCGTCGTCCTGCGCCGCCACGCCGCGCCAGTCCCCACTCCTCACAGCCACCCCCTCCCTTCCTTGCCCCCTCTCTGCCCGGCCTCGCCTGCCGGGCCACGGCAAGACCGCTTTGCTAAGCTTGCCTTGGCGGAACTTTTTTTTAAGTGTTTTTTGGTTAATATGACCGAAAGGAATGATATAGAAAGCTGAATTTTGGTGTGTGGCGAGCCAAGAATCTACCTAAGGATCTTGCAAAATCTCAGCCAGATCGGCCGAGCCGTTCAGGAGGAGTAAGTAGTGCGCACGCACACTCAGACAGACAGGTAAAACTTTTCAACCCCACTGGAGCAACGGGCTTCGCTATCGCTCAGCCCAAAATGTCACACTCTTAAAACCTTACGAAGTATTATGAGCGTACATATAACAAACTAAAATACTTTGTTATACGAAGAAATAGTTCGTAAATTACGAAGTATGTACTTTGTAAGCTTATGTATGCTCAAAATACTTTGTTATACAAACTACTTTTGTTTGTAAGGCCCAAAATAGTTTGTAAGGTTTTCTCAGTGCATACGTAAAAGATCAACTCTCGACAAGAAGGAAATAAAGTTAGGAATTATTGCCCTTTAGTCCATGCCATGTGCGTCCTGCAACAAGATGATATTTGATTTCAACAGTACTGAGCTTTGATCTGTTTCTTCATATGATACATTACAAACTAAAACTATAGTACACATACCAGAATCATCCCACTCCTTCGCCATGTTGATCCAGAATGCTTCACCCGCGTCTTTTCAGTGACATGCAAAGCTACGTATGTGAAAATGTTCTTGTCCTCTTCCCTGGTGTAATGTGCAAACCTTCTTGTTCTGTTGCCAGTGAGGGAATGAGTGACAATAAATTAAGAAGTGAATTGAACAAATCATATGAACGATTCTCACGTTTCGGGGTAGTTTTGGCGTCTCTGATTTGCCGAAAGTGAGAAATATCCAATTAAGTTTTTCTGATTATTAGGGTCCTGGATGATACTAGAGTTATGGCAATGGTATTTATAGTAAAGACCTTGTACTACCTTCCTAAAAACATGAGGCATAAGGTATTCCCATACGTTTTAGTGGGTGTTTTGATCACGGAAATTACGTTATCACGGAGGTTACAAAGTGTGAAAATCGGCTTTAACGGCTGACTCGGGCTTGCTGTGGCTTAAAAGTCGTTCCAGGGTCAAATGATACTCTAAGCCCGACATTTAAGTGGAAAATTTTTTCACCTAGTGCTGCTGCAACATTGGGTAAAGGGTGCCACGGAAGTTACAGGTAATTGTTGATACACGCCATTTTATAATACTCTAGCCCGCTTTGAGACCGTGTACAGCATCTTAGATTTCCGTGACCCATGCAATTATATCCCAGGGACTCCACTTTGATGGCTTGTGTCATGGAAAGTTAAGAGTTTGGCTTGGGGAGAAGTCCAGAGCTGCCTTTTCGAAATTTGTGTAGTGAAATTGAATATACGGTGGACATTTTTCGTTGCAGCATAAGTACCTTTGAAAGAAGTCTGGCGTATTGGTCTTCGGTTGAAATTAGCTCGAGACATGCTAAGCTTCGAATCCCCATCGACAGTTGGCAGCATTTTCGAACCACACGGCCACACTGGCGGAAAGTTCGAGTATGTTCTCTTTGGACAATCACGGAAGTTACATTTAGGGTATCCCAAACGCTGCGTAGACCAATCCAACGAACGTGAACTTTTTCGAAATGTGTGCGTTTAGTGAGCAATGGCCCTCCCTAACATCAGAAACAAACCCCATGTCTATATCTGCGCTCGTTTGGGCACAGTTGTCTGAAGAACGCTCTAAATGTCTTACGAAGAAATTTCCCATATTACGAAGGAAATGGCGCAAGCATAATACGAAGGTGGTTTTTCTTCGTATTACGAAGGTTTTTCTTTGTATCTTACAGTGAAAAAGCTAAAAAGATTCGTATTACGAAGGAATATTGCTTCGTATTATGCTTGCGCCAAATTCACCGCAACATACGAATAACATGGGTCAAATTTCATTGTAAGACATTTAGAGTGAAACGAAACTACCCCGAAACGTGAGAATCGCTCATATATTTGTGGCACATAAATGAATTTTCCATTATTTTCAGTGATTGATGCGACAGTGCTATCAGTTCATCTTCGCAAGGCGATTGGAGACATGAACTGGTGGAATGTCCTGTTCATTTCCGCCTCAGTGCGAGCGTCAGACGTTGCATATCTAGCAATGGACTTCTTTGCGGTAAGGGGTGTCGACGCTGTTGTCCTGGCCGTAAGTGATGCTGCCGGTGAGTCAGGGAGGGTGATCAACTTTAAGAACGTCGGGTGCGGTCAAAATCGACAAAAAATAGAAAAGCTAAGCGATACACATCGGCAACTTTAGCCCGTCCCAAGGCTGTAAAATTTAGGGGAATGGTTTTCCTTGAGTTCCGTGTAACTTGCTGCCGAATACATACGGGGAACAAGCGAAAGGTACTGAATAGATGCAAGGTAGGTGTACGCCAGACAGTGACTTACCGTAACAGTCTTCGCGATGCTGCGCCAGTTCCGGCAATCCACGCCTGGCGTTTACACCTACTCTGGTCTGTTGCGATGGCGCTGGCCAGCTTTCGGGAGGCTCTTTTGCTTACGCATCGGCACTCAAAGAGACGGGGTCGCAAGTCTAAACAGCATTTGGTTTATGCATTGAGGCTGGGAGGCACCGACCCCAGGCCCCCTTATGAGAGTGATGCTCGCTGATCAAACTGAATGACATCTAAATTATGTTTAATCACGGCCTATTGTGATTCGGTTTTCTTCGGCACTACACAGCGAGAAATCGTAGGCCTCAACTCTTGTAATGCTGACCTTCACCTCAAAATGGTTCCAGAGAGTCAAAACAGACACCAGGACAACATTTTAATACACGGGAGCAATATGGGTGTCAAATAGTCAAATTTTGACGATCCACTAAGATTTCTTTTAGCGTTTTTCACAGTTACACTCAAACAGTTACAGTTACACTCACGACAGTTAGGGACCCTGCTAAATCTCAATCAGGTCGGCCCAGGCGTTCGGGAGTAGTGCTCACACACAGGCAGCCACAGTCAAATTTGACTGTTTGACTTAAATGTTTCAACCCCAGCCGAGTAACGGGCTTCGCTGTCGATCAGCCAAAAATTGTAGGTGTTTCCGTTGTCTGCTCATATTCTCACACGTCAACACTTTTTTGTCGTTTGTTTATCTTAGAAAAGCTTAGTGTCTTCCGTATCCTAGCGGGAGACGGCCGCTTCCAGGTTTCCATCCCGGAAAACTCTGCCAGTGCACACACCTTGCTCAATGTCAGGCACCAGACGAACATTGGCGTGTTGCTGAAGGGCGGCCAACACAGGCAGCGTTGGCTACAAAAGGCAAGTATTGTTATTAATTGCAGCTGTATTCCTTTCAAGGGGATAAAAACTAACACACACGCTTCGGTTTTCGAGCTGGGCAGCATGCAGGAACAACACACAATATTTTATGTTCAATTCTGTACGAAACATATAAGTTTTCGTGTGCACACTAAATGCACACTTTTCGTTGTATTCTTCCAATGTTCGAATTGAGGGACTTGACTGACTTCTGTAGACATGTTTATTCGGCGAGACCAGCACAGACATTAACCGTACAAAATGGGGCAGGTAAACAGCTGGACAAGACAGTGGTAGTGGGGGTAAAACAGCTGATGGTGACGTGCGTACAGAAGGGTGACAAATGACGGGTGATGGATGAGGATAATGTGTGATGGCGGTTAATACAATAAGGGAGTATGGGGCGATTTGTAACAGGGGCGATTCGTAACACACGCGTTTATTAATTTAAGTGGAGGGAGCAGAGGAAAATCTGGGTATGGCCCCTCTTTCGCTTCAAGTACAGGGTCCTTCTACAATCAAAGCGGATGTGATCGGTGCTCAGGTATAGTTTTGGAGGGCGTCTGAAATTTAGGGTACACCGAAAACAGGTAAATCTTTTATTTTGAATTCTAGGAAGTTTCTGTCTGAGGCTCCCCAGGTATGAATCACCATCGAAGTACTGTTGGGGCCTTGAAGCGTGACCCCTTTACAATGTAACCACGTGGCATAAGGTGCTTTTACTTTGTCCAGTGATAGTTAGGGACGTATTTCTTGCGTAGCCGGCAATTGGGGTGATTCGTAACAGACCCGTATAAAAACAAGAATTTAAGTAATTTTTGCAATTAAATGCTTGAATTATTTCTCGAATCATCTGCTGTTTTATTCCAATACATTTACACAGCTCCAAATGCATTTTAAAGCGAGTTATTCTATGCTTTCCTCCAAAATTGAAAAAAGTGAGGTTAGGGTTGACATAGCCGGTCAGTTTATGCTGAGGCGGTCAAGGGCAGCTTGTAATGTAGATTTTAAGGCGTCTGTAGGACATCCGAAGAACAACTGCTGGAGGAGATAACATTCCCGACGATGTTTCATTTAATGTGTAGGCTGTTATGAAAAGCCCCATGGCTGTTACAAATCACCCCATGCTGGGGCGATTCGTAACAGCATGCAAGGGTTTGGAAAGCGTCTTAGATTTCAAAGATTACGGACTCCAGATTGATCCAACGGAGCTGCACAGTCTAGATGAAGGGCCAGACTGCTCAACTGGCACAAGTTTGACACCGATATGCAGAATGTTCTTAATTTTGTATAGAGAATTCCAAAATCTGTTACAAATCGCCCCATACTCCCTTACTTTCCGTACAAATTTGTACAAAAACATTTAGTGTGAAGCACACAAACTTACAAGCGTACATCGAGTGTTCATACAGGCATACTTGAACTACAAGCACACAATCTGCACAGAATGTGCACTTACAATTCTGTACAGGATGTAGCAAGACATAATTCAGTCTCTGGTCTCCAGCTTCCCCGGCTTCCTTTGGGTGCTCCCTCAATTTTGAAATAAAATAATCCTGCAAAATGGAAAATATACAGTGAGTGGTAAATATTGTGTGAGCTTATTAAAAGTCAGAAAACATCCAGTGGGCCAGGAACTCCTTGAAATTTTTACAACTGATGTGGGCAGACGTGATGGGCCAGAAAATGAGCTCAAAAGTGGGCCTGCACTAGCCAAGCTTCGCTCTTCAAAACGCCTCTCCACATGGAGAGGCACCCGTTCGAACTATGGAGACATGGTCAGCAAGTCATCAGCTGCCTTAAAAGAATCCAGCTTAATATAAGAGAGGAAAGAGTAATAATTAATTAGAAAAACAAACATTATTAGTAGTACAGGGAACAGGGAATGCATTGGACAAACCTCAACAATTGCAGCGTGCTCTATCTGGATACGCTATTTGGATTCTGTTATTCATTTCAAATTGAAAGACCGGCTGAAATTGAGAAACAAGTTTTGTAAAGACAATATCGCATTGTTAGTAGGAATGTACCCACCTCAAAGGAGACCCGATACTTAAATAAATCAAGTGAGATCATCCTGTGGACGAAAGGAAGCAGTTTCACAAGTGAAAGTGCATGCAACAAAAAATCTGAATGGTTCTAGCTTACTCTCATGGTCAGTCATTCCCACAAGCACCTGACCCCCTACGCACGGAATCACCCCGCCCTTATTCCAAAAATACCCCTACATGCAGTGCTAGCTCCGCCCATGGCTGAAATCCTCCTTCCGCCCTTGTGAACCTTGCCCTTTTCTGACGTTTTGGAAGTTATTTTTGCTACTTATAAATGAAGAAATTAAAATAGGAAGCTGAATTTTGATGTGTGGCGAGCGAGGGGTTACCCACCCCGGGAATCGTGTGTACACATGGCCGGGAATCTGGTCGGAATCTCGGCGGAATCAGGTGGAATCAGGCGGAATCACGGGAATCGTGGGAATTGCAAGGGAATCGCGGGAATCGGCGGAATCGTTTAGGAATCGCTCGGGAATCTTGGGAATCAGTTGGGAATCTTGGGAATCATTTCGGAATCATGGGAATCAGGTGAAAATTGTGTGTAAATTATGGAACATTCCCTTAGATCATGCGAACCATCGGATACTCTGCTTAGCGCCTCCGAAGTGTTCCGTAGACCGCCGAGGCAGCCGAGGCCTTCCCCTTCTTTACTTCGGTTGTGACAGGGTTACGAACAGGACGCAAATTTCCACAGAGGGCCAATGATGAACCAGACTTCTTTTACAGCTTTGGAAACTTCCTTTCCAGCTCGTAGAAGGTGAGATCCGCAAACCTGAAAAACGTTCTGATTTTGCTTCTCATTCTCTAGAAAAGTGCTATCCTCATAGTTTGTTTTGATGTTGTGTCGTCTGCTGAGGGCCTCGTGAAGCCTAGAGCCCTGGTAGCACTTCGAACAAGTCCTATTAACCTCCTCAGCTCTCAATAATAGTTGATTGAAGATCCCTGCAATGTCGCATGTAGACAGTTTAGAAGTTTCGAGGCTCATTGCGGAAGTTTAGGAACCGACGCCGGAAGCGGAAACGCACGGCGGACATTTTGGTCGTCACCGGACGCTTTGTTTTGATGTTGTGTCGTCTGCTTGGGGCAGCGGTTCCCAACCTTTTTCGGTTCGCGACCCCAAATTTGTAGCCAAAAATTTCCGCGACCCCCAGGAAAAATTTCGCGACCCCACGCGACCCCTCCTTTAGCATGCCTTTGATACAAAGTGCGATAATCCGGCTTAGTTTGGAAGCAGTATTGTCTCAAAGTTGATCAAAACTGTCACAAATGTCTGTGAAAAATCGTGTTTTGGGCCGACTTTAAGCATCTGCTGCGTCTGATCCGAGGCGGTATTTCGTCCTCCCTCAACGGGCAATTCTGTGGCATTACAACAAAGTGACGTAAGTGCACTTACGACAAAAACGAGTTAGTCGCACGGTTGGAACCCTCTCATTGATGCGGACCTATTCCAATATGCACAATTACATTTTTCTCGTTTGGTCTAGGAGATAATGACAAGTAAAATCTGACGTAAGTCAATTTCATTCAGAAGTCAATTTGCCAAAATGTCGTAAGTGCACTTACGACATATTTTTGGAAATCATGTCGTAAAAAATGTGTCGTAAGTAAACCTGCGTCACAGATTTTTTCACAGCTGGGCAGGGACCTCGAGTACGATTATGTCATACAGCTAATGACTTGCACTGTCTAAACTTTAATATATAGGAGGGGTCACAACGGAGTAAAATGTAAACTTTCAAAGTGACGTAAGTGCACTTACGTCACTTTGTTGGATTAAAAATCCCAAATCATGTGACGTAAGTCTAGCGAAGTGGAAAACCAATCATTATTTTAACTGTCTCTTAACATAAAAGTATTTTTTAAGTGCCACAAGAAATTCTCCTATCATCGGTTAAAGTTTTAACCTGTTGCTTGATTTTGAAAAGTGTTTTTTACGTCTCCTGAAATACTAATGTTTTTGACTTACGTCACTTTGTTGTATTGCCACAGAATTGGTCTTTGGACCTTCCTTATGCGTGCCTTTGTTACGGAAAGCGATTATCTGCCTTAGTTTGGGAGCAGTACTGCCGCAAAGTTGATCAAAACGGTCACAAATGTCTGTAAAAAATCGTGTTTTGGGCCGACTTTAAGCATCTGCTGCGTCTGATCCGAGGCGGTATTTCGTCCTCCCTCAACGGGCAATTGGTCTTTGGACCTTTCTTTTGCATGCCTTTTTTACGGAAAGCGATTATCTGCCTTAGTTTTGGAGCAGTATTGCCGCAAAGTTGATCAAAATGGTCACAAATGTCTGAAAAATCGTGTTTTGATCAACTTTGCGGCAATACTGCTCCCAAACTAAGGCAGATAATCGCTTTCCGTAACAAAGGCATGCAAAAGAAAGGTCCAAAGACCAAATGCCCGTTGAGGGAGGACAAAATACCGCCTCGGATCAGACGCAGTAGATGCTTAAAGTCGGCCCAAAACACGATTTTTCACAGACATTTGTGACCGTTTTGATCAACTTTGCGGCAGTATTGCTCCCAAACTAAGGCAGATAATCGCTTTCCGTAACAAAGGCACGCAAAAGGAAGGTCCAAAGACCAATTGCCCGTTGAGGGAGGACGAAATACCGCCTCATTCCCCTTTAGGGCCTTTAGGACTCTAGCTCGCTGTCATGCGCATCACAGATTTTCATACCTGTCGACCCATACGGACCCGCGAGCCCGCGAACCATTTAAATTTCTACCGGAATCGCGAGAAAATCTTGTCGGAATCACGTGGGAATCATTGAAATCACGTGGGAATCATGGAATCAGATGGGAATCTCTGAAATTACAGGAATCATTCTGGAATCTTCAGGAATCTTCAGGAATCTGGGAATCATTTTGGAATCTTGGGAATCTTGAAATTGGGAATCGTGTGTACGCGAAAATCGGGAGTGGGTAACCCCTCGGTGGCGAGCCACGGACAAACCTAATAACCCTGCAAAATCTCAGCCGAATTGGCCGAGCCGTTCAGTAGTGCGGGCGGACACACAGACACACACACACAGACAGAAAAAGCTTTTCAACCGCACTCGAGTAACGAGCATCTCAATCGCTCAGCCAACGAGGTTACTCATACGGTTTTGTCTATCCACGTCAGGCGGACGGAAGGTGGTTTAACGACAGCTTCCATTGGCTCAGCATCGAGGACGATGAAAAGTCGTCAGTTGACGAGTGGCCTTTGCGCTTCGACAGCGAGGTTTTCAGAGCTCGACGAACTACTTCTGGAAATGGGTCCACGTGAGTAGAGTAACGAGACATTCTGTAAAACCGTATCACAGAATCAATGCTAAGGTCACACTCATTAACCCGTTTCGCAACATTTATTTTCCGTTACCTCTGTCACATCCGTGTGAGGGGTCATCAGAGTAATTTTTCCTCGATTTACAGGTGGGTTTTGGACGAGATGCTTCGCTCCAATGCAGAACCAGTGGCGTCGTGGCCCTTCGCCGCCTGGACAGAGCTTGACGGCCTCGTGTCTACCGACATCATTCATTTTGGTGGTGATCCTCTGGAAGACCACCGATCTCAACTGAGGCGAGCCAAGCACTACTGGCACCCAGTGGTTCGCACCGCTGTCTTCGTAAGATACTATTTTTTGGTCTGGCCTTTAGAGCATTTGTTTTGACTGTTTGTTGAGCAGAGATCGTTTTGCAACATTTACATGATCATTTTCAGAGTTTTTTTTTTAAAAACCTCTTCATTTCGAATCGAATACTGAGCACATAGCTACTTACTTGAGGAGAGGTATTAGATGTCGAATCTGCAATATGACCAGATTGCAATTGCACTGCGCGTTTTGAGAAGTTTCGCACCCTCCACACTAAATCACTATGTTGGTTTTTCTGCGCGTCAATGCACGAAATTAAACATGCACTTCGTAACGCACGAATTTGTGCGCGACAATGCACGATTTCGTGCGCAAGTATGCAGTAAATCGTGCATTTTTGCGCACAAATTCGTGCGTTACGAAGTGCATGTTTAATTTCGTGCATTGGCGCGCAGAAAAACCCACATAGTAATTTAGTGTGAGTTACACGCAAAGCATTCTGTCAAAAAATGTATAAATAGTCACCTAAGTAGGTTATTGGAAGTTGCAGAGGTATCCACATCAGATGCCATGTCACTGTCGAGCAGTTTAGTGACCGATTCTAATTTTCCTCTAACGTCATTTGTTGGCAGAGAATAGTGCTCTTGTTTGTGTCATCAGCCACTGAATTATCAGGGACTTCCGGGAGGGGTTTCCATCAACATTGCATTTGAGCGGTTGAGGACGGGCCACAGTGGAAAGACCACTGAAGAGGAAAAAATTACCATCATTGTTGACTAAAAACGAAATGCATGTGGAATATACATTTCTTTCCTGCTCAGGAGGAGCACTATGCCGACCGAGCCACAATGCAGAAGATATTCGATTTGCCCCCCGAAATTGTGTTGGCACACCTTAATTTTCTTAGCATCGTGACCTTGGCTATAACTCAGAACACCTTCGAGCTATTCAACGCAACGTAAGTAACAACACCGCACAGTACATTTGAATAATTGAGACTAAAAGAGGCCTTTTCAAGAGCGCGCGTCTCGTAATTATGGAGGAATGTCAGTGCGGGCATGGGACGTCGGATGCATGCTGCATCTGTCCGAGCACTTCCGACCTTAGTTAATCTCCCGTTGACTTCGGAGACAGCCTAGACCCGAAGTCAGCGGCAGAACGGGAGAAAGAAAAGAGCGTCGCATGGCCGTGCTGAGCGGTGGAAATCTGCGAATCCGAATGCTTCGAAATTGGCTCCGTTCTGTCGCTGACTTCCGGTCTAGATTTCCTCCGACGTACCCTATTTCCCTCTGTCAATACTAGATAGGTGTACGCCAGACCGAGACCTGTCGTAACAAGTTTCGCGATGCTGCGCCAGTTTCGACAATCCACTCTGTGGCAGAAAGCTGCGGGAGATTCTGTAAACAGCTTGTGGTAATAGGGTACTTCCGTAGATCCTGATCCGGAAGCACGCAGAACAGCAGACGCCAAATTGGCCGGAAACTAACCTCTCTTCGGATCTTAAACTATAGCCGAGCTGTACAAATATTGCTCGCGAAACACATATGCACTGCAAGCAAGTATCAAACGACTGTTTATGTTCAAGTGTGGCCGATACGTTTGACTAACGTCTCTTTCCCATGTCAAGTTTGGATCTACTTCCGCCAACATGGCGTCTGTGTGCTTCCGGATCAGGGATCTACGAAAGTACCCTATTCTCCGTAGGCTCATGCAGTATTTTCCGTAGGACCTTACAGTGATCTCCGTAGGACTAAACAGTCTTCCAGGTCCTACCGAGAAGACAGTACGGCCCTACGGAGAATACTGTACGAGCCTACGGAGAATTTCGATAAGAGGGCTACGGAGAATCCTGCCAAAAATATTAACAGAATTTTCCGTAGCTTTTTGCCACAGTGCACGCCTGGCGTTAACGCCTTCCTTCGCCTGCGGCGCTGGCGTTGCCTTGCCTTCGGCAGGCTCCTTCCCTTGGTGAACGGCACACAAAGGGTCAGAATGGGTTAAATTTACGTCATCAGCACCCTCAAAGACATGGGTCATTCTACAGAAATGTTACAATTTGATGTCCCTGCCCCTTTGTGACGAAACGGTTCGTCCTAGAAAGACGCGGTTTGCGCGGTGAGATGGTGCTTTTTGTGCTTCAAAATGATCCACTATTGGGTTTGAAAGTTTCTGAGGTTTTCAGATGGCTGTGGCCTCCGGAAGGTGCAAAATGTAAACTCCGTGGCTGTCCCGATGCGTAGTTCACTAAGTTTGCGCCTCTCGTATGTCTAAACGAGACGCAGGACAATCATTCCCGACGGCTCTATTTGCTAAGGCACTTTTATACTTTAACTTAATCCCACTGACTTTAGTAAAAAGTTTGAAGCTTTGTGCCTGCACAGAATTAACTTTTGTCCCGAAGTTTTTACTTCCCTAAAATCCACATGTGCACTGTAACGAGTTTGGCACTACAGGAGACAAACGGGAAGTCACAGCCTCAATCTGAAGACTGCAATGGATTCCGGATGAAAAAACACATCTAGCCACCAAGTTTGAAGGATGTGAGTCCAATGGCTAGCATCTAATTGGTACCCAAATTTCAAAAAGGGGGTCGCGTATTTTTTTTGTATGTAAACTCCGTACCCGATTTGCCACGGATCCCCTGTGCGTCAAACTTTCGAATTGTGGATAAAAACAATGCTTTGGTGGTCCTTTAGTCCGCTGTGTATGCGCGTTCTACTGTTCCAACTCATACGGCTGCAATCCAGGTATTTGCTTCAAAATGTAAACTCCGTAGGCGTCAATTTATGTAAACTCCGTAGACATTTCCCCTATGATTTCAGTGGAGAAAAATTTTTTTCTCGATAAGTGTGACGCTTGATATCGTTTCGCATTCTGCATGCCGAAACAAGAAAAACAAGCCCAATATGAATGAAATCGGACAACTTTTATTTTTTCACGGTTCTAACTGCGAAATTGTAACATTTCTGTAGAATGACCCACATAAGAAGCGATGTTAAACTTTCTACAAAGTTGTAAGGCATTGAAAAGTTGCCTTCTTGGCAATTCTTAGTGTTTCATCGTCGGTTTCACTGAATAGTACGAGTACGAGATGCTGAATTTTGACGTGTCGTGAGCCAAGGACTGCAAAATCTCAGCCAGATCGGCCGAGCCGTTCAGGAGGAGTAGTGTTCACACACAGACGGTCAGAAAAAGTTTTTCAACCCCACTGGGCAGCCAATGATGTTCTGGCACCGGAAATGGAGACGCCTTTAATATCATGCTTCATTAACACTCTTTCGCCGTTAGTCTAACGAGAGGATGACATTTAGTTCCTGTCCACCAATTCCAGTTAAGCCTTTCTTTCCTGATGAAACGCACGAAGAGTAGGTTCGATAGACTGGACCCTGAGGCACTCCATTTTCCTCAGCCTGACATTAAGGTAGCTTCATGGATATTAAATTCCGTCTCCTTTTCTCACGGTGTTATTTCTGTAACACCTAGTTCCATGAAAACAGCCCGAAAGTAGAAAGAGGCTCCATCCGGCCGTCGCGTCTGTACCCAGCTCGCCTTCATTTGATTTCAGAGTCATCGCCAAGGACTTTGTCAAGTCAGGTGAGCTGGAGGTGCCCCCGTCGGGCGTTTTCTCCGGTGCGTCCGGCGCAGTACAGCGCGGCAGTGTGGACTTAGTGTCGACCGGTCTCATCATGTCTCTGGACCGCTTGCACCACTTCGCCTTCTCGGCCACAACCTTTGAGCTCAGGTGCCGTGCCCCAAGGAACAGACTAAGGCCAAGTTGACGTCAAGGGACCTAAAATCGGTAACAATTAGTCGAGCTCTGTTTCACTGGTCCCTTTTGACTTCAATGTGACCAGGAATTTTGTGTCAAATTGACATCAGAAGATATCATATTCATCAAAGGGTTATCAATTGACCCCACTTGACGTCAAAAAGGCAAACCGAAACGCTAACTTTTACCTACGGCCCTGATGTCATCTTAGCACCTATCATTTGAGAGCCTTGCAACCTTTTTCTGTAATTAACATGAGGATTTCTATGTGCGCACTCATCTTCCGTATTGATTGGAATCGATCCTAATTACGAAACTGACTTAACAGAACTTGCGCGTACTTTCGCTTGTTCGCAATTGACGATGCCCTCACCGTAATCAAGAGAGTTGTACCTTGTCCGCTAGGTCTAAACATGAAGGCAGCAAAAGGCCCGGTTCCAATCGACTTCAGTTTGGAAGAACCAAAAGAGAGGACACAAAATTATCTCATTACACTCTAATTGTCTTACATTGGAATTTGACCTATGTTATTCGTATGTTACAATGAATTCGGCGCAAGCATAATACGAAGCAATATTCCTTCGTAATACGAATCGTTTGACCTTTTTCATCGTAAGATACAAAGAAAAACCTTCGTAATACGAAGAAAAACCACCTTCGTATTATGCTTGCGCCATTCCCTTCGTAATATGGGAAATTTCTTCGTAAGACATTAAGAGTGTACACGAGAACTGCTTAGCTATCTTCGGGCTTTCCTTGGTGTCTGGCAGGATCGTCGGTCTCTTTCTAGCAGAGGGGACCCTCGGGTCAGTGGACGCTCTCATCACGCCGTTCCACTGGTTCACGTGGGTGTCTCTCATCGCCCTGGCTCTTGCGGGGCTGCTGCTGTATCGGCGCTTCCGCCAAGCCGAGGGACAAGAAATCTCATGGAGTGAGAGCCTCATCGGCAGCGTTGGTTCTCTCACTGGGCAAGGTGACTTCCTACACACGTAAAGTTAATGTAGTTACGTTGACTATTTTTTATTCCCATATATTCCCATTCAAGCACCCTAGTAGCACAGATCAGTCGACAGATTGTCGGTCGACTGTCGGTGCCTCGACTTAAAATTGTCGATCGACTGTCGGCCCCGACGTTTCTCCGTCATCGAAATGGCACAACTTCCGAGGTCGGACGACAGTCGGAGCCGATGATTTCTCGACATCGGAATCCGATGATACCTCGACATCACAAACTCGGCAGTCAGATAGACACCCCCCCCCCACAAGAAAAAAAAAGAAATGCTTGAGTGATGTCGATGATCCGAGTGCTCCGATATTCTTCGCACCCGCTTGCCTCTCGCCGGAAGGACGCTTCAGCGCCCGCCGCCGGGAGGAGTTGAACCACGGTCCTGTAGCATCGTAGCGCGGACGCTTACCCCGAGACTACCGGACTTGTTGGGGACGACGGTTGCACGGCTCCGAGCACATGCCCCGAGCGCGCCGCAGCGAGCTGCTGGCGCGCAGGGGTGGGGGCAGCGGCTCTCTACGTGCGGCTGCTGCGCGCGGTGGAGGGGGGTACGGAGCCGCACCAACGCAAGCCACGCCAACATCGGGACTTAGAATTTTCACGCGTTTTTGGAGCGCTTGCACCCTAGCGCCGGCGGCTTGTGAGGATTCCACAACTTTTTGGTTTACGCTGGGCGGACAGACTTCACCAGGGATCATCTGCGGCGGACTTGCATCTGCCCTACGTGGCGCGGACCACTCACGAAGTCCCCGAGAAGCGTCCGAGTGCCCCCGTCCCTTAGAGCGGAGAGTAATCAACTCCCTCGCTTCCTAGCGCAGCGGTTCTCGACCTTGGAGTCGCGAAAAAAATTGTGGTGTCGCGGCGATGTGGCTGGGGTCGCGGCGGTTTACCGGCTGGCCTACAGGCCGAGCATTGCCGGGAACATCAATTCGCGGAAACTGGAAAACCCACTGCCTGTTTGTCGCTGCACGGATGTTTGAAGGCCTGCCAGCGCCGTGAGCAAGCGGGAAAATCCTTCTTGGAAGTGTAGGTAGGGGACGGGCATCGACTCTCTGGAGGTAAGGACTCCTCCTCCACGACCACGGCCGGTCGCCACCGATTCGTTATCGCTTGGTTGTCGGAAGCGCGATTTCCGTGTCGCGGCAACATCGAGTTCGACAGCTTCTCGACAACGGCCAGTTGCCATCGAGTCGTTATCGTAGGGTTGTCGGGAGCGCGATAGTCGAAATTTTCACATCGCACTGGCATCGGTCTCGATAATTCCTCGACAACGGCCGTTCGTCTTCGACCGACTATCGCAGCGTTGTCGACAGCGCGTTATCGGCCGGCCGATAGAATGGCGACATCGAGAAATCATCAGTTGTCAAATGTCGACCGAGTGACAGTGCGACGACAGTCGCTCGACAAGCGAAATAACGTTATCGGCTATCGACGTGCCGATACAATTTCGACTGTCGATCGACAAGTCTGTGTTACTAGGGCAGTGTTGCCAGAACAGTTGGCGAAAAGTGGCCAAAACTCCTAGGTGCGCGACGCGTATTATCTTTTCCTGCTCTCGAAAACTTGTCCCCTCAGCTGTTAAGTAACTTTTCCATGCAGGAGGATATGCAGCCTGCCGCTTGTGTGTTCGGGCTGCGTTTTGGTAACTCTCTTACGGGGAAACATCAGTCCAAAAACAGTGCACTCTAAATGTCTTACAATGAAATTTGACCTATGTTATTCGTATGTCACAATGAATTCGGCGCAAGCATAATACGAAGCAATATTCCTTCGTAATACGAATCGTTTGACCTTTTTCATCGTAAGATACAAAGAAAAACCTTCGTAATACGAAGAAAAACCACCTTCGTATTATGCTTGCGCCATTCCCTTCGTAATATGGGAAATTTCTTCGCAAGACATTTAGAGTGTGCTCTCGTAAAAATATCATATAAAAAAATTCCAATGCTTACGCATTGCACGGTGTTCCGGTTGTGGAAATCATTTTGAAATCTGTCATTTAAACGTTAATTACGTTAATTTTACCGTTATTTACGTAACTTTGAATCCTACCGATATTTTTACATTTCCAAAAGTGATTCAGTTAACACAATGACCATCTCAGTCCATCTCGCGATCTCGCGATTTACAGTGCTCGCTCATGTTCGTCAACCGAAAGTCATCCGCGTTCCGAAAGCACCCCTCCCGAGTTTAAAAAGTTTGTCAAACCAACCGTCGTGCTGGTTATAGAATTGAGGAAAACATGAGACGAGAACCGCAGCCTTTAAAAGCAAGCCAAGCAATCCAACCTCAGCAACAATGGAGGGGCAGTTTCAATGCGCGACTACTCGTTTTTTCAGCCTCGCGATTTTCGAAAGGGCGCAGACGCCGAGAAAATTGTTGCCAACTGCGGAAAATCTATTTATTCTGTCTTTTCTGCTGTGAAGTTTTTACTAATGACAGATTTGAATTATGTGTAAATGTTTTATCAGTGTACAATGAGTGAACATTGGCATTTGTGAATTTTACGGCGTTTTAATTTCTTTTTATCATGGACTTTAAATTTTGACAGTTGGTATAATGGCAGTGGGACGTTTTCATCGAGAATTTTTCTTCATGTTTTTATCATTTTCTTAGAACAGTGATTAGTTTTTGTCACTTTGAAGAGGCAGGAAGTTTAGTTTTTAAGAGTGGCACATTTTTTCTTCGAAACGTTTCTGGAAAATGTGAACGGATAAGGGTGCTTGATTGTTGCAAATTTATGTTTTACACGGTTCGACTCGGTCCTGGAAGTTCCAGGACCGAAATGGCTGGTTTGGGTCGCGCGCACCTGTTTCCAGGACGGATCGCGACCAGGGTGAGGTTTAGTCCTGGAAACGGGTGCGCGACCCGAGTTTTCTGACCAGGTTCCAGGACCAAGCCCCACCCTGGTCGCTTACCGTCCTGGAAACGAGTGTTCCTGGCACCCTCGGGCTCGGGCACCCGCTTCCAGGTTTGCCGTCCGTCCTGGAAACGAGTTTACCGTAGAGCCGGACGGGCGTCACTGCCAGCCTCAAACCTCTCGCCGTCTGCGCACCGCGCGCCCGGCAAGGAGGCAATCCCGCCACGCTGCCGCGTCCGGGTGGTAGAAGGGTGGCCTACCTCGCCCCTGTCAACTGTCACCTCCCTCTCCCTCCCCTCTCTCCTCCCCGCCCGTCCCCCGCCACCGCGCGACTGCCAGACACACCCCGTTATTGAGATTACCAGGGGCGGATCAAGAGGGGTGACTTCTCAAAAATCAGGATTTGGATGTTGCATATCGTTTCTCATATTTTTGGGAGCGGAGACAACTAGTCTTGAACCATCTTGAATGCAAGTTAGCTCCAAAGCTGATCCAATGTATTGTCAAAACATCCAAATTCGGATCACCCCCTTTGCCCCACCTCTTGATCCGCCCCTGGTAATCTCAATAACGGGGTGTGTCAATGAGGGTGACTTTTCCGAATTTGAGATGTTTGAATGTCGCATGTTGATTCTTATGTTTACAGGGGTGTAGGTAACAACACTAGCCTTACTTTTTGCAATGGGCCTAAGATGTTCACATTTGGAGGCTTTTTAATTTTCTGTTTTTTTTACGATACGTAAGATCAGCTTTAGAGCTTGCATTCATCATCGTTCAAGATTCGTGATCTCCGCCCCTGAAAACACAGAAATCGCGTTGCAACATCCAAAAATCCTGATTTTTGAAAAGTCACCCCTCTTGATCCGCCCCTGGGAATCTCGAAAACGAAAATTGATCATATTTTCAGGTTCAGCACCCCAAATCACTGTTCCGAGTGACACTATAAGTTCAAGATCGAGAACCTGCGGTCTCAAATATGCATCATGCTCCCCTCCACACCACTCCAACTAGCGAAAATTTGCCAAATCGCAACACTAAAAACCGTCTTTCTTCCTTGTTTATGAATTTTTTCCAACCAAATTTTGAGGGTTGCTACACTTAAGTATGGACTATAACCCATCAAAAAATAAAAAAAATAAAAAATACTACTTTTGAGAAAATCGTGTTCAAAAATTTGACTTTGTTCAATGTTTGTCAAATTTGAAAATATTTGTCAAAATGTTGAAATAAGCTTAAAGTCCAATTCAATACCTTTCGAATGCGCCTATAATGAGATCTGTAGCTTCATTTTTGAAGAAACTACAGCGTTTTCAAAAAAGGTCTGCAACGAAAATCAAAATTTTTAACAGAAGCTATAACTTTTTCAAAAATCGTTATTTTTTGCTCAAAATTGATTTTGGGGGGTTTCAGACCATAGCCAACAAGCTCGCAAAGTTTCATCGAAATCGGATAGGCCACTTGCAACAGCATGTCGAACCCCCATGGAATGACCCCCTTTCGATTCGAGTGGGTTGGGTCTGATGTTGATGTTCTTTTTCTTTTTCGGCTTAGGCAAGATGGCGTCATTGGCGCGAAGATCTTTGACGTTTAAAATGAAAAGCCGTCGCGGTGGCGCTGGCAGTCGCGCGGTGGCGGGGGACGGGCGGGGAGGAGAGAGGGGAGGGAGAGGGAGGTGACAGTTGACAGGGGCGAGGTAGGCCACCCTTCTACCACCCGGACGCGGCAGCGTAGTGGGATTGCCTCCTTGCCGGGCGCGCGGTGCGCAGACGGCGAGAGGTTTGAGGCACACTCGTTTCCAGGACGACTGGTGAACCTGGCAGTGACGCCCGTCCGGCTCTACGATAAACTCGTTTCCAGGACGGACGGCAAACATGGAAGCGGGTGCCCGAGCCCGAGGGTGCCAGGAAAACTCGTTTCCAGGACGGATCGCGACCAGGGTGGGGTTTGGTCCTGGAACCTGTTCAGGAAACTCGGGTCGCGCACCCGTTTCCAGGACTAAACCTCACCCTGGTCGCGATCCGTCCTGGAAACAGGTGCGCGCGACCCAAACCAGCCATTTCGGTCCTGGAACTTCCAGGACCGAGTCGAACCGTGTAGTCGTTTACGGAAAATTTCCACGATAAATTTTTTAGATTTTCTGGACTTTTTATTGTATTATGAAAAGGATTAATATGGCGGGAGCGAAATGTCCATCCTGGGGGGTCCGTAGAAGGAGAATTCTGAGCGGCCCCGGGCAATAGGGGTCCTCCTTCGTCGGAACCCCTAAAAATGTGCATAATACCAGAGTTGAAGGTACAATTGCGCTTCAGAAACTTTGTGAAGCGTGACTTTATTAAAATGTGACTTTTGTCGGACAATGTACAGCAGCACGTGGTAACTACGATTTGTGGCGAACGAACAGATATTTTGATCGCGTTGCAGGCTTTGGCTCGCCGGGTGACTGGTTCTCCGGGCGCGTGCTGCTTCTGGTTTTCGAGATCCTCTTCATGCTGATACAAGGCTACTACGGATCGGCCATAGTCAAGTTCCTCCTCCGCCCGCCGCCGCCGTCCGTGCGAAACGTCGAGGAGCTCCTCCATTCGCATTACCCAGTCGCACTGCACGAGTGGTGGCTCATCATTCGAGAGTTCGAGGTACGACATCACTCATCCCAGTAACGTGGCATCACGTTGGATTGTGCCGACGTAATATCACATTGCCTACACTCTAAATGTCTTACGAAGTAATTTCCCATAATACGAAGAAAATGGCGCAAGCCTAATACGAAGGTGTGTTTTCTTCGTATTACGAAGGTTTTTCTTTGTATCTTACAATGAAAAAGCAGAAATGATTCGTATTACGAAGAAATATTGCTTCGTATTATGCTTGCGCCGAATCCACTGTAACATACGAATAACATAGGTCAAATTTCATTGTAAGACATTTAGAGTGTATGTGAGCAAGCTAAGTTATCGCTAATCCACGTCCATAACACCATGCTAAAAGTGCTTCTTTAACGTGATGTAACTTTCCCGAATTGAGAGTGATCGCTGGGGCGTAATAGGCACACTGGTAGCCAACCAATGTCACGTCACATTCGTCGAAATGTGAACTTCGTCACGTTATCAAAGAATTCGCTTGAAAACGATGTCACATTCGTTGGGACGTGTCTCGGCCGTTAAGAGGAGGTTCTACTGTAAATCTTACTTTCTTCAGATTGATTCCCACCATCAATATTCATTGTAAATATAAACTACTTAATAGTAAATAGTAAAATTTGAAGTTTTGAGAGCAATAACTAGCCCTAAATCCAGTCGAAGGGTAATTTTCTGCTTTTAACAATCTTATCTTGAAAAATTCTCCTACGCAAAGAATTTCAACGTAAACTCTGGGCATTTTTCATTTCTGTGGTTTATACTGAATAAACTGCACACTGTAAAAAAAGTATTACTGAAATTTCATAATTTTAGTCTGAAGTTTTTAAACAGACTAGTGGTCTGAAAATTCAGAGTAATTATTCAGACCATTCTGTCTGAATTCCAAATTCAGACTAATTGTCTGAAAAATATTTTCAGACTGCTACTCTGAAATATTAAATAAAAGTGCCATCTATAAATCAAAGAGAAAGAAATCAACAAGAGAACAATATGAACCACCAACGTGTGACGGTACCTCCTTTCCACTTTTCATTTGTTCGCTTCGGCCCGGGTTCGAACCGGGACTTTTTGGTTACGAGACGAGCTCGGTACCACTGCGCTACGGGCGCTGCCTGGCGGCCGGGGAAGCCGTGCCGCGTGACTCTCTTCAGAGGATACCAGCTCCTTTCGGCAAGTCCAGAATGCAAGTTCGGACAACTCTTAGGGTTAATCTATCGTAAGGGAGTATGGGGCGATTTGTAACAGGGGCGATTCGTAACAAATGCGTTAATTTTATTTAAGTGGAGGGAGGAGAGGAAAATCTAAGTATGGCCCCTCTTTCGCTTCAAGTACACGGTCTTTGAACAATCGAAGCGGATGTGATCGGTGCTCAGGTATAGTTTTGGAGGGCGTCTGAAATATAGGGTACACCTGAAATTTCGGCAAACGGGCAAATCTTTTATTTTGAGTTCTAGGAAGTTTCTGTCTGAGGCTCCCCAGGTATGAATCACCATCGAAGTACCGTTGGGGCCTTGAAGCGTGACTCCTTTACAATGTAAACACGTGGCATAAGTTGCTTTTACTTCGTCCAGTGATAGTTAGGGACGGATTTCTTGCGTAACAGGCATTTGGGGTGATTCGTAACAGACCCGTATAAAAACAAGAATTTAAGTAGTTTGTGCCATTAAATGCTTGAATTATTTCTCGAATCATCTGCTGTTTTATTCCAATACATTTACACAGCTCCAAATGCATTTTAAAGCGAGTTATTCTATGCTTTCCTCTAAAATTGAAAAAATTCCAATGCTAATCGCATTGCACGGTGTTCCCGTTTCCATAGCTGGTTGAAAATCGAGGAAAACATGACAAGACAACCGCAGCCTTTGAGAGCATGCCAAACAATCCAACCTCAGCAACAATGGAGGGGCAGTTTCAATGGGCGCCTGTTCGTTCTTTCAGCCTCGCGATTTTCGAAAGGGCGCAGACGGCAAGCATATTGGTGCCAACCCACGAAAATTAATTTGATGCGTCGTTTCTGCTACGAACTTTTTAGTAGTGACAGACTTTAAACATGTTCCAACGTTGAGACACCGTGCAATGTGTTAGCATTAGCATTTTCAAATTTCACGGCATTTAGATTTTTTTTAATGGGCGACTTTAAATTTTGACGGGTGGTACGATGGGACCATGCCGTTGCCATGGAGATTTTTTTTTCATGTTTTGACCATTTGCTCAGAACATATACGATTTCTTGTTACTTTGATGAGCCAGGAGGTTTAGTTTTGAGGAGTGGCACATTTTTTATTTGAACCATTTTTTCATATCATTAACGGTTCTCGTTTTCGATTGTTGCAAATTTATGTTTTTCGCGTTTACGGAAAATTTCCACGATGAATTTTCGAAAAAAATTGGAATTTTCGTTTTTTTTCATGGTTGAAATAGTTTAGAGTTGTTTATTTGAAAATCGGAGAGGGGGGGGGGAAGAATCCACGGACCTCGGACAATAGGGGTTCTTGGGAACCCCTAAAAAGTGAGGTTAGGATTGACATAGCCTATCAGTTAATGCTGAGGCGGTCAACGGCAGCTTGTAATGTAGATTTTTAGACGTCTGCAGGACACCCGAAGAACAACTGGTGGAGGAGATAACATTCCCGACGATGTTTCAATTAATGTGTAGGATGTTATGAAAAGCCCCATGGCTGTTACAAATCACCCCATGCTGGGGCGATTCGTAACAGCATGCAAGGGTTTGGAAAACGTCTTAGATTTCAAAGATTACGGACTCCAGATTGATCCAATGGAGCTGCACAGTCTAGATGAAGGGCCAGACTGCTCAACTGGCACAAGTTTGACACCGATATGCAGAATGTTCTTAATTTTGTATAGAGAATTCCGAAATCTGTTACAAATCGCCCCATACTCCCTTACACAGACGAATCTGCGTGAAGCACGGGTGTACATTATTATTTCCGATAAATTTATACAACGCCTTACGCCTAGACTTGATTAGTAGACAATCTGTCAAAATTTTCATACCAAAATTATGAAAACAGGTTTCAGGATGACAAGTCTGAAAACTTTATCAGAATTTTCAGACCTTCTGCTTAAAATTCAGACTAACCGGTGTGATCTCAAACTTCAGAGTTCCTAGTCTGAAAATTCAAAGCAACTTTCTGAATTACCGATTCAGACTGCAAAGTCTGAACAAATTGTACTGAAATTTCAGAATTTTTTTTACAGTGTGTGGCATTGGTAAGCTACTGGAACATTTGCGTGGATACATTGCATAGATACAGGGACTAAACGTGTAAATCGTGTACAAAATGTTGCGCTTGTTTCATCCCAGACTGCTGCTTCCGGGATTGAACGTCAGCTCTATGAGAAGAAAGTAGGACCGCCGCATGGACTGGGATACATGTCCTCTGAAGCACTGGAAAAAGTTTTGATGAAACCGTTGCACGTGATCGCTGGTGCTGAGGTGAGGCTTGACACCGCAGTTCTTCCGGAAACATGTTCGAAATGTAACGTTGCCCACACAGTAAAAACGGTTCCTGGTTTTCCCAGGAACTCCCTGGAAATCGCCTACACTGTTAGAAAAGATTGTTGAATTACGACAAAAGTTACAACAACTTAGTCGTACCCAAACAACAAACTCATTCAAAATTAAAACGACTAAAACATTGTTCCAAAACAATTTCTACCGTTTCAGAAAATAACAGCTATATAGTCGTTCAAAAACGACAATAACGTTTTAAAATGACAAACTCGTTCACTAACGACAGAACTGAGCAGATCAAAAATTACATGAAAAAAATTTTAGTTCACTCAAAACAAAAAAAAAATTCCTTTAAAAAAGAATCTGAAATCTGCTGAAACATGTTCCAGGTACTCCACTGTCCATGCCCAGTTGCTTTGGCCCGAGTGGTATTGTTTCCCTACCGCTGACTGCGCACTGCTTGAAGCCAACTGACCTGCTATGTCGCTGATGAAGAGCTTGCTGCTGCACTCTGGAAGAGTGCATCCTGCCTTAGCTGAGCATGTTCTGCTTTGCTTTCTGCATGATGTCTCCACAAGATGCCCTCACTCTGCACTGCTTTGATTGTAAGAGCTCTGCTTAATAAAAATAGAACTTAAAAGCACTCAGTGGCTTGGTCAAGTGTGAGAACTAAATCTTTAACCTATTCTTGCACGTTTGTCTCTTGTCACGTCCAGGAGACAACGAAATACACTGCACTTCGAAGTTTGTGTTGATGGCCATGGGGAACAGTAGGCCACTGGGAAACTTCACAACTTTCCATCAAGTTCTCTGTGGCAACCCCAAAAACAAACGTCCCGCGGGCGTGGAAAGGCATGATGGGGCCCAAAAGGGTAATCCATGGGGAGTGAAACAGTCCAATATCCCCTCACAATTTAGCAACACTTTGGGGTGAAAACATTAAATTTGAGACGACAACCGACACCAAAACAAACACACGCACACCGACCACCGTATATAAAAAAATTCAACATGAAAATGAATATGAGAAATACAACAATTTGACAAATGACGGCCGAGAAAAATGAAAGTGAAAGTAGAAGAGGGGAGGGGGAGGGGAGATGGGGGGAGGGTGCGGTGCGGTTCCTCGTGTGTTTTAAAAAAACAGCAGACGCGTCGCTCCCAGGTGTGGAAAACTGCTGAATTATTTTTCCCTTCTGCGAAAAATTTTCTCCTTGTCTACAGTATTTTCTATCCAAGCCGGTGGGCCGATGCCTTTCTTACGATTGTGCCCAAGTCTGACGCATAAACCTCGTCGCAAGCTGGCCCGTTCCACCTACAAAAAACTTGCAGACAAGTTCATTGTTTACAGTACGTGCAATGCATGAGAGCATCGATACGATGAAGCCCTTTCACTTCAGTGCTTAGAAAGGATTTCGTCTGGAAAACAAGAGTCTAAATTTCAGTTGACAATTGAGTTCAGGCAACTGGCAGTGCCCAATTGTTTTTGTCTTCAAAAGATTATACTTGTGCTGACCATGTATCACTGCAGTGTCAGGTTACAATTTTATGTAGAATATTTTCCTTGTTTCTCTGTGCGATTTTTCAAGATGTATTTGCTTTTTGTTTTTGTTTCAGGTACCACACATAACCCTCCTGTCTTGTCTGCGGGACCATGACGAATTTGGGTCACAACCTACTCACAAGTGGCCGTTCAATTAATTCAGAGATCGGGTTACCAATCACAAAGTTTTATCTTCCTTAAGGTGGAAAGGTTGAAGGTAATGCTAATGATTAGCTCATTCATCAAACACCTGTAATGTTTGTGGAAACAATCCTCTTCAGGAACTCTGTAAGTCCTGCCACAGTCAAGTCTATGACTGGTTTTTACTTTTCCCAATTCGTGATGATTGTATATTAGTCGCAGTTCTATTGTCTTGTTCTCAGGAAATACATGGAACAGTCGAGCCACATTACAGCAAAGCTCCAATGGATCCGCTTCACTCTTCAATCGTAACATCATCCGCTCTTCTGCTCATACTGCAAGGCAAGAAATATATGTAGTTCTCGTTCTTTGTTTTGATTTGAATTTGAATTGTATTGCTTCTGGCTGGTCTTTGGGCTTGTCATAAGTTTATATTTATGTTTGTCAGCATTTGTTTGCTCTTTAGCTAATACATGGGCTTAAATGTTTGCTTGCACCAAGCAGTGGGAGAACTAATAGGTGTTGGACTTCACAGTGGCTACGCCAAGCAACGGATCAAGATGCAAGAGGTTGTGACCGTGATGATGACAGTGCTGCTCCAGCAGGTATAAACTGTGAGTTCTTTGTAAAAATTTTCCCTGTTGCAGCTTTCAATAGGAAAGCCACATCACTGTTCTGTCAATTTATTTTCTTGTTTTGTTGGCAGAAAAATGGGAGGCACTTTTTAATACTGGCACCTCAGTTCAAGAATTAATTAAGACTTGACAGTCAATCCTTCTTTTTAACAATGCTGCTAATTTGAATGGTAACGTGAAGTTGTTTTGTGTTCCTGTTTTAAAAGACTTTTTAATTGAATGTTAGCAGTTTGTAATGTAATTCAACAGATAGGTTTAATTTTTTTCATGTTGTCATAGTGTTTGTATTTGCTATGTTTGTTCTTTGAGCTGGTGTATAGACCTATTACTAATTGTTTTTTAATGAATAAAATTACCAATAGTTGCTCTTTGAAAATGAAGACTGTTTTAATCCAGTATGGTACCCTTGAAGCACATCTATAGTTTTCCAGAAACAATCTTTTTAATTCAAAATCTGCTTCAACTGTCAGGATTCCAAGGGCTTATAGAATAACTGAAGCTATGGCATGTAGATGTAAAATTATTTGTGAAAACAGGACAGAAGAAAAATAGCCTTGATCATAAAAGCAATGTTAAAGAGTAGTACAGGGAGCGATGATTAGGTGATATTCTACATGAATGAAAGCCTAGACTCATTGCCTTTGAAATGAGGAACATTTAATTTCCTTCTGCAGTAAATAAAAATTCAATGGTATAACAGGAGAATTAAAAAAAAAAAATACATGTATGAGGGTAAGTTGACAATAAATGGAGAGATTCACATCCATAACTTAACTATTTTCTACCTGTTGTGGATAGTGAAATAATTCAAATGGGAAATTATCTTAAAGGAATAAAAACTTATTCTTATTTAGCTGAAATTCAACACATTCTCAGTTGGATCTTAAAAATGTGTGCTTTAAAGAAAAGCCTCATTGACTTTGTTCTAAGGGAAATTTCATTTCCTTCTGCAGTACATGAAAATTCAATGGTATAACAGGAGAATAGAAAAAAAAATACATGTATGAGGGTAAGTTGACAATAAATGGAGAGATTCACATCCATAACTAAACTATTTTCTACCTGTTATGGATAGTTATATAATTCAAATGGGAAATTATCTTAAAGGAATAAAACACTATTCTTATTTACCTGAAATTCAACACTTTCTCAGTTAGATCTTAAAAGTTTGTGCTTTAAAGAAAAGCTGAGCCTGCCTCTGAAAAAGTAAATGGGATGAGGTACAGGATATCTTAATTCGTTGAAACTGATACACTTCAAGTTACCAGAGGGTTCTGGCATTGTATGAATTCCAAGTGAGGAATCAAAGGTAGCTTCATTGAGTTCACAAATGAAGCTCAAGACATTGTCTTTGACAGCTATTACCTTAACAGTTCCAGTGAGAATGTTGCCTTGATTTTCTGACAGTAAGAGTACATCTTCTTTCTTGTATTGCAATCCGTCAAAACATACTGAAGTACAGTCTCGCCAGCCAGGTTCTTGGAATGAAGAAGAGACTATGTTTGCAAGTTTTGCAGAATACAAATCAGGGGTCATTTGCTTTGAACTAACTTCAACGCATTCTTCTTGGAATGTTGGGCCATCAGATGACATGTAAGTGACATGCAGTAGATAACGGTAGGCACAGCTGTGTTCTGGATTGATAAAATTTTGGGATAATCTCAACAAATGCTTGAAGAATTTGTGCCTTTGTTCATAAGGGAGGGTCCAAAGATGAATTAATGGTCCTAATAAACACATGAGGAAAGCATAGTGAGCATAAAGAAAATGGTGCTTTGGATTCAGTGGATATTTCTCTATATCCAGGACTTCTGCTCTTCGTTCAAAATACGCTGGCAACAACACATCTTGGGCGTATGGCATGTCAGACTTGTAGAAAGAGGGTGGAGTGAAGGACTCAGTGATCTCCTTCAGCTGCAGGTATAACTTCCAGGATGAGTGCTCTACATCAGCTATTTTGTCACCCAAGATGAAGGGAAGTAAACGTAGTAATGTCCAATTTTGGACTGCATGACCGCCCAACTTCAGCCCCTTCTTCTCCACAAATGCAGGCTTGTTGGGAGAGTCTGCACCAACGCACTTGAATGCTTTAATCTTCTTGTTGAGCCATTTCCGAGAAAACCATTTATCACGGATAAGATTTGAAATGATGCCAGCAAGGTCCCATGAGACAACACCCTCAAATAAATCGTGTGCTAGACAAGGTGCTAAATGGGTAGTGGCATGAAAATATTTCAAATCATTGAACTCACATCCAGCCTTGATGCCTTTAATGGGCTTTTCCATCACCATTGCCCTTAGCGCACATCTAGTGTAGTCAGCTTTGGTTCTGAGCCTACTAGTGGAAGTTGGATTTGCCTTGAAGTGTGCACGAAGAATCTCACAAAATCGACAGAAGAATTTTGTAGAAAAGCTCTCAATAAATCCTCCAATCAAATGCTGACCCAGATTGTCTCCTTGAATAAACACTACTGCTACAGAAACATTCTCACCTTTGTAAAGAATCCCTTCAGTCTCCAGTGACTTTAGTTCTTTCATAACTTCTTCTAGGCTTTTTGGAGCTTTAACCTCTTTGAAGACTGACTCTCTCATGATCATCATAAGGTGCTTAGATTCAACTTTTGCTCTGCGGTGGGATTTAAGATTGCCCACAGTAAAATACATTGTAAGCAGTTTGTGCTTGTTCTTTGCAGAGCCCAATGCGTTCATTACTGCATTGACAGTGTCCTGGTAGACAAAGATATGAATTTCTTTGCTGGGATGATTTTCAGAGATGAACTGTAGGCCTTCTGTGTAGTCTGACACAATATCATTGCTCGGATCAGCTTGCTTCAAAAATGAGTCATCAATATCTTTGCAGATGACGGGGTCTTGAAAGAGGCGCAGAAGAGTTGGAGTAATAGGAATTATTTCTTGCCTTAGATGGTTGTCATGATCATCTTCATCCAAATGCATTTCTTTGGGAGAACAGAAACCAAAATACTTCATGAAGTACTCTCTCCTATAGTAGTCGGAGCTTAGATATGGCCCTGGACTGTTATCCTTGTGATGTGACGCATAAAGAAGGTCAGCCTGCATAACTTTGTAGCGTATCAAGTTGATTTGGTCTTGAGGAATGTTTAGTTTTTCCAATTCTTCCGTTAACACTTGGTTCATTTTGGCATGAATCACTTCAGTCATGCAAATAATCCCATTACATATATCTTGAATAGTTTCAAATGGGAGCGTATGCAAGCCATAAAGCTGTAGATAGAATTTGGCAATGCAATCTATAACAGCAGCATCATCAAACATGTTCTGATTGCTGTCAGGACTAATGTTAGCTCCACCATCTTCGGTATCCATAGCTTCATCGCAATTTGGTCCCAGGTATCCACCATTTAGATTTTCTTGATTTCTTCTTAAATGCTGTTTAGGACAGCCTTCATCGCGCCAATTGGGGTGGTACTGGCTGAGATGTACTCTAAAGGTGGATTTCTTCCGAAAACTGTTTGGATATTCACAACCAAGAATAGGGCAACCCACTTCCACATCACTGTCCAGGTGTGTACATAGGTGCTGAACGAGCTCCCAGAAAGAAGTTGTAGAATACGCACAGGGAATACCACCACTTTCACAAACACAGCCAATAGTATTTGTAGCTTCTGGGTCAATATGACTAGTTTCACTATGAAACATTGACACATGCTTGTTCATAAAATTAAATGATTTGGTAGAGAAAATGCATGAGGGTGCTGGACAGTGATACAAAAAATTTCTTGATACTGAATGGAGGTGCTGATGCCTAATGTTGCAGGAAATAGTCTCAGGTACAGCAGCACAAGACTTGCAGGGGAAAGGCCCAGGATTTAGCTCAATCCCAGCTATGTACAATAGCAAAAACAGGTAGAAAATTTGGGGTGCAGAGAAAAGAATTCCGAAAAGCTTCATCCTGCAAAAAGAGAAGAGCATTAGAAAAGATATAAGAACACAGAAAAATTGATAAAATGATTGCAAGAAATTAACTCACCTGAAATAGTTTATACAACAATTTGGTGGCTGGTTCTCAATAATATCTCAAGATGATGCACCCGTATCGCAAAGGATGAAATTGCAGGAACAACTATAAGAATAAACGTTGAACAGAAAAGACTTGAAGTAAGATTTTAACTCACATTGATTCAACAAAATTTTGAAAATGAACCAACCTTAAGGATTATCCGTACTAGTTTCCATTGCGTCCAAGTTGATGTTTGACACATAGACCTCTCTTGAACAAAGTAACTTAGCTGATTGGCACCCGCAAATGAGCATGACTTGTGGCAGAAACCGTCTCAAAAGTCAACTTCAGAGAACTGCCTTGATTTAACCTGTGAGACCAGAGAGAAAACGGTTAAAATGTGAGGTAGCACAATAACCTCTTCCAACCATCAACCAAGTTCCAAATTAAACAGCACTTATGTCTAAAATATTTCAAACTGTACAAACCTTGGCAGAGGCTTCCGGACCAATTCAAACGAAGTCAGATATCCAAATAGATAAATTGATGAGCAGCAAAACAGGCTAGCAAGAGGGAAGGACGTAAACAAACCAGGTGATTCTGGAGATATTGTTAAAAACAATACTCGTCATAGCTTGTAGCTTGTGAGACCTGAGAGAAAACAGATAAAATGTGAGGTAGCACCCCATAACCTCTTCCAACCATCAACCAAGTTCCAAATTAAACAGCACTTATGACTAAAATATTTCAAACTGTACAAACCTTGACAGAGGCTTCCGGACCAAATCAAACGAAGTTAGATATCCAAATAGATAAATTGATGACGAGCAGCAAAACAGGTTAGCAGAGGGAAGGACGTAAACAAACCAGATAATTCTAGAAAAAAAAAATCCCAATAGAAATTGTCAAAAATAATACTCTTTTCAGGGTGGTTGGAACGAAAAAGAGATAATATAGATAGATAAATTACGTTTAACGATGGAGAAGATAAGTAAGCTCACACTGTCATTTATCCAGGTAAATTTCTAATCTTGTATTGGACTCGACAGTAGACAACTCGTCCAGTCAAATACAAGATTGGAAATTTATCCTGATTACTCATTTGGCACTTTGAAGGAAGTTATAAAACACCGAACATGTTTTCAAACTGAATTCAATTCGTCTTAATTCATTATTACCTTTTCCTTTTCTTGATAAGTAAATGATTTTTGTATAATTTGGTCTCTCATTTGGACTGATTTCTCGCACGGAGCAGCAGCTGCAGTTACAGCGCTGAACGCACGTCGCCGCTGCCGCCACATTGTTTGCGCGCCATAGTTTTGTAAACGACCACTACTGCAAGCTGATCTGACTTTGATTCTTTACCATCCAATAATACAGGTATGACCTGCGCCATTTAAGGAGCGCTCATTTTCCTTTCTTGTGTAGCAGCTGATCGAAACGTTACTTGCTTAACCTTTTCAGCATGGATCGCATCAAAACCAGCATAGAGAAGTGTCTGGCCGATATTTCTGAAGAGGATGCGTCCCAACTGGCTTCGTATCTTTTCGACAATGATTTCACCTTTGATGATCTTCATCTTGTCGCTCTTGAAGATATCCGAGACGTGACATCGCTTGGTCGCTGCAGGAAACTCTTAAAATACTGGGGGCAAGGTTCAACAGGTATGTTCTTATGGCTTTGGCATATCACTTTGTTCTCCTAGTCTGTGTAGAAAAATTAAACCAATGTGAAGTATGCCTCTATGGCATGTGTTATTTAGTGTGGATTTGAAAATTCAGTGGAGTTTTGGCATCTTAATTAATCACTCCAATGTATTTCTTCTTTCAGCGCCACAAACACCACCTTCTGCTGGAGTCGGATCATCCTCTAATGTTCAAGCTAAATCTTCCTCTGGATCATCTAGACAAGCTGAGTCCTCTGGAGCCTCATCGTTCTCCTCTGCTGGAACCTCTAGGCAAACTTTGCATGACCAAGCTATGCGGCTCAACTCTGTCAGTCTTCCAACATTCACAATAGATAGCCCGTTCATGCCTGCTTCTGTACGTGCTGCGATTAAAGCTAAACAGAGGGCTCCATCTAGTGGACGGGAAGATATGGTAAATAGGATTGTTGACCACTGCAGGGAGACCGTGCCAGGCTTTAAGAGACCACATTTAAGTATAGTTGCAAGACAACTTGTTGAATTGTATCCAAGTACATTTAAAGATACATTACCGTTGAGCGAACATGGCAGTGATGGATTAGCCAAAAAGTCAGTGGCGCCAACAGGTGGGGGCAGGGTCTGCGGCCGCAGACCCTGTTTTGGGGGGGGGTGGGTGGTCGCGATGGTGGGTGAGGGAGGGGGGAAAAGGGAAAGGGGAAAAGAGGGGGGGAAAAAAAAAAAAAAAGAAAAGGAGAAAGGGGGAGAGGAGTATTCCATGTGCGTCGCCCAAGCGGCAATAGGTTAAGGGGGGAATGAGGGTGCCTGCTGGGGACGGTCCTTCAGATTCTCGTCCCCTTCAAGTTTTGAAATAATATGGATTCGTTCGTTAGAATCTGGAGTTGGTCACCCTCAGCCGTGAACCCTTTACACCAAAAATTTCCCCTTTAACTCTACTTTTGCACTGAAATCGAAAGTGAGGGGAGTTCACTAAATTGAGACCTAAAATGTGGTCACCTTATTCTCCACTGCCAATCCAAGTGCAGGAGAAGTAGACCCTTGTAGACGTAGACCAATCTGGCCTACGCTTGCAAGTGTCGACCAGTTGTGTTCGAAACTGAAGTGTCGAAATGCTCTTCGGCAAATCACAAATTGTTTCCTGTGGAAGCACCTTCCACCTTCCAGCCGTCTGACACTGTGTGATTACACTTACAATGCGTCGGACACAATCGGTCGACGCTTGGGGATTGGGGTCCATAACTTTTTCTGAAGGGCATAAAAACGTTATCGTAAGCATTCAATGTGCAAAAACGCTCCGGAAAATTCTGTTTGCGTGGGCCATTCTTTGTTGCCCTCTTGTCAATTTCTGTGCACGGGTTTAAAAGAGGGTTTTGGGAAAGATGACTGTAATCCTCACGAATAACTTAGTAAAATGACAGAAGTTCACTGTAAATTTACAGATAAAATCGTAATTTCAAATTATGTAATTTTGTTCCATTATAATCATGTCTTCATTTTTTTTTTGTAAAATTCCCTGGACCCCCAACTCACCTCAAAAGTCCATCATAACGTTACCGTACGAGTTAAAGTTATTAGCCTTCACTTCTGAATTCTTTTCAAAAGGATAAGTTATATTTCTTGTGTCTCGAATTTCTGCGGAGATACTTTTGGAAGTACATGAAAAGTCCGTACCCCTTTAAACCCTTTTTGAGCAAAGTAAACAGTGTTTTGTTAAATGTTAAGTTAAGGATCGCCGAAAAATTTCAAAAATACTTGTGAACTTTATTTTGATGTAACTAGTGAAAAAAAATAACCCCTCACATCGTGGAGGGAAACCATAAGAGATCTTGGTCGACCCACAATAAGTGTTTATCCTGGATAAGAAAAGATATATCATTTGAGCCCTTTTTTTGAAATTTAAAACAAAATCTCAGTTTTTATTCAATTTTTTGAAATTTTAGAACATTGATTTTGCCGTGAGGGGATGGATCTGATGATTTTAAAAGGTAATTTTTGGGTTTGGGTAGTTTAAAAATTTTAAACCAATTCCCTCATAGTGCTTGTGGTCGTGGTCCCCTGTGCTGGCAACACGCGGCGTTTGGGCCCGGACAGCGCGTCAAGTGGGGGCTTCTTCGGATAATAAGACGCGTATTGCGGGTCAAGACCATCTTTTTTTCTTGAGGGGGGAGGGTCTGACCACTTGCTGTGGTATTTTCCAAGATTTTAATGTGGTATTGGCCGCATTTCCACGTGTGGTCAATTCGGGTAACCGCATCTTAGGGCCTCCCGCACAATTTCTAAAGTCTGTTCCACACTTCGAAGAACATGCAGGACTTTGAAGTGTATAGAAGCTAGCTTCCCTAGCACAGGGAGGCTCCTAACTGCGGCTTCGATAAAAACGACCCAATGACGGACATAAAAAAGAGCTTTTGAAGACGTTGGCATCATGCTCACTTAGCTCTTAACTTTTAGTAGAAGGTGTTTCTTTGTTGAAGTAATTACAAAAAGATTTGCACGGAGCATTGTGAAAGCGTTGGCTCTTAGCTCGCTTCGCTCGCAAAAGTAGACTTAACTGTAAAAGGCCGTCTGAAGTATCTCTTACGGAAAATACGCTTGCGAAAAAAAGAAAAGGGGGGGGGGTCTCGAGGGGTGGGTGGGTCCCTGTGAACACTCGCGCCCCCTGTTAAAATTTCTGTTGGCGCCACTGCAAACAGTTGAAAGTAAACCTGGATAATAATGTAAGACCCAATAATACTGCCACTGCCAATGAGCGTCAAGCACCTAAAGCAAAAGAAGCATTTGGATGTGTCAGGTGGAATCCATCATTGGAAGAAGGAGAAACACTTGAATCTCAAGAAAGTAAAAGGGAGTTACTTCTAAATATGCACAGCCTGACAAAGAAGCAATGGCAATGGAAAGAAATCAGGAAAAACATGGAAGAGTCTTTCTACCTTCAAAGAAGAGATATCAATGGAGAATTGGCAAATGCTGCCACCTCAAAGAGAAAGAACAAGAAGAGAAAGAGTGACTCAGATGCAGATGACCCTACCCCACCTAAAGGAATGCCCATAGCTGAAGTAAAAGAAAGGTGGCCATATCTATTCACTTCAAAAGGAATGAACTACCATTTTAGAATGTTGACGGGACAGGACTTCAAAGATCTGTTAAGTAAATTTTCTTCTGAAGTAGTGATGATGATTGAACATCTGGCCTGCAAGGGAGAGGAGTTTGCAAAACTCAAAAGAAAACTTGACCGAGCTGATCGTGCAGGCATGGCAGATGCCCAGTTCATTGGGCTATTGCAGATGCTAAATAAATATTTCAAGGAAGATATAAGTCATCTAGTCACATTTGTGGATGTAAGTTTGCCTCTATATAAGGTTGCGGCATTTTTTAAAATTTGAAGATTTATAAATCATAATGTACTTAAATTAATTTTATTGATTGCAGGAAGTGACAACAATTGATGAGATACCTCGTGAAGCTCTTCCTGCATCACAAACACCTATTATAGTGGCTGCAGGTAATTGAAGACTTCAGTATTAAGGATATTTTGGCCACTATGCGACTTCTTTAATATTTTTCTTTCTTTTATTGCAGGCTCCAATTTGTTCAACGCCCAAAAGTTTTTTGTCTTCATTGATAACAACGCAGTGGCCACCATGTCAGATTTTCCGGATGCCTTATCACTTGTTTTCTGTTCTTACTTTACTTTCAACATTGAATATCCAACAGAAATTGCCTGTGTACTGATTTTCCTTCAAAGGTAAGTTATTAGAGTGCCCTTGTATCCATGTGCAAATTTCATTTCACGTGTTTCTATGCTTTGAACTGAATATTCCTTGTTTCTCTTCTGACACACAGAGTCATTGCTAAGATCAATGCAATAGGGTCATCAAAAAGTAAGAACTTCAAGACAGCTAGTGAGAAGGTCACCAAGTACTACAATAAATATCAAGAATACAAGGAGAAGGTTGAGAATGAAGAGAATGAGAATCCATGAGGGAAAGAAGACTACAGTTTACTTCTTCATCAATTGATATGTGATCAGACATTGCCTAATGATAACAAGTATTCCCCAGTAACACTATTAATTTATTATTAACTGAAAAACGAAATGAAATTTCCCTTAGAACAAAGTCAATGAGGCTTTTCTTTAAAGCACACATTTTTATGATCCAACTGAGAATGTGTTGAATTTCAGCTAAATAAGAATAAGTTTTTATTCCTTTAAGATAATTTCCCATTTGAATTATTTCACTATCCACAACAGGTAGAAAATAGTTTAGTTATGGATGTGAATCTCTCCATTTATTGTCAACTTACCCTCATACATGTATTTTTTTTTTAATTCTCCTGTTATACCATTGAATTTTTATTTACTGCAGAAGGAAATTAAATGTTCCTCATTTCAAAGGCAATGAGTCTAGGCTTTCATTCATGTAGAATATCACCTAATCATCGCTCCCTGTACTACTCTTTAACATTGCTTTTATGATCAAGGCTATTTTTCTTCTGTCCTGTTTTCACAAATAATTTTACATCTACATGCCATAGCTTCAGTTATTCTATAAGCCCTTGGAATCCTGACAGTTGAAGCAGATTTTGAATTAAAAAGATTGTTTCTGGAAAACTATAGATGTGCTTCAAGGGTACCATACTGGATTAAAACAGTCTTCATTTTCAAAGAGCAACTATTGGTAATTTTATTCATTAAAAAACAATTAGTAATAGGTCTATACACCAGCTCAAAGAACAAACATAGCAAATACAAACACTATGACAACATGAAAAAATACGATTTCAAGAAATCCTAGGAGTCACGAAGTCAATTTGATTATTGTGTAAGAGTGTGGAGAAAGAAAAGAAGTGGTGTTGTGAAGTTGTGGCTCAGGGGACTACCAATGGCAGTGGTACCAATGTGGTCGATGTGCCACCCGTCGAAATTTAAACTTGACAATAAATAGAAATCAAAATGCTGGTAAATTCAAAAAATTCCAATGCTAATGTATTCCGCAGTGTTCTGACAATGGAACATCTTTAAAGTCCATCATTATTAAAATGTTCTTAGCAGAAAGAAGGCAGTAAATTAATTTTCACGGGTTGGCAACAATCTTCTCGGCGTCTGCGCCCTTGCGAAAATCGCGAAGCTGAAAGCACCAGCAGTCGCGCATTAAAACTGCCTCCCCATTGTTGCTGACGTTGAATTGTTTGGCTTGTTTCAAAAGGCTATGGTTCTCTTTAGTCATGTTTTCTTCAATTCTGTGTAATAGTTCTCACTCACAACGTATAAACACCACGACGGTTGGTTTGACAAACTTCATAAACTCGGGAGGGAAGGTTTCGAAACGCGGGTGAGTCTTGTTCGAGGAACATGAGCACTGCAAGTCGCGAGGTGGAGCGAAGTGGTCCTAGTGCTAACTGAATCACAACAACAAAAAAATTGTTTTATTGACAGAAAAAAAAGTAATATTTGATAAACTTTATGTCAGAAAAAAAGAACTTTTGTTTTGCTATTTTTTTGTGAATATTTTTTTAGAAAGTTATTACATAAAAATTGAAAATTTGTTTTATATGAATTTTCATAAGCAGGAATCAAAGAAAAAACAAAAAAGAGAGCAAAATTAATACAGATTTCAAATGCTACAGTTGGTTAAACTGTTAAACAGGTTGCAAACCTACTGCGCATGTCCAAAAACACTCCGATCAAGAAGTATTATTGGATAGTTCTACCCGAAAAACTGCGTTCGAACCGACACCAATTCTATTGTTGCATCTTGTCTACCTGCAGTCAAAGAAATTTTTCATTTCGAACGTGCCATTTCAGCTTTTGGTGTAAGCTGTACAGACCCGAAATGAAGCTCGGCTATTGGTCCGCCCCGGCTCGGCTCCCCCCACTCCCTTTGACGAGTCGAGTTTTGCCATGGAAACGGCGATTTTGACAGCAAATTTCTCAAAATTGGCCGTTAACTTTTTAACCAGATTTCAGCATAAGAATCAGCGTTCAAAGTTCTACAAGTCTGCAAAATCTCATTAAAATCGTATAGAAAATTTCCGAAATGCATAAAGGGCCACACAAATTGAATCTCGGGCCGGCTGAATCCTGGGTATACTATAAGGCTACTTCGTGCCTAAAAATATTAAACCTATCTGTTGAATTACATTACAAACTGCTAACATTCAATTAAAAAGTCTTTTAAAACAGGAACACAAAACAACTTCACGTTACCATTCAAATTAGCAGCATTGTTAAAAAGAAGGATTGACTGTCAAGTGTTAATTAATTCTTGAACTGAGGTGCCAGTATTAAAAAGTGCCTCCCATTTTTCTGCCAACAAAACAAGAAAATAAATTGACAGAACAGTGATGTGGCTTTCCTATTGAAAGCTGCAACAGGAAATTATTACAAAGAACTCACAGTTTATGCCTGCTGGAGCAGCACTGTCATCATCACGGTCACAACCTCTTGCATCTTGATCCGTTGCTTGGCGTAGCCACTGTGAAGTCCAACACCTATTAGTTCTCCCACTGCTTGGTGCAAGCAAACATTTAAGCCCATGTATTAGCTAAAGAGCAAACAAATGCTGACAAACATAAATATAAACTTATGACAAGCCCAAAGACCAGCCAGAAGCAATACAATTCAAATTCAAATCAAAACAAAGAACGAGAACTACATATATTTCTTGCCTTGCAGTATGAGCAGAAGAGCGGATGATGTTACGATTGAAGAGTGAAGCGGATCCATTGGAGCTTTGCTGTAATGTGGCTCGACTGTTCCATGTATTTCCTGAGAACAAGACAATAGAACTGCGACTAATATACAATCATCACGAATTGGGAAAAGTAAAAACCAGTCATAGACTTGACTGTGGCAGGACTTACAGAGTTCCTGAAGAGGATTGTTTCCACAAACATTACAGGTGTTTGATGAATGAGCTAATCATTAGCATTACCTTCAACCTTTCCACCTTAAGGAAGATAAAACTTTGTGATTGGTAACCCGATCTCTGAATTAATTGAACGGCCACTTGTGAGTAGGTTGTGACAACTTCGTCATGGTCAGCAGACAAGACAGGAGGGTTATGTGTGGTACCTGAAACAAAAACAAACAGCAAATACATCTTGAAAAATCGCACAGAGAAACAAGGAAAATATTCTACATAAAATTGTAACCTGACACTGCAGTGATACATGGTCAGCACAAGTATAATCTTTTGAAGACAAAAACAATTGGGCACTGCCAGTTGCCTGAACTCAATTGTCAACTGAAATTTAGACTCTTGTTTTCCAGACGAAATCCTTTTCTAAGCACTGAAGTGAAAGGGCTTCATCGTATCGATGCTCTCATGCATTGCACGTACTGTAAACAATGAACTTGTCTGCAAGTTTCTTTGTAGGTGGAACGGGCCAGCTTGCGACGAGGTTTATGCGTCAGACTTGGGCACAATCGTAAGAAAGGCATCGGCCCACCGGCTTGGATAGAAAATACTGTAGACAAGGAGAAATTCTTCGCAGAAGGGAAAAATAATTCAGCAGTTTTCCACACCTGGGAGCGACGCGTCTGCTGTTTGTTTACACACACGAGGAACCGCACCGCACCCTCCCCTCATCTCCCCTCATCTCCCCTCCCCCTCCCCTCTTCTACTTTCACTTTCATTTGTCTCGGCCGTCATTTGTCAACTTGTTGCATTTCTCATATTCATTCTCATGTTGAATTTTTCATATACGGTGGTCGGTGTGCGTGTGTTTGTTTTGGTGTCGGTTGTCGTCTCAAATTTAATGTTTTCACCCCAAGTGTTGCTAAATTGTGAGGGGATATTGGACTGTTTCACTCCCCATGGATTACCTTTGGCCCTATCATGCCTTTCCACGCCCGCGGGACGTTTGTTTTGGTGTTGCCACAAAGAACTTGATGGAAAGTTGTGAAGTTTCCCAGTGGCCTACTGTTCCCCATGGCCATCAACACAAACTTCGAAGTGCAGTGTATTTCGTTGTCTCCTGGACGTGACAAGAGACAAACGTGCAAGAATAGGTTAAAGATTTAGTTCTCACACTTGACCAAGCCACTGAGTGCTTTTAAGTTCTATTTTTATTAAGCAGAGCTCTTACAATCAAAGCAGTGCAGAGTGAGGGCATCTTGTGGAGACATCATGCAGAAAGCAAAGCAGAACATGCTCAGCTAAGGCAGGATGCACTCTTCCAGAGTGCAGCAGCAAGCTCTTCATCAGCGACATAGCAGGTCAGTTGGCTTCAAGCAGTGCGCAGTCAGCGGTAGGGAAACAATACCACTCGGGCCAAAGCAACTGGGCATGGACAGTGGAGTACCTGGAACATGTTTCAGCAGATTTCAGATTCTTTTTTAAAGGAATTTTTTTTTGTTTTGAGTGAACTAAAATTTTTTTTCATGTAATTTTTGATCTGCTCAATTCTGTCGTTAGTGAACGAGTTTGTCATTTTAAAACAGGGATCTCGTTTTTAAACGAGCTTTTTTATTGATGATGAAGTCGTTAATCATTTATTGTTTCCAAACAAATTTGTCGTTCACAAACAACTTTTTGGTTACGATTTGTTGTTTTTAAACAAATCATGTCGTTTATAAACAACTCGTGTTAGAAAAAAAATTAGCGACAAATTTGTCGTTAAATTACGACAAAATTTCTAACAGTGTATGCCTTCACCATTGGCTTCCTGGGAAAACCACGTTCTGTTTTTACCGTGCAAAAGGAGACCACCACGGCACGCGGTCTAGACCACACCACTGCTTGCAGTGCTAACGTTTTGCACTCGTAGGAGACTGTGTACAAGAGTACACTGAACCTCAACGAAGGGCAGGCATGCCGTCTGCACGAAATGGACGTCCTGTCGTCCAAACACATCGCCCCCATCATCCACCGCCACTGTCCCTTCAAGGAGACAATTTACGCCGGGTGAGTATGGCGTCGAACTACTGTCGGTCCAAATATTTCGACGCGTCCTAATAAAATAATCCTAACTGCCAGGGTAGATCCAAGACAATCCTAACTTTTCGTCTCAATTCAGTACCATCCTAACTGCGCATAACGTGAAAAGCGGTGTTTTCTCAAAGTCCGTGACGGCAACATACTTCATGAAATTACTCGCCGGAGGGCTTGTTACAAAGTTTCATCCTTATATAAATACGTGGAAAATGTATTTCAGATATATCGCGATTCTCTGATTTGCAGTGAAGATACTTCGTGAACACTTCTACCTCTGTAGTTAGGATAGTTTTTAATCTGCACTGACAGTTAGGATTGTCTTGGGTCAGCTCTGGTAGTAAGGATTGTCTTGGATCTGCTTTGACAGTTAGGATTATTCTATTAGGACACGTCGAAAATTTCACCTCCTGACGGGCAACTTATCAAACGTCTTGGCTGAGCGATGGGAGGATGACACTTCGCTCTGGGGCACCGCGCGGCTTCGCGATAGACCATTCTAGTCGTGGCTGAGTGAAGAACAAGAAGAATCACAAAATACTCCATTTAAGTCTCCAAGAAATTTTGAGAAATCCTGTTTAACAAGTTCACTGGAACAGTTAGGAAATTTTAAACGTCTTTTTTGAGTGTAGCGCGAAAAGTTCGTCTAAGCGACCACGGTAAGATCACGATTGGATGACCTCGCATGGCGAGGTTACATCCTTTGATAATAGTAAAGGAAGTCTCTGAGTCGTCGGACTCCATGGTGTATTCACACTATAAATTGCCTACATATAGAGCAATGTATGAAATTTATATATTTGCCACATATTTTTTATATCGGAAAAGTATCTTGCTAAATTATCTTTTCCACATATGTCGTCAATACATGTTGGGCCATATATTTTGTCCACATAGTGCCCATATATTTTCCATTTTGCAAGGGTTCTCCATTTCTCCCCGCAAACTTTTTGTTTCGCGTCAAATTTTGTACCAGACGTCAGTTCTTTGTGCTGCACTGCAAAAACAATTATTGGTTTCCCCGGGAAGTCCCTAGGATATCGCCTGTCTTTACTAGAGGCGACCTAGGAAAACCAGGTACCGTTTTTGCCGTGTGATCAACTCAAGGTACCAATAGAGTACTCCAGAGAAGCTCTTGCCCGGAAGAAGAAGAACAAAAACGGAAGTAAGAAATTGCAGTTTCTATGAGAAATGTACGCTGCGCATGAGGGTCTGCAGCGTATATTTCTCATAGAAACTGCAATTTCTTACTTCCGTTTTTGTTCTTCTTCTTCCGGGCAAGATCTTCTTTGGAGTACTCTATTAGTACTAGCCTTTGCACAAAAGTAGGACGACGTGCTGTCATTCTTTTGAAATTCGTACAAGTTCATGAATCAGTGATGAACCTAAAGCGCAAGTCTTTGCCTGACTCAGGCATAGTGTCACGCTTGAAATGAAAAGAGATAATTAGTAGGGTGGGTCGAAAATCCCAGAATTAAACGGCGTATGGTTTTCTTTGCAGTTGACCATATTAGAAAAGAGATCCCACAATGCTGGGGTCTGGTGACGTCACCTTCCATCTCTTTCGAGGCTCCAAACTTGGGTCTAATTGTGAAAAATGGCACTTTCGGCCCTACAGGGACCAAACCATGGATCGCCCAGGATGCGGCTATCTCGCGATAGGTGCGGAATATGTTCCTTTATATCCCTGCAAAGTCTGGGCGATGTGGCTCGACATCTTGGTTAAGCCCGGGCACTTGTTTTAAGGGGGCAGTAGCGTCATTTGCACGTGTTTTGACGATTTTCGAACCTCCTGTTTAGACGTTAATATAAAGATAAGTATGAATGCCAGAGACAAACGGCAGGCACCATTTGAAAGATAAAAGTTTTTACAACATTTTCAAAAAAAAATATTTTGTTTTAGCATTGAATTAGGATGTTTTGTGTTCTATGCAAAAATGGTCTGCAAAATTACATGGTGTCACTGCGCGCACGATTGCAGCCAAAGTTTTTAACTTTTTACCAATCGGTAAAATGCATCTGAAAAAGCATGAAATTGCCCATAAAATGACCCTTGGGTTTCAATATTGGGCAAGAAAAACTATTGAAACGCTCATCTTCAACTTAAGATGGAAACGAACCACATTTTTTCTGGCCCAATAATAAAACCCAAGGGTCATTTTATGGGCAATTTCATGCTTTTTCAGATGCATTTTACCGATTGGTAAAAAGTTAAAAACTTTGGCTGCAATCGTGCGCGCAGTGACACCATGTAATTTTGCAGACCATTTTTGCATAGAACACAAAACATCCTAATTCAATGCTAAAACAAAATATTTTTTTTTGAAAATGTTGTAAAAACTTTTATCTTTCAAATGGTGCCTGCCGTTTGCCTCTGGCATTCATACTTATCTTTATATTAACGTCTAAACAGGAGGTTCAAAAATCGTCAAAACACGTGCAAAAGACGCTACTGCCCCCTTAACGCTAAAACAAAGTTGCAAAACACTAAAAATTGGATTTAAGGGTCTATTGCTTGCTCAAAGGTCCCATGTACTTATATGAATGGAAAGAGCTCAAAAAATGCAATTCTTTGGTATATATAACTTTGTGATCGGACGAAAATTGTTGCCAGGGCGTAACTTTACACATTTCAGCAAAAGCTCAAAAACACTAAAAAGTGATCTTTACGAGAATATGTATGCAAGTAGACACTTACGAACGCATGCTTGGCCAAGTACACACTTACAAATGCATGCTTGCAAGTGCACACTTACAAACGCATGCTTGACGCATGGAGTTACACGGCGTCAAGCATGCGTTTGTAAGGTGTACTTGCAAGCATGCATTTGTAAGTGTGTACTTGGCCAAGCATGCGTTTGCAAGTGTGTACTTGCAAGCATGCATTTGTAAGTGTGTACTTAGTAGACAGTTAGGTTTGTAGTGTATGACAAACCTCTGAATGACTAATTAATCTTCATGTGCGCAGCAACTTGTTGCAACGCGAGCGTGGCATCTTGCAGCGCGCCTCCCGGAAGTGGGCACAGCCCCGAGCCCAGTGCTCTGGCGGCGGTGCGCACGGCGAGGGCGAGCCAATCGGACTGGATCCCGTGAAGCCCGTGGTGGGCGTCATAGTTTTCGGAATAATTGTTGCCCCGGTCATCGCCTGCATCGAGGTTGTTACTGGACGGCGCAAATAAAGGAGCTTAATGCTTACCCTGAAAACTGGAGTGTTCGAAGCATCACTGCTATTTCATCCCCACCCTATAGTGGGGAGTTTTCCTGCCTCCACAGGCGCTCCGTTTTCAATGCCCCCGATCACATCTGAGAGTTACGAAGCTAAGCGCCCAAGGCCGCCGGGGTGGCAAAAGTTGGCGTCGCAGGCCGTCGTGATGCCATCTGTGAGGGCATGTTTGGCAGTCAGGACGAAGCGCCACTGGAATGCATCTGACCTCTTTCCCTGCGATCTCTTTCTACGCCACAGACGTGTCTGCCTGTCCCCAGTCATAGGTTGTAACCTCATTTAAGAACATAGTAAACACTCCCTTGAGGGGGTGGGGGTGACAGCAGCAGGATGGTGGGTTGGTTCGAATTGGATTCCGGTTGTGCCGTTGGAAAGGGGAGAAACATTTGATTTTATGCACCCAAACTTTGGACATTGTGATAGACGCTGTCTGTGGGAAAAGCAGGGTTTCCGACAAAGGTTGTCCTAATCAAACCAAACTTTGGTTTTGGATTCTCCTCAACCCAAAGACATGTGAAAAAATTTGAAAAGTTTTCGACAAGTTTTGTCAAAATATTTTTTTTTTATTTTACTCAAAAGCCACGTCAATTGATTTTGAAAAAAAAAAAAATTTCAAAGATCAACTTACAAGGAAGGTTTTGAGTTGTGTCCCATGTCTTGGTCTTGCTTAGTTATGAACCATTACGTTGAGTGTTTTTCTCATTTTTACCCAAAAAATTCGAAAAATGCTCCTTTGCTCTTACGAAAAAGTAACAACCATTAAATTTCCGTTATGTTTCGGTAAGTTATCCCGCCCTGCTCCTCCACTACCAATACCGCACACAATGGGGGTTGTGAAACCAATGGGAGTCATACTTCGTTAGGATTTGGGTTGCTGAAAGTAGATTTAAAGATAGGGTTCATATGGCGTCATATGAGCCGTCATATATTTGTCATATGTTACCATTTTATCACACCAAAACTGTGATTATGTGGGCCCACACTGTTAAAAATCCACTGTAATATTACAACACAATCACCTGCAGTAATGCTGTTAAATAACAACAGTATTGTTTTGTGGCTGAACGGGAAACCCATCCAGAAACAACACTTTCGTTTCACAACAACTTCCTTGTTCACGATTACATTATTGTTACTTGACAAGGAAGTTGTTATAAAACAAAAGTGTTGTTTCTTGATGGGTTTCCCGTTCAGACACAAAACAATACTGTCGTTACTTAGCAGCATTACTGTTGGTGATTGTGTCGTAACATTACCAAACATTACAGTGGATTTTTATCAGTACACATTCCTTGAATAGCAGCGTTCGGGATGAAATCGCGACTCATGTCTAAAGTGAATGTGTTCCGTCACCGGTTCTTTCGATCCTGGCCTTGATGACGTCATCGGAGGCTTCTCTAAGGTCGTAGGCCAGTCCCAGGCGCGCACAAGTTTTGATGAAGGTTGCCATCGGATTGTACTGAAGTCCAAGCTCGGACGCCTTGTAATCCCATGGGAACGCGTGGTGGTAGTTGTGCCATCCTTCTCCAAGAGCCAAATGCGCGACAAGTAAACTTTGCACTGGGTAAATTGTCCTGTCACAGAAAGGCATTTTCACTTTAGAAAGGGCACTTGGCTTCAAAGTCGATTTCTTAAAGGGACAACATACTCTGCAAATCTAACGGCGTGACTTCGTGCCGCTCCATGGCCGTTAATTAAATGTCTCGCAGAAAAACGGCATGACTAAAACGTCATGCCAAAAATCGGCTTGACTCAGAATTCACGCCAAGTTTTGGCATGAATTTCCTGTCATGCCGGTTTTTGGCATGACTTCTCTCATTAAACGCATTCTTGCGCAGCGCACCATTCCACAATCCACATAGTAAATTCGCGCCCGACACTGTTAAAAGAAACTGTAGGAAAACAGCACATTTACCAACGAGTGATTTGCTTTTAAGCAGCACGTGTCATCGGAACTTAAAACAGCACAAATGCTGTTGGGAAACAGCAAGTTTCATCATTGGAGAAAACAACAAATATAGTCGATTTCCAATGCTGGAAAACAGAACATCTTGTTTGTAAAATTAATGATATATGCTGTTTTGGAACGGTATCCTGTCATTTAAAAACAACACCATTCAATTGAAGATTTGCCGGAGCATTTTGCAGCTCACGGCTCAAATCAAACTCCAACTATGTCAAAATAAATTCTGTTGTTTCTGAACAGCATTTGTGTTGTAAAGTTTTTTAGCAACACTTCCAATTTTTAAACAGCGGTGAACTGTCCAAGAACTGCACGAACTGTTACAAAAGAAATGTCTTGTTTGAGCCGTCAGGAAACTCCTATTTCCTTTTTGTGAATAACAGAGAGACCGCGTTGAAGAACAGTGCTGTTTGTAAACAGAAAAGAGCGTTTCTGAATGACTGCTAGTATTGGATAAGACTATTAGGACCCTCGACATTCTTTTTGTAAATGTATAACAACTTTTTTGTTTGAAAACAGAAAAGTGTTGTTTATGAACAGGTTGGTGCCATTTGGAAATGGTAATTCTGTTACACAACAACTTATTGTCAGAGATCAGATACAGAGAGCCATCATCCCTTTTTACAACACTGCTGTTGGATAACGACTCAGTCTCCAACAATATGCCGTTCTTCTACAACAAGTGTTGCTAAAAAACTTAACAGGATATATGCTGTTAATTAACAGCATCTTTTCTATCAGTGGATGACGGCGTGACGCACATATCATGCCGTTATACGGCGTGAAATTCCTGTCGCGCCAATTTTCAGCGTGTCTTTATGTCGCGCCACAAATTGGCCATGTGTCCGGACCATCCAATTTTCAGCGCACAGGCTCATTTTCAAGAATTTAACGTGTCTCAGCCCTGTAGATTGCTATAAGCTCTCCAGAAGGTAATAACCTCACGACAGTTCTGTGCCATTACTCCCATTCCAGGAGCGTGACATCACGGTCAAAGGAATATGAGTCACGTTCGTTTTAGCATTGTGTTACATTCCTTTCGATGTGAATCAGCCATAAATTAGCTTATTCACGTTCCAACGAATGTGACACAATGCTCAACGTGATGTCACGTTCCTGGAACACTCTAAATGTTGTTCAGTGAAGATTCTCCATATTACGGTGAAAATGTTCCATATTATGGTGGTGCAGCTGACTCCACAACATACCATTCAGAATTCACTGTAACTGATAGATATTTTGACGAATTTTGTTGGTATTATGGGGAAAATCTAAAATCTCCACCATAATATGTTGGTGCAGCCTTTCACCGTAAGACATTAACAGAGAATGAAAGTGATGTTGATTGACAAAAATGTCAAAATCATTCTGAGAACTTGGCGATTGAATGTGCCGATGACGTACTCTTCTCATTGAAGTATACGTACTTATCGTACGGCTTCGTGCCGAAATGGTGACTCCAACTGTTTATCATGGCAGTGCAGTTCCAGCACCACACAATGCGAAGAGTCACGGGAACGAGAAAACTGTTTAGCCACGTTTCATTCCAACCGTATACCGAAATGATGAGTGGCAGCGCCACTGCGAAAACCGCGATCAGCTTGTACTGGTGCCTAAAACAAAACACCAAAAAAACGCTGTAGTTAAGTTGGCTTAGCCATGGCGAAAAAAACTGCCACCGGTAAAACCAGACAAGAGTACATCGAAGTCAAGAAAATGCCCACTTCCTGGTGATGGGCACTTACGTGATTTCGGCGTGCTCCTCTGTGGTGCTACTGGCGGCATATCTCTTTTTGTCATAGTCCATATTGTGGGATTTGTCTTTTTTTTTAATTCTTTAATAATTTTTTTTTTGTAAATACCACATTTTTGTTTTAGACTTTAGAGCCCGCTAAAAGCGCCCTCAAAACGATCGGATTTTTCAAAAACAGCAACATATCTGGAAACAGTCTAAGTGGTGCCATGAACGTGCCATCTAACGTCTGTGATTTCGAAACAGGTGTGTTTTTGACCTCTCCTAACCAGTGGCGGATCCAGAGACGTCCCGAGGGGGGAAGTCAAAGTAGTACTTTTTTCCCATTTCCAGGGGCAAAGTGTTGTTGTTTTTTCTACCTTTCTTCAGGCGCGGCTATCTAGGGACCAAGGGAGGGGCAATTGTTCTCCCCCCCCCCTTCTGGATCCGCGTCTGTTCCTAACCGGAGGGGCGGCACGTCATTTTCACGTTCATTTTCCATGACACCACTGTGAAACCAAACGTGGACAACTCCACACTGTAGCAAAAAGCTACGGAAAATTCTGTAAACAGCTTGTGGTAATTCTCCGTAGCCCCCTTGTCAATGTTCTCCGTAGACTCTTACAGTATTCTCCGTAGGACTATACAGTATTTCAGGTCCTACGGAGAAGACTGTGCGGTTCTACGGAGAATACTGTACGGCCCTACGGAGAATACTGTAAAAGCCTACGGAGAATATTGATAAGAGGGCTACGGAGAATCCTGGCAAAAAAAATTAACAGAATTTTCCGTACTTCATTGCCACAGTGCACTTCGTGGTGTGGAGTAAGTCTCCACACTTCGAAGTTCAGAGTTTGCAGTCTCCACACTTCAAGTGGAAAGCTAACGGAGCCTGTATCTCTTCGCATGGTGGACACGTGGACAACTCCACGTTTGAAGTGTGGAGACTGCAAACTCTGCACTTCCAAGTGTGGAGACTGAACATTCCACTCCTCCGCAATTCAAACGTGGAGCTCTCCACATTGACGGCGGAACGGTTTCAAAGTCGTTCTGGTATGTTAAAAACTTCGCATAACAAAATGGGGCACTGTCTTTGAAGGTGAGGCGGAGATTTCAGTCCGGACCCGACCGGCTTCATGGCAGCCCCTCACAGAGCGTGTTCAAAGCAATTAGCCTAGGGGGTGGCAACGGCCCACAGAGATCGTGAAGGCATGCTCGCGCCTTCGTTGCAGGTGTTCCTCACTTGAAAAGACAAGGCCGTTGTTACCAATGCGCTCCGCGCTTTTTCTAAGCTGGAAATGTAGGGTGCATTAGGCTAGATGCCCTTCTCGATCTTCCTCTCACCCATTTAGACACAAGTCGAGCTATTCTCTTCTTCCGCTTCCCGGATCACTTCCACCTACCTCTTTTGAAACATAACGTAAGGGTCATTTTCGAGATCAGACAAATCGATCGTCTTCCATTTTGCGAAAACCTCCGGATGCCTTCGAAGACACATCCACCCCCAGTGAGAGAAGAAGAATCCCCGCGCTGCACTGTAAGGGTCGGCCATCGTGTCCGAGTGCTTGTGATGAACGCGGTGGTCTCTGGCCCATCTCCAGGCACATGGCTGCAACACAGGTATGATTTAGAACAAAACTCTGGTAAAACTCGTACAATGCAAATTCGGTGGCGAGGCCGCTTGCCGTTTAGAGTGCCAAAATTTGGCAACACTTGACCAGAAATCTCCATCAGCTTCCAAATATTTGGCATTCCAGCAGCTTGCAATGCTAAATATTGGCAAGCTGTGGAGTAATTCAGGTCTAGGCTGGCTAGTGTTTGGCAATCAAACCGGCTTGCCAATTTTGTGTCCCTTTGAAGTATGTGCTTGCTCACCCTCAAACCGTAACAAACTCTTTGAGGCTTCATAGGCTTACGAACAAAATACTTCTTTAGTTTCGAATCATTTCTTCGTTTAACAAACTAGATTGTTTGTACGTTACATATGCTTTTAATGCTTCGTTAGGTTTTGAGCGTGACTCCAAGTCAAGCATAAAGTTGCGCTGGGCCACTCTCTCATTCCAGTAACGTGACATCACGTTAAAACGAACGTGACAAAATACCACGTTCGTTTGAGCATTGGGTCACATTCGTTTGAATGTGATCAAGCTTATTTTTGGCCGATTCACATCCAAACGAATGTGACCCAATGCCCAAATGAACGTGACATTTTGTCACGTTCGATTCAACGTGATGTCACGTTCCTGGAATGAGAGTGCAGTTACGATTGTGATGGGGCAGGGATTCTTCCATGCATTTACTTGAGGGAACTTTGTGCTTGCACTTGAGTTCAAGCACACACGGATTGGATAACGCTTGAAAACGGAGGGTAGGCTATGCCGTTGAGCTCTTGAGCAGGAAAGTGAAGCATTGCTAATGGGCTGCATAGAGAGAAGGACAAAGGGAGAGAAAGATGAAATGGGCTGGGAGTTACCTGGACGGCCAACGAACCCATGGCCAGAAGGAAGATCTTCAAGGGCAGGGTTGCTTTGTATGCCCTGTGAGAGAAAAGCCTGTGGGCCCCAGCGTTCGAGCCCACGGTGGATAAGTAGTACAGAAGAACAGCTGCAACAGCAATTACTAATAAAACAACGCGACCGGATATAAAAATCCTAATTGTGCTCTGTGCCAAATGAGCTGAGCGTGAGCGATAGCGAATGGCCAGTTACTCAATTGCAGTTGAAAAAGATTCCTCTCCCTGTCCGTCCGTCTTCCACTACTCGCACGGTAAAAACGGTACCTGGTTTTCCCAGGAGAGACATTCCATGCCGGTTCGGCCAGGGCCTGAAGGTGACCATTGACGATTTCCGCTCCGCTTTGGCATTTTTTTGTACTCGTCGCTCGTCGAGATAGGGCGATTGCCAAATTTTTAGGTCCCTAAGTCCATTTTTGCGCCCAGGGTGGCAATTTTTAGATTTCTCTGAACTTTCTTTAGTGGTTTTGTTGAAATTGCGCTTCGAAGTCCCTTTCTTGGCTCTCCACGGCACAATTTCAACGCTAGCTCAATGATTTTGTGCTTAAAAGATGCGTATTGAATAGAGGAAGAGACTCCAGCGGTCAAATTCTACTTTTGAAGTCATCTTCGTGGTGATCCAAGCGATTTTGCAAATTAAAAACATGTAAGAATGAGGTAATTTTTGCTAACTTTGGCGAGGGATCTTTCGATGACCGACATCGAAATTTGAACTTTTTCCGGCGGATTCTTGAAGGTCTCGAGGAGATCTTTCGAGTTCCGGTGCCAGAAAGTATGGGACCGGCCCTAGTTTAGCCGCTACACTGCTCCAAAGTTTCGAAAAATCCCAAATTTGCACTAAATGGTGCAAGGAGTGGACTTTCGCTTGCAGGCCCACGGCAATTGCCATGCGAGTCCCAGGCCATCTCGGCCCGACTAAAACCGAGGGGGTAAACACTCGCGTAATACCCTGTACACAAAAACTGTGTATTACGCGTAATACACGTAATTGTAATACCATTTTTGGGCTAAATATGCCAAATTTTGGCATTTTAGTGCCGTAATACACGTGTAATGCCCCCGTAATACAGCGTAATACCGCGTAATACCGAGTATTCTGTATACGATTTCGTGGAGTGTTTACCCCCGCGACTAAAACTGACCCCTGCAGTAACTTCTACTTGATCCCAAGCCCCAGCACTCCAAATCCAGTGGCAAGTTCCTCGCCACTGGAGTGGCGTCTTTTCGGAAGCACCAAAATTTGGCGTTCCCATCCCTGGTTTCCGGATTCCATGCCAAACTTTGGCGTTCCACAGAGAGCGCCAAAATTTGGCGTTCCATTCCCCAGAGCACCACAGACCAGAACGCCAAAATTTGGCGCTGCAAAAGAAATGCAATAATTTGGCTTAGAAAGCAATACCCGTTCACAGAAAAATAAATGTGCATACAATAGTTTTCAGTGCTTAGGATCCCCAGTTCAAATCACAGCAATTATACTATGAAAAGTAGAACTGGACCAGTAAAATACAAGACCTGCATCTGTATTTTCAGGTTACGTGTCAATGCCGCTGACCAACTATTGAATCACTTTGGTTTGGCCAGCGATTCCTGAGACACCTGGAAAATGGTACTCACATCAACACAAAAAGCTGGATATCACTTAGTCACTCTCTCTTGATAAAGGGTCGACACAGCAAGGGGTCTCAGTCCGTTCTCAAATCAAGAAGACTTGAGCCAGCCTCAAAGCCCTAGCCTGGCCCTGTTGCATCACGCCGCTCCCTCTTCAAAATCTTCCTCAGAACAACACTTGAATAGTTTTCAAATGGCCCGAGAGCACTCAGGCCTTCCGAAAGTACTGCGACACGATAAAACATGACAGACACACACTATCGTTGACCGTGGCGAGACGAAATGCACACAAAAGTAACAATTTGAATGTTTCGTTTGTCTTAGAGAAGTAGCCATGTTTACTGTTTTTGTTGTTTTGATTTTGATGATTGCTTATGCGCCCTACCTGTTCAGTGCGAATAAAACGTGGAGGGCGAATAACATGTTATTCGCACGCAATATGTTATTTACCCTCCACGTTATTCACCCTCCATGTTATTCGCACGCAATATGTTATTCACCCTTCACGCTTTTGCAGCCAGCTGTCGTTTCTAAATGAAGAAAATAGATACAGGGATTGAAAAGAAAATGACTGTCATTTTAAACATATCAGATAGGGAGGAAAAATGATATAGAAACGACAGGTGGCTGCAAAAGCGTAAGCTCTGACACACGCTTTTTCCGCATCCATGAGATCTGCGAAACCAGTAGGCCACTGACTTTTGAAATTAATAATGTTGAGGCCGTAATAGTAGCGAGAAAAAACCTATGTGGATCTCATAATCACCACTGATGCGGGGCTAGGACGACATGTAAGCTTAGGGCATAATTTTGTGAAAATTCACTGTATTCTTTCATCCCCTCCTTTTAACCCCCGAGCCGGTGAGTGACCCTGGGGCTTGGGATCAAGTAGAAGTTATTGCAGGGGTCAGTTTTAGTCGGGCCGAGATGGCCTGGGACTCGCATGGCAATTGCCGTGGGCCTGCAAGCGAAAGTCCACTCCTTGCACCATTTAGTGCAAATTTGGGATTTTTCGAAACTTTGGAGCAGTGTAGCGGCTAAACTAGGGCCGGTCCCATACTTTCTGGCACCGGAACTCGAAAGATCTCCTCGAGACCTTCAAGAATCCGCTGGAAAAAATTTAAATTTCGACGTCGGTCATCGAAAGATCCCTCGCCAAAGTTAGCAAAAATTACCTCATTTTTACATGTTTTTAATTTGCAAAATCGCTTGGGTCACCACGAAGATGACTTCAAAAGTAGAATTTGACCGCTGGAGTCTCTTCCTCTATTCAATACGCGTCTTTTAAGCACAAAATCATTGAGCTAGCGTTGAAATTGTGCCGTGGAGAGCCAAGAAAGGGACTTCGAAGCGCAATTTCAACAAAACCACTAAAGAAAGTTCAGAGAATTCTAAATATTGCCACCCTGGGCGCAAAAATGGACTTAGGGACCTAAAAATTTGGCAATCGCCCTATCTCGACGAGTACAAAAAAATGCCAAAGCGGCGCGGAAATCGTCAATGGTCACCTTCAGGCCCTGGCCGAACCGGCATGGAATGTCTCAGGAAGCAAGTGTGGGGCAAAAGGTGTCTCACTTGCAAGCAAGGCACAAACTCGGCTCACACTTGTAATTGTGAGACATTGTGGCGAGGGGGTAAACATTCGCGTGGCCATTTTAGGGTCAAATATGCACAGATGAATTTCTGCAAGGAAGGAACATCTCTTTGTAATACGAAGAAAACGGCGGCTTCGCAGCCTGCGAAGAAAATCGTTTGTAATACACTGAGATTCCAAACGCTATGAGTATAGCACGTATGGTGCAATGCACTGAGATATCGCACCATACGTGCAATGCGATTATATATTGCACCTTAGGTGCAATACGTCCCGAAAATGCCCTATGCTAATGCATGGGAATGGGGAGGCATTGCACTTCATGTGCAATGCTTTTGCATTGCACCAATTGACGCTATACTCATAGCGTTTGGATTCTCAGTGTACGAACAATTTTCTTTGTGATATAAAGAAAAAAATCCTTCTCAGGCTGCGAAGAAATTCTTCGTAGGCTACGGAGAATTTTTTCTGTGTATTACAAAGATAATCGTTTGTATTACAAACGATTTCCTTCGCAGGCTGCGAACCCGCAGTTTTCTTTGTAATATAAAGAGCAGTTCTTTGTAGAGTTTTAAGGGGGCAGTAGCGTCTTTTGCACGTGTTTTGACGATTTTTGAACCTCCTGTTTAGACGTTAATATAAAGATAAGTATGAATGCCAGAGACAAACGGCAGGCACCATTTGAAAGATAAAAGTTTTTACAACATTTTCAAAAAAAAATATTTTGTTTTAGCATTGAATTAGGATGTTTTGTGTTATATGCAAAAATGGTCTGCAAAATTACATGGTTTCACTGCGCGCACGATTGCAGCCAAAGTTTTTAACTTTTTACCAATCGGTAAAATGCATCTGAAAAAGCATGAAATTGCCCATAAAATGACCCTTGGGTTTCAATATTGGGCAAGAAAAACTATTGAAACGCTCATCTTCAACTTAAGATGGAAACGAACCACATTTTTTCTGGCCCAATATTAAAACCCAAGGGTCATTTTATGGGCAATTTCATGCTTTTTCAGATGCATTTTACCGATTGGTAAAAAGTTAAAAACTTTGGCTGCAATCGTGCGCGCAGTGACACCATGTAATTTTGCAGACCATTTTTGCATAGAACACAAAACATCCTAATTCAATGCTAAAACAAAATATTTTTTTTTGAAAATGTTGTAAAAACTTTTATCTTTCAAATGGTGCCTGCCGTTTGTCTCTGGCATTCATACTTATCTTTATATTAACGTCTAAACAGGAGGTTCGAAAATCGTCAAAACACGTGCAAATGACGCTACTGCCCCCTTAAGTGCGAGCCAAATTTTGGCATTTTAAGGCCGTAATTCACTTGTAATATCCCCATAATACCGAGTAGTCTGCACTTGAAGTGTTCACCCCAACGCATTGTGGTTCACGCCAAATTGTGAGAGACTGTCCAGAGACTATCGCCCCCTTGGATAGACACTTTCAGTCATCGCCGTCACTGTTAAAAAAAAAGTCTGAAAATTCAGACTTAATTGGTCAGAAGTTATTAACAGACTTGAGAGGTCTGAAAATTGAGACCGTTTAGATGGTCTGAAAATTCAGAACTGGAGAGTCTTACATTTAAGAGTCTGGTGGTCTGAAAATTCAGTCCTGTATGGAAATTGTTAACTGAAAGGTTCGTGACATGATAAATATGACATAGGCAGAATCTCAGGTGTGTGTGAACCTCCAGAGAGGACAACATAGAGTAAAAATTGTGTTGAGGGAGAAGATCCTCTGGACTTTTCCCTGCCTCTCGAGAGGCCGGCCTGTGGCACCCAAGGAAATGGCGACACGGAGCCACCCGCGAGAGGTAAATTAAAATGTGGATTGTTCAACTCCCACCCATATTACGGAGATAAATCTTGCAGCAGAAAATGGTTCTCATATGGCCGATGAAGTCTTGTCAATTTGGAACTTTTCAACTAATATATTTTCACATTAGAAGCCTTTAAAACAGAAGTAGGTATGTTCCACAACATGCGCGCCATCTAGCGGGCAAACGAAATCTTGGGTTGGTCTGAATTTTCAGACTTAATCATCTCAATTTTCAGACTGCGCTGGTCTGAATTCAAGTTCTGAGACGATCAGGTCGCAATTTTCATACCGGAAGGCTAAATTTTCAGACAAGCAGTCTGAAACAAGTCTGAAAAATAGATTCAGACCACCAAGTCTGACAAAAGTGGTCTGAATTTTCAGATTTTTTCTAACAGTGGTGTGAAGAAACAAAGTGATCAAAAATTCTGGAACCAGCAGCGCGCCATCAAGCGGCGGTTACTGTAAGCTGTCTAAAGCTGAACCCTAATAGGTCACAGGCGTAGGCCTGGACTTAAGTTCACAACAGTCGACGCTGGGTGACGCGCAACTGGTTCCTGGTTTTTGATTGCTTTTGTTCTCCACACGGCGACAAGTGAAAGGGTCTATTAGCAGCGCAGTTAGTAAATACGACGGCGAAATCGCGTATTGCGGGCCAAAAGAGCCCACACGGTAAAAACGGTACCTGGTTTTCCCAGGAAGCCTATGGTAGAGACATAGGCGATTTCCAGGGAGTTCCTGGGAAAACCAGGAACCACCTTTACCGCGCAGGTTAACACCCGACGTTGGACACCAACCAATACTACAACAGATACTCACTAAATATCCACGTCTGCCATTTAACCTGAAACAGGACGAAGCGGGGCAAAGCGTAGATTGCTGTGCCATGAGACAGTACAGCCACAAGAACAGTCATCCACGCTATGTCCGTCTCAAACCAAGGATTGTTTTTAGTTTTCAGGACTGCGTTATCCTGCCGCTGAACGTCTGCACACATTTTGAACGCGTGAACGCGTCCTGCCCAAGATTTCTCTCAATCTATGGAATTGAAGCGCACGGGGGGACGCGGTAGGGCTGTTCCGGTGCACTGGTTGACTGAGGCTTCAGTCACTGGCGGTGTGCGATAGGCGGGATGGGTCACGGATCCTACCTCATTTAAGGTAGGGATGAAAACATCAACTGTGGAACCGCGAAACTGATTCAAAGTAGGTGCCCCCATGCGTAATGACCTACGCCCAATGCAGTTCGGGTCCTGCAGTTGACGCAAGCAAACTTCATTATGTAAGCTACACTTGGCGAAGCGTCAGTTGTTTACATAGTGTCAGGGTGGAGTGGGAGTAGAACTCCACTCCAAGCTGAACGGTCGGGGGACAGATTAAGCTTCGGGCAAACATCCCGATACGTTGACCGCATTGTGTAAGGGTCAATGGCGGACGAGCCGAGCTCGCCGTGCTACCTGCATTCCAATGTAGTGCACCTTTCGGTCCATACCAGGTCCGACGTGCTGGCGACCCTCCGGGTTAATGGCTGCACTCCCCAAACCTCTGTCAGACAGCGAGCTCGCCGGCCGAGGGTCAAAGGTTACAGTAAATGTTTTTTCGTACACAACTTTGAACGAAGAGCGTACGTTTTAAAACTCCCTTTGCGCCGTTCTTAACGGCGTTGCTGCAGCGGGCTGTAAGTTTGGGGGCTTGCAGAGAAGGGTTGTGCCGAGATGTGACGCTTGGAGTTTGGACGCTACCCCACCTGAGTTCGGCGTTCATGGGGGTCGAACTTAGGGGATGTTTTCTCTTGTTTCGACAGTTTTTTCGTCCAAGAGGGCAAACGGTGCTCCTGACCGACTCGAGAATTTCAGAGATGGTTCAGCCGCGTCTCTCTTGCCGATGCCACCCTTGAACGGCGTTCCTACCCCTACCGGGCGAGCGGGGGGAGCTAGGGGGTGGACACCCTTCCAAAAGTAGATGGAAATTTCCGGATCTGGATTTTTTGATAGGAATGGCTTTGTTAGCACCCAGTGTGTCTCCCCATGAATTTCAACGCCCAAATTCAACCCCTTTGCTACTGAAACGGCACAAGGTAAAAAAGGGTTAGGTCCTGCCGGGGGTTGGTACAGCTGGGGGTGGTCGGATTCGAAAAAGAAAACTTGCAGCGTGTGCAGGGGAAGTCACAGGATCGTTTGCAGTCGGTTTCAGACATTTTCGAAAACCACCCCCCGGAGGGGGTGGGGGTGGGGGTGACTGTGGAAAGGGATGCGTTTGTCCGATTGCAATTCCGCTTGCACGGTTGCATTGCAAGATAAAGTGTGGATAGTACAACAAAAGTACAACAGAAACTGTACAGTAAAAGTACAACAGGGATTGTAGAAAGTACAACGAGAATTGTACAAACCACAACGAGCCTTGGACTGCACAGCACTCGTCATGCCGGTTCCATTGTACTTTGTACAACAATTGTTGTACTTGAAAAGTACACTAAATTCCTGATAAAAAATTTGTCAGAAATTTGTGTACTTTTGTTGTGGTTATTTCCTGCAGTGTGTGAAGGGGAGACTCATTGGAGTCGGTGCACAACAAATTTCACGTTTCCGGTCACTTAAAGTAAAAAATGTCGCCATGTTTATTTCGGATTTTACACCCTTTACCACGGAAGAGGTTGCACAGGGCAGAAGTGGTGACGCACGGATCGCATACTTCGCAAGGCTCAAGAAGAACAGTTGGGGCATCCACCGACCAAATTGCAGCGTCCTAGCTCGATAAACATAGAAACTGCGCCGTTTGCAAAAAAGGAGCCGCTAGCGGCAGTGTATGCACCAAAGAAGTGAAAAATGCCCAGAACATCAGTTTACGTTAAAATACTTGGCGTAAGAGAAGATGCGACTGTAAATAGCAGAAAATTCCTCTTCGACTGGATTTGGGGCGAGGTATTGCTCTCCAAACTTCAAATTTTATGATTTACAACGAAATACTTTAAATTTACAATGAATATTGATAGTGGGACTCAATTTGAAGAAAGTAAGATTTTCAGAAGAACGTCCCTTTAATTTTGACGCAATGTCAAACACTGCATCAATGTACACTTTAACGTCCCACTGACGCTTTGAAGCAGATCATTGTATTACTATTTTTGCAAACATGGCTACCAGGTCAGACGTCCTCAACACAACTCTTCAAACGCTGAATACCTTGAATTGTATCTACACATGAGCCACCTGGCAACAAAAGTTGTATTCAGAGGTGCGTTTCTCTGTAGGATGTCGAGACACGCCACTGGACGTAATGAAGGTCCGCGCATTCGGCCGCGCTACCGACAGGGACCCGCGGCCACCCAGGCGCCCGCCGCGACGGTCGAACGCAGATCAGCTTCGAGTAGATTCAGGTCTACCTGTAAGGGAGAGTGGGGTAATTCCGGACGCTTTTTTAGCAGATGATACCTTTACTACTTCAATATTCAATACATACTACAATACACGACACTTGAAGGTGTCAGCTAGCTTTTACTCGAGAGTCCAGGGCCGGCTGTTGGGTTGGGGCGGGACAGCGAGTGCTTTAGGCACGGTCAACAATGTGCGCGAAACATCGACAACTCCTCCCCCGGGTACAGCGGCACCGGGCGTAAACAATGGCACCCCCTTCTCGGCCCGACCCCGCGCGGCAAGGACCAACAGAGCAGATTTAGTAGTGACGTATGTCTCCACCTATGTCATTGGCTGCGACACTTTCTCTGATGGCACTTTCACAGGAGGATATGAGCTTTCGAAGCTCTGGTGAAGCATAACTGTACCCACCGAATTTTTAGCAGATGATACCTTTACTCAAAACATACCTAAAACTACAACTACAAGATACATAAAGGTGTCAGCTAGCTTTTACTCGAGAGTCCAAAAACCAAGTGCGTATCCTAACAATATAATAGGGGCTGGCTGCCGGGGCGGGCTGGTGTGTCTGGCGGTGAGGCGCAGCCTGCGCGGAATTCGACAATGGCACCCCCCCCCTCGCGCGCGACGGCCTGCGCGCAACATTGACAATCCCTCCCCGATTCAAGACTATCAAGACTATCTTTGGGATTAGCCAATACTACCCCGTAGAAGAAAACCAAACGAGTATCATCTGCTTTCATTAACGTTCGTTGAATGAGATTTTTAGCAGATGATACCTTCACACTTGAAACATACTGAAAACTACTATACACAAATGAAGGTGTCAGCGTGCTTTTACTCTCGAGTCCAGAAACCAAGCGCGTATCCTAACAATATAATAGGGGCTGGCGGCCGGGGCGGGCTGGTGCGTGTGGCTGGCTGGCTGGCTGGCATGAGGCGCAGCCTGCGCGGAATTCGACAATCCCTCCACGGTACAGCGCCAGCGGCACCGGGCGTAAACAATGGCACCCCCTCCTCGCATTGACAATCCCTCCCCGCCTGCCACGGCGCGGAGTATCGCGCAACAATGCCTCCCGATTGCCCAGCTCGGCACGGCTAGTACCAACACCGGCCAGCTCGCTCGGGTCTGTGTATTTTGTTTCATACACAATTTTAAATACTATCTTTGGAATGATACCGCATACTACCCCGTATAAGAAAACCAAACGAGTATCATCTGCTTTCATTAACGTTCGTTGAATGAGATTTTTTCCTTGATTTTCTGAAATGTATAATTTGATCCAGATTCTTCTCGGAACACAGTCAAGGTAAGCGGACAGTCATCACAATTCTTGACGATTTTTTTCTTCCCGAATGCAGTGAATCCTGTCATGAAGCTTACAATGTTTCAGGAGACACTGTGTAGCTGTGGTCCGGCTCACAGTGGAAGGGCAGACTTTCAAATACGGCTCCTGCAGGCAAGATTTTTGTCTTAAAATATCTAACAATTTGCATCTTTTACTTGGTTTGTGTTCGTCAGAACTTACCCTCTGTCAATACTTCATCAATTAGCTGGTCTATTTCCTCCTGCCTTTCTTTTTCAGAATCAAGTAACTTGCTTTCACTCGAGCAAGTTTTTCACATTTTCTCCACCTGTCACATTGGAGCCCTTTGGAAGCTTAACCAGTGAGAAGACACTAAGCAGTCTATGCATTTGTGCAACTACCTTTGGGTCAGGGTGAGGGTTTTGTCTGAGAGCATTTCGAATTTGCCCAAAAAATTGCTATTTTTATAATTTTTTTTTGAAAAAGAAAAAAATATATTAGAGGATGAATTGCTATGTGTAACCTGTTATTTCATTGACTGAATCACAAACCTCAATTGCATCTGAATTGAACCTGGCCTGGCTGTCATGACATACACTGCTAAAAAAATCCATCTTAATTTTAAGAAACTTTTTTTATGAAGCAGTTTACAAAGACTTTTTGGTAGTAAACGTATTAAACTTTTTCATCTTAAAAGTAAGAACCAAATTTGAAAAGTAATAAACTGTTTCTTAAAAATTGTTTTTGCATTTAAGAAGAATTTAATATAGAGCAGGGAAAAATTGAACGCCTTATGGACGTAATGAGTTACTCATTGTATGGTAGTAGTCGATTTCACTACCGAAGTTGCTTAGAAGCGTGGTTGAAACTCGGTCTCGAACCCGGAATTCCGGATAACCGCACCGCGACGCTACGAACTGCGCCACGAGTGAGCTCTGCGAGGCGGGCTCTAGGATGTGGATGACTCCAAGCTTCTCGGCGGAGACTCCGTTAGGCAGCGGAAGCGCTCATCCAAGGGCCTCCAAGCACGACTTAAGTAGTTCTGTTAAATTCTTTGCAGCTTATGTAACCGTTTCAGTTCTGTTAATTTATATCAAATTTTTTCTTCAAAGTTATGGTTTTGTTAACTTTTATCTCAAGTCATTTGCCTTGGTTCAAATTTTCCATTTTAGTTCTGTTAACCATCTTCTATATTTCACGTCTTAAACTTGTGTAAAATTCCATTTCAAGTATTACATAAATTGTGAATTAAGTGGGCGTCTTGTTTTTAGTAATTCACAATTGGCTATCCTGTCTTCTGTAAATAACAAAGTCTTATTGGCACTCCTGCTGATTATGTACAGAACGCTTCTTATAAGAGCAGTTGCCAAAATAACGGTATCTTTCGTTTCTTTTGGCTCTATAATCGTTAATTTTCAACGTATTGAGATGCGGTTTGGTGCGTTGTGTTGGGCTCGACGTCGCCCTCTCTTATCCATCACCAGTCTTCACTTTTTCAATTCAGAAGATGTCGATGAAGTGCTCCAAAGGGTCATTTTGTAACGTCCCGGCATGTCCCCGTCCATAAATTCAAAGTTTCGATGCTTATATTTCAGGTAATATTAAACGTAGAACGATTCTGAGAAGATATTCGGAAACTTGATTTTTTTATCTATCAGATACATGTTACTGAACTCGTTTTTACGGGCTCGATTTGGGTGCAATCTGTAAACGCAAAACAGGGGCGTCGGAAGTACTTTTAGGTGGGGGGTGCGCAAATTTAAAGGGTTGTGCTGTGGGTTGCCTACCTTTTAAGCGGTACTTCCCAAAGCCGGTATAATTGACGAGCGAAGCGAGCCAAAAAATAAGGACTAATCCAAAAAAAAGTTTGTTTCAAAAGTAACAAAAGACATGTGTAAAATGGATAGAGGCTATGCAATTTGTGGTCAACAAGTCAATAAACAACTTTGACGATCCTTTTAAATAAACCATGTGTAAGACTTCAGGGGAAGTGCAAGGTAAAGCTTTAAACTTATGCGTTGATGCGAAAACATTAAAGGCATTAAAACGGATTTTTTTTTGTACAGAATCTTTTTAAAAAGAACGGGAAAAAATGGAGTGAAGCGAGCTAGGCTCAGGTTTTAGTTTTGGTCCCTTTTGTGAGTGCAGCGTCACGAGTTCTTGGCGAGCGAAGCGAGCTAAATGGTTTTGGTTTAGAGAATCATCAAAACCAGTAGGCTAAGCAAGGTTTAGATCGAATATTATCTCAGGAGTGTTAACTAGTGTTATTGTTACCCCTTTGACCTCTCACTCTTTGTGCATCAAAATGGGGGGTGCTGCGCACCCCCCAGATTATTTTGGGGGGTGCGCAACGCACCCTCTGAACCCCACTTCCGACGCCCCTGACGCAAAATGTCCTCCGTGGATGACTTTGCGTAACGTTACATGTGAATTATCACGGTTTCTCGCCTTGCACTCCACTGATAGTTCGCGGCCTCGTCGTCAGATTAATCTTTAGCATTTTTGCCGTCGAATGGTGCAAACGGGAACTCTGAGAAGTTAATAGAAAGTTCAGAATCTTGTTTTGTAGGTTATGTTTCGGTAGTGTCCGACCATGATTTTAAAAAGCTTTTCTGTTCCCCGGGCAAGTTCTAGACCAAACAGAGATTTGATTCTTTCAGGACGTGTTGAGGTATCTTAAAACAGGTGCTCACACTAAATGGCGTGTTTTAATTCATAGCGTGAGAGTTACTAGGCCTGTTTGAATGAAAATGTAACGTTCCGTATCCCGCTTTTTTCTGTATCGTTCCGTGTCTTTCCCCTATTCTTTTGATAGGGGCTTTTTGGTCTTTCTGCAATATTGCACCGGGAGCTCGACTGCGTTCAGATACAAGTCGTGGGGAATCACTGAATAAATTGGCCGAGAAAAAAGCCGACTTTTCCACATTTTTTTCTTGCGGTTCTATGGCTTTTAAAAGTGCCCCGAATTTTGGCAACTGCAGATATGGGCTAAAACTGGGTGGTTTCGAACAATTAAAATACAGAATGGTACACACTGCTCTTTTATTACTTATACTTATTACAAGCACGCATATTTCTAACTTTACACAACATCAACAAAGCCCAAGCATTCATAAGCAGACTAAGAAAAAATCCACAAGACATCTTGCATAATAGATACTGAGAAACAGAGGAAGTACCCTAAAATCACAGAAAGTAGTAAACGCGCTGACCCCTTGAACACGGCTTCGTCGATTTGGGTTCAGTGCAGGGAAGGGAAGAGTCGACCACAGCAGGTGCGGCGGGGAAAATCGCACACCCCTAATTTAGACTGAACTGTCCCAGGTATACACTCGGAAATATTCCCTTCTGAATACTGGTGTACGTACACGATCGCGTCACAGTATAAGTGAATCTCAAAGCATGGAAATTCAGTCTAAAAACGAGGCGTCCGATTTTCCCGTACCCTCTAGCTGTTCTGTTTTTCCCAGCACAGACTCCACAGGAACTCATGTAATTAAATAATAGTAGCGATATCACTGAGATTATTTGCCAAGCTCGGCGGATATTACTGCCACATTCGCGCAACGAATGAGAGTAACAAGAGAAGCACTGCCGATGACAGCGATGACGCCGACGAGGAAACTATTTGCGGCACTCTGCCAGTTTCTCCCAACTCGATGAAAAACTTGGAGGACTCCTTCAGAGTCCGCTTCAGTGTGGGACTGTTGTAGTCAACGTGGATGAGTCCAAACGGTCGGCTGCAACAGAACGACGAAAAATGTCATGGACAAAGCGAAAAAGTTGTTTCATATTAGTGGAGCAAAGCCGTTTGCAGGTTAGTACGAAACTTTGGTGCCCCAGTCACACTGTGCGAAAAAACTACAGTAAATCCTGAACAACTGGTACAGCTGTCACAGTAGTTCAGAGTACAGGATCTACTTTACAACGGGATCGACTCTGCAACAGAGGTGGAGTACGAAAAATCCTGGACAAGGTACAGTAAATCCGGTAGCCAAGTACGCCAAATCCTGTATTTTGAACTACAGTACATATGGCAAAAAAACTAACCAGGATTCACCGTGGTTTTTTCGCTCAGTGCAGGCTGAAATATGATGCTTCCACGCCTTCATACTTCGGCCTTTTCCCGCCAAAAAAAGGGAACGCCCGCCGTCTTTGCCCAAACCTGAGATTTTCCCACACCTCAGTGTACGCTACTTGTCGTCATGAAAGAGTACATTACTTACGCTGTGTAGCCCGCGGAAAATTCGTACACATCCAGTAGGGCCCACGCGTGGTAGGATATGATGGGAATGTTGAATTCATTTGCAGTGCGGACAAGAGCTCCGATGTTGGACTGAAACAATGATTGTTATACACGTAAGTATTCAGTTGTTCAAGGACAGTGGCATCATGTGCGATAAAATGAGAATTTTGACTTGTTCGATTAAATTCGATGTCTTATTTATTTAAAAGTGGATTTTAACATTGAAACGAATGTGTCAAAATTCGAATGAATATGCCGCTCTGATGTCACATTCGTTCCACTTCCTCCTTTGGCACAGTAGTCCGGACTGGCGACTATTGTCGGATTGGACTGCGCCAGGTCCTTTCGGCCGCGGGCTGGCCCCCTTGGAGGCACAACCGGGAAACGAACCCATGTATGTACGAAGCTCGATTTAGAAAACGCAACCTGCGTTCTTCTTTTTAACACATTGAGGCGGCTTGTGTAGTACCTTTAAACCAAGGTTGCCGATGGAAAAAAAATCCCGAAATTCAATTTTTCTATCACGTTACAGGAACTTTTGTTTATTCTTGATAAGATTGTCGTTCGAATTTTAAGACATTTTGATTTATTAGTCTGCTTGCTTTGCATGGTGCCCTTTCGTGTGCTTTATACTTACACTGTGATACACTCCTCGACTGCTATAATCCTGGATGCCATGTTTTTTAGTGTCACCGTAACCGTTCTCAGTTATGACGATAGGAAGATGGTGACGGGTCCAGGACCACAACACCGCAGTCCTCATGACATCTCCTGCGCCCTACGAAGAGAGCAAATACGATAATTACCGAGGCAATGGAATGTACTTTCACGAAGATGTATCACAATCAAGCGCGGGTCCAGGGGGGGGGCAAAAGGACGAAATTGCCCCTTCCTTGACTCTTAGATAGCCGCCTAAAAGGTATGCTTAACTCAACACTGCCCCTGTTAGTAGGCCAAAAGTGCTACTTTAACCCCCCCCCCTTTCCCCTCAGGCCGTCTCTGCATCTGTCACTGATCACAAAATAGTTGTGTTGTGATCGTGTGGAGATGTGTGTTTCTTACCTCATCAAACCGACCTCCCGAAATCAACTTGACGTGCTCAATGTCATCCAAAACGGGCTCCAGCATTTCTTGGATAGTGCCGAGAGTGCCGTGGTCGTTTGGATCTTGCGAATATTCAACTTTGTATCCACTGTAGACGTTCAGTGCAACAAAGTCCGTGGCTGGGCCTCCTAGAAATCGATTCAAGGAATTGTACAGGGGCAGAGAAAGTGCAGACTAAGCGTCAGTAGGATTGATTCGAGAACTACGCGCACCACGTCAATCTTTCTGTTATCATACACTGCAAGATAAACCTACAGTATCAATAGTTATTTAAACACCAGGAGTGGTCAGGTGAGAGGGTAGTGGCATGGCAAATGTTTCAAGTGAAGCAGCGTTGTACCTTTAATCAGAAGATCTTTCTCGGCGGCGGTAAAGTGGGGAAGTCTCGACTCCGGGAGGCCCTGCTCCTTCGATCTCTTGTCTACAAGGTAGCGCGTGGAAGCAGGGTACTCCCCGTGAATCAGTGGGTCGATCGCCGTTCCCGCGAAAACTTCGTTAAACAGATTTGCAGCCAAAGTGTCTTCGTACTTGTCAGATTGCGGAGAGGCCGGCCAGATCAGCACGGACGAGCCCACTTGTCCTGGATGGCACATGATTATCATCAGTAGTGGTCAAGCATCTATTCCTGCCGGCGGGCAAACCAAACTGCGGTTCAACTTACCTTTATACTGAGAATAGTATTTTTCTTTGTACAGACGGTACACTCTTGCATGAGCAATGATCGTGTTGTGCAAACACTTGAAGAACGTGTTTGGGCTGTAGGCTGTGATATTTGCGACACCGAGTTCCGGTGGCAAATAGATGCAGTACATGTTGCCTTCGTTCACTGGGTTCCAATATTTCACCTGAGGAGCATTCAAAGGTTAGAAAGTATAGAGGAAACATTTGGTTGACACCTGACTTCCGACGCATGCAAGCTTTGTGGAGTTAAAGGCCGATAATAGGTTTACCTGGGCACCATAAGTCTCGAACAAGAAGTCAGCGTAATCGACATACATGTCGACGAGTTTGTCAGATGTCCATCCTCCAGTTTGTTCCTCGACCGAGTATGGGTGATCAAAGTGGTACATAGTCACCTGTGGCAAAAACAGCAAGAATCATCCTGAAGCACAGCAAGGACCCGTCATGTTGAACATATTCAAATCCAGGCTGCATCCGTTCTCACGCAGAAAAACTTTTTGTCGACTCAAAGAAAATTTCTGTTATTATCACCAGAACCGCTGGCTTTTTCGTATACCTAGAACCGCGGAAGGGGTTATTTTGACCCCCCATTTTTTCTGCCCGTATTTTTAAAATTTTGCTCATTTTATGGGCCCTTAAGGAACATAGAATTGTTTTGATTAAAAAGAGAGAAATTCTCAGGTTTCAAAATGTGAGCTTCGATTTGAAGGTACTATTGGGTTGAAGGGAATACTCTCTGCACTTCAGTGGTACGTTTTACTGTGTGCGGAAAACAACCGTCTCGAGTTTCTGGGCTCTCGCTAACTGACAATTCGGTTACAAGTCCCACCAATTTAATACACTGCAATACTGTCTGTCTACTGTCGTTTCAAATCCAAAGGTCAGACTTCTCGCCAACTTTAAGACGAGACATGAAGTCCCACCAAGTTTTGGTCAGACCTGAAAGTCTCGTCTAAATTTGATTAGACAAAAAAGTCTCGCCACAAAATGGTCAGACACAAAAGGCTCGCCACAAAATGGCGAAACTTTCTGGTCTGACCAGGTGAGACTGGTAGAAGTCTTTCAATTCCAATTTGCAGTGGTTTATTAGATTTATTAGACAGTTAGGTTTGAAGTGTATTTAGGGTTCGTCAACTTATTACGTAATGTAGCTCTGTCCTTGTTGCCAATGGGTGCAAGAGAGACAGAAGACGTCACGCAACGCAGTGGGTGAAAGAACCCTCAAGAAACCATTCTCCCTTGTGATTCTCGTTTCACTTACCAGAGGTTCCATGCCATTCTTCTTGACTTCATCGATGTAGTTGCGGTAGAACTCGACGGCCTCTGTGTTGATGACACTTCTGTCTCCCTTTGGCAGGATGCGTGCCCAGGATATGGAGAATCGGTGGGATGTGAACTGTGGATATCAAATCAGTGAATGTAATTTTAATATAAACTTTGGTTTTACCCAACATTTTATGAATCTTCGATGGTCATGAGACTTATTGTGAAATATTTATCATGCTGATAATTTGCTTGATTTGCTGAGAGACTGATATCCGTAGCTAGGTAAATACCAAGCAAGTAATTTGTATTGTACTTAAAAAATTAAGGTTTCGCTCCGACAAAACGAAGCGTTAGCGAGTGACTCATTTGAAACAAATATCTGAGACTAATGTTTCTCTACCGCATGGCAAAATTTCGTACTTAACAACTGTTTTGTCTGTTCATCTAGGGCTTTCTCTCGCTTTTGCAATAGTAAATAGGTAATAGTTCGCTTTTGTCAGATGTTGGTTTGAGAATTACCTTCAGCTGTTTGGCAAGGGCGAGGTCTTCCTTGTAGTGGCCGTAGTGGTCTGCTGCCACTTCATTCGTTGTTGGATACATAGTTTTGTACTGGTGCACTAAGCGGTCCATCACACTTTCTGATTTACCTGATAAAAAAGACAATCGTTAGTCAACATAATAAGCAGCAATATCGCGTGCTCTCAACATAAATGAATGCAACACTAGCAGTCAGGCGTTTCATGTTAGACTTTTTTTTCTAAAATCACGCTGTTGGCCGTTAAGGGGGCAGTAGCGTCATTTGCACGTGTTTTGACGATTTTCGAACCTCCTGTTTAGACGTTAATATAAAGATAAGTATGAATGCCAGAGACAAACGGCAGGCACCATTTGAAAGATAAAAGTTTTTACAACATTTTCAAAAAAAAATATTTTGTTTTAGCATTGAATTAGGATGTTTTGTGTTCTATGCAAAAATGGTCTGCAAAATTACATGGTGTCACTGCGCGCACGATTGCAGCCAAAGTTTTTAACTTTTTACCAATCGGTAAAATGCATCTGAAAAAGCATGAAATTGCCCATAAAATGACCCTTGGGTTTCAATATTGGGCAAGAAAAACTATTGAAACGCTCATCTTCAACTTAAGATGGAAACGAACCACATTTTTTCTGGCCCAATATTAAAACCCAAGGGTCATTTTATGGGCAATTTCATGCTTTTTCAGATGCATTTTACCGATTGGTAAAAAGTTAAAAACTTTGGCTGCAATCGTGCGCGCAGTGAAACCATGTAATTTTGCAGACCATTTTTGCATATAACACAAAACATCCTAATTCAATGCTAAAACAAAATATTTTTTTTTGAAAATGTTGTAAAAACTTTTATCTTTCAAATGGTGCCTGCCGTTTGTCTCTGGCATTCATACTTATCTTTATATTAACGTCTAAACAGGAGGTTCAAAAATCGTCAAAACACGTGCAAAAGACGCTACTGCCCCCTTAATTGCTTGCCGTGAAGTATTTCTGCAAAGGAGCTGAATCTTGTTATCCCTTGCTCCTTTTCATTGTTATTCAAGCCTGTATGGCAAATTAACTAAAGTTCAATCCTCCTCTTCAAACTTCTTTATCAGTCCAACACTGTTAAGAGAAGTCGTTATTTTACAACAGTAATCCCAACAATTAGTGTTGTAATTCCCGGGTCGGAGCCAGAGTCTTATTTTCGTCTTTTCTTCGGCTTATTTGGTTTCCACATAGAGTCCGTTTGAAGCGCGGCAGAAGACAAGAGCAATGGTCATTCAAGGCGCGCGCAAGGGTTAAACGAGGCGAAACAAAGGTTGAGAGCAGGCGAAAAAAAGACGCTGCGCAAGCTTATCTTTTTCGTCTTGAAATTGTCTCTATCGCGTTTTGATTTAGGCTTGCGGAAGCCGAAAAGAAGGCGAAAAAAAGACGAAAAGAAGACTCGTACGAGCCCGGCAGAAGAGCCGAAAAAAAGACGAGATTGAGCGCCGCCGGCCTCCGGTCGGCAAAAGAGGTGGTGGGGGGCCAGCGACCGCACTGGCGAAAAGTAAACACAGCCTGCGCTTCGACGCAGCGTCGAACTATGAACCATGAGACTCGGAAATCGGTGCCGCAAGCCGCTGGGCCAGGGCGACTTGTTGGAGGTTGGGTGTCTGAGCTTGAGTCCTGACTCACGCTGCCGCGGCGGCTGGCTGTTGACGACAAACTCGACGGCTGTGTGGTGTGTCGGTTTAATATTATTTTACACTTCTTAATTTTTTGTATCGCCTTTACTGTTTGTGCTCTCTATCACCGTTTAGCGAAATCATACGCATTGAATAGATCGGACGATGAGTGAATGAATGGTATTGAACCGTCACACCACACAGCCGTCGAGTTTGTCGTCAACAGCCAGCCGCCGCGGCAGCGTGAGTCAGGACTCAAGCTCAGACACCCAACCTCCAACAAGTCGCCCTGGCCCAGCGGCTTGCGGCACCGATTTCCGAGTCTCATGGTTCATAGTTCGACGCTGCGTCGAAGCGCATGCTGTGTTTACTTTTCGCCAGTGCGGTCGCTGGCCCCCCACCACCTCTTTTGCCGACCGGAGGCCGGCGGCGCTCAATCTCGTCTTTTTTTCGGCTCTTCTGCCGGGCTCGTACGAGTCTTCTTTTCGTCTTTTTTTTGCCTTCTTTTCGGCTTCCGCAAGCCTAAATCAAAACGCGATAGAGACAATTTCAAGACGAAAAAGATAAGCTTGCGCAGCGTCTTTTTTTCGCCTGCTCTCAACCTTTGTTTCGCCTCGTTTAACCCTTGCGCGCGCCTTGAATGACCATTGCTCTTGTCTTCTGCCGCGCTTCAAACGGACTCTATGTGGAAACCAAATAAGCCGAAGTAAAGACGAAAATAAGACTCTGGCTCCGACCCGGGTAATAATTCGTAAAATAACTACAAGATTCATGACATGAACAATTGTCATATTTTCGACAAACTTTACTCATAAATTTAGGAATAAATTCGTAATTTTACGATGAAATCTAAATGTTACTGACGAAAGATCGTAGTTTTACTGATAAAATCGTTATCTTACGACTATTCTCGTTTTATAACGCGTTAACTTGTTTTCTTACAAATCAAGCTTTATTTTTAAGAATAGTTGCCTGTTAAATCTGTACCACGAACTGCATGTTTTTTTACAAAGTAAATTGTAAATTGACAAATTGTTCATCATTTTACAAACTGCTTCTTAAATTTACAGGTGAAATCGTTAATTTACAAGTATGATTGTAAAAGCATGTAGTCTAGTCATGTGGTCTAGTTAAGAAGCACTTCCCCGGGGAACGCGAGTGACAACCTACGGTGATAATCACCCGAAAGCAAAAAAAGTTATGTAAAAGGTAGGGGGTGGCTCAAGGGTGGCTACGAATGGCAGTGGTACCAATGTGGTCGATGTGCCACCCGTCAAAATTTAACCTTGGCAATAAAGAGAAATCAAAATGCCGGGAAATTCGAAAAATTCCAATGCTAATGTATTCCACAGTGATCCGAGAAAGGAACATATTTGAAGTCCATCATTATGAAAATTTTGGTTGCAGAAAGAAGGCAGTAAATTAATTTTCGCGGGTTGGCAACAATTTTGTCGGCGTCTGCGCCCTTGCGAAAATCGCGAAGCTGAAAACACGAGTATAGTCGCGCATTAAAACTGCCCTTCCATTGTTGCTGACGTTGAATTGTTTGGCTTGTTTCAAAAGGCTACGGTTCTCTAGTCATGTTTTCTTCAATTCTGTGTAATAGTTCTCACTCACAACGTAGCAACACCACGACGGTTGGCTTGACAAATTTTATAATCTCGAGAGGGATGGTCTCGAAACGCGGGTGAGTCTTGTTCGAAGAACATGAGCACTGAACGTCGCGAGGTGGAGCGAAGTGATCATGGTGCTAACTGAATCAGAAGTACCATCAAACCTGCCTAAAAGGAGCAGCTATATGACCAGCTTATTCAAAAAAAAGACTAAAAGTCTTAAAGCGACTCTTAAACTACATTAAGGAAAGATAATTCACAGATGCATGTGCACAGGTACGCAGTTAAATGGCTCAATTCACTCCGATTTGAAGAGTAGCAAAAATTTTCAACAAAACAACAGCAAAAACAACAACGCAGCGCAACGGGATTGGTGCGGGACACTCTCATAGACAGTCACTGGCCGGCCGGCCGATCCAAATGGCCACGTTCGAAACGACACCAATTCTATTGTTGCATCTTGTCTACCTGCAGTCAAAGAAATGTTTCATTTCGAACGTGCTATTTCAGCTTTTGGAGTAAGCTGTACAGACCCAAAAAGAAGCTCCGCTATTGGTCCGGCTCGGCTCCCCCCACTCTCTTTTTTTTCCTTTGACGAGTCGAGTTTAGCCATGGAAACGGCGATTTTGACAGCAAATTTCTCAAAATTGGCCGTTGACTTTTTAACCAGATTTCAGCATCAGAATCAGCGTTCAAAGTTCTAAAAGTCTGCAAAATCTCATTAAAATCGTATAGAAAATTTCCGAAATGCATAAAGGGCCACACAAATCGAATCTCGGGCCGGCTGAATCCTGGGTATACTATAAGGCTACTTCGTGCCTAAAATTAAACATCCCTAAATGAGACACTAAATAAAAGGTGGGTTCCCTCACTGGTTAACTAAAGCATACATAAACGCTTGGCTGCCAACAGTTAATCCGTTCCCCCCCTTTCACGCAACGGGGAATCTCTGCGCATGATTTGAAGCGAGGGAAACGCACGACTGTGCTTCAATTTGACCAGAGCAAGAGATATGTGAGAAATGAGTTACATATGTGTAACTTTCTTCCATAATTGAGACATCTGACACAAGTATTTTAATCAAGCTCAAACGTCACTTTGTGTGTTCACAATGACCTTTACAGCCGCACCGAAAACTTAAGCGTGTACTACAGCACTGAAGTGTGTCCTGAGAACATATGATCCAGGAAGCGGAAGAAGGGAATAACTTGACTTATCCCCAAATTGAGTTTTTATTTTATTATTGTGCCTTAGAATGGTTTACATCATTACACCAAATTATTTGACTGAATTCCAAGCAGTTTAGGAGAAAATCCACATGGAAAAAGGGTATAACTCAACTTAACCCCTTTTACGGTCTAAATTTCATTGGAAAATGGAGATAACTCAACCTTAGTCTACATGAGTCTGTTTGACAAATTGGCAAAAGGATATAACTCAACTTGTGTTTTTATGGATCTAGTGTAAAAAGAATCAACTCAACTTAACCCCCCCTTAATTTTAAATTTCAAGTTGGAAAAAAGAGCTAAGTCCAAAAAATACACCAGAGTAACATACACTTTATGCAGACTATTGTTCCACTTGACTTGTCTCCAAATTCCACTTTGTTTAGGAAATATAAGGTGAGCTGACTCTGTTTTCCATTTCAACGGAAAGTGATAAGTCGCAGAAATCCTCTACGGAGTGACCTTACACTTTTGATTTGTTTTCCAAAATTTTACTAATGCTTTTTGAAATTATTAACATCTGCAACATTCATTTGTTTTGTTTTAGTTTTCCCTGCTAACAGTTTTTTGTTTCTCCTGAAAAACGGCCAAAATTGAGTTATCCCCTTCTTCCGCTTCCTGGATCATATATAGAGCACTCAAGTCTGCACTAACGTAAGAAGACACACCGGTTTTTGAATTGTCTATGGCTTACCATGAGTGTTCCATGCTCCCTCGGCCTGCGTAGCTGAGAGGCCAGCACCCACCAGGAAACCAGGCGGCAACTTGTACACATCATCCTGGGCGGCCCGCGGCTCAATGAAAGCCGGCAGGGCAGCCTTGACGAGCACAAGCAGACACAGCGCGGCAGACAGCTGCATGGTGGCACGTATGTCACAGACAGTACCGGGCAGAGCTTATATGCGCTGATTTTGATTTGGCCGAATCACCGCGCCTCTTCACTACTCTCTGCGCTCCACTTGAGAAATCGCCAGTGACCTGACAGAAAAGCCTAACTTCTGAGGACTCCCCTCGTGACTTATGATGTTTTGTCTGGCGACCACGCAAGTGTCTAGTGTCCGCCGCAAAGTTGATTCTAAGAACGCCGACAACCGTGACGGCGCATCCGAGTACTACAGACGCACGTGCTACTGACGTGAGATCTCATGCGTGCAGCGGATACTTGTGGATCAGCTGCGCGATCATTACGATTCGGAGCAGTTTCGTTTCTCCTGGCTCCCTGTACCCAAACAAGTGCAGATACACTGAAAGAAAAACGTGGACAGTTCTGCACGAGGTGGTGCGGTTAATGTTTTGACCACGTTTGCGGCCATTGAACTTCGAAGCATAAATTTGGTCGAGCTTGCCCTATCCCTGAACATGGCAGAAGCAAGGAGGATTCCGTGTTCGGTGATGCAGACACTACAAACCGGTCCACCAAGTCCACACTCTTACAAATACGTGCTTGGCGCGGCTAAATTCATGCTACGCATTGGCAGTTGTGTGTATACCCAGTAGGCAGGTTTGAAGCGAAGACGAGACAGACCGCGTCTACCGTGCGGACAATCTCCACAGGGAAATTGTCACCGTCTCAGTGACCACACTGTCATTCATTTTGTGACAATTTACAACAAGTTTTTGCGATTAACACATTTTTTGCAATAACTTTTGTTTTTGAGTCTTCTTTGTACTCATTATCGCAACAAAGTGATACTTAATTGCCAAATTCAGCTCTAATTTTTTTTATTGCAGATTTTAAAGTTGTCATCATTGCCAAAAGAAGAAAGTGATGCAGTGCTCCCTCCCTCCAACCTGAGGATTGTGTTGCAAGGGACGGCGAGGGTCGAGCTCGCGCACCGAGAGGCCAATACAAGCGATCGCGTTGAGGCCCGATGCCAACCACGACTTCTGCCGGGCTCGCCGTGCTACCTGCTTCCCATTTTGGTGGCACCTTTCGGTCCATACCATGGTCCGACGTGTTGGCGAGCGTCCGGGTTTACGGCTGTACTCGTCAAACCCCTGTCAGACCGCGAGCCCGCCGAGGGTCAAGCGAGGGGGTAAACATTCGCGTAATACCCTGTACACAAAAACCGTGTATTACGCGTAATACACGTGATCGTAATATCCTTTTTTGGTCAAATGTGCCATATTTTGGCATTTTAAGGCCGTAATACACGTGTAATACCCCTGTAATACAGCGTAATACCGAGTAGTCTGTACACGATTTCTTGAAGTGGTTACCCCCTCGGGGTCGAGGGTACACAGCGAAAATAAAAAAAATCAGGCTGGAGGGGGGCAGTTTATAAGGAGGGAGCATTGTAAGTTGTTTATTACAAAATATAGGACAGTGGTTATTGCAGTGACAGTGCATAGGTCCCCGACAAAAAGGCACAAAAAGGAGCGGAGTAAAAAGTCAGAGGTAGTGATTTGCGACCATTTTGTTCGGACCTATGCCTAGCTAAAAGTCAATTTTCACTAAGAATCCGTCGCTTTAATCGTAAATCGCGGTGGGTCAGTATAGGGTCAAGCGTCGGATCTTGTCGGAAAATATTCATCCCTTGACCGTTGCCACCCTCTGCTTTGCACCCCACCAGGGATTGGAAAGGTGTTCAATTGCACTGCTGAAAGTAAGGTATTACTAAGTGTTACGCCTTACGTGAAGCGTGTTGTCCTTCTGGAAGCCTACAAGAGTTCATACACTTCTTCCGTCCGATCTTCATGCGGGGGAATTGTCTTAAAATTTTCTAAAATTCATCGGAATGTTCCCTTAAATTCAGTAGATTTGGCGCGAAACTCATCAAAATACGCTCGAGGTTCGCTCGAAATCCATAACTTTGTACACAGAAAACAATTGTTTCCCTCTGCATTAATGACATGTGAAGATACCAACCGTGTGGTGTTTTTGAAGACCGTGATGTGACATTCTCTTTATCTTAAACTTTCTGTGTGGAAAGGAGTGTTACCCACCCGTAGTAGACCATGCGTTATCAACACTCGATGGAAGAACTTCCCATCCTGTTATTTGTGCACGTTCATCATCATAAGATGATTGCACTCCAACAAAAAAACGAGACATTGATTTCTCTTCTGTCAGCAGGCTGCTCATACACATTAGTTTGTCTGTCGCAAGATAATGACGGGCACATACGCCGTGATCTTATCTGCACCCGCCTGTATACAATAAAAAATAGATTCGCCGATTCGGTGACGTCTGGGCGCCAAAACGAGAAAATTACATAAGAACATCGACATCTTCAAACTATTCTGGCGACCCTCTGTTCGTTTCGGCGACGCTCGGTCTAGTTTCGGTGGCACTCGGTCCGTTCCGGAGCAGCCACCTCAGGAAAACGGCACTGCAGTCACCCTCCCGCCAGCGACTTTAATCGTCGTCCCAGGTGATTTTATTTTTTATTAAATTTAATAAAGGTCCTTATAAAAATTTATTGGAGTTTAATATGATAAAGTAAGCTTTTATAAGGGCATTCGTATAAAATTTCATAACATTTTATAAAGATTTTTATAAAATTTTATAAACACCTTTATTAAATCTTATACATGACTGTATATAATTATATACAGCGATATGCAATCTGTATATGGTTGAATGAAGCGATTGGTCATGTATTAAGTTTTATACAGGGGTGTATAAAGTTTTATAAAGGGTTTTATAAAAGTTTATACAGGGTTTTATAAAGGTTTATACAGGATCCCTTATAAATTTTAATACAAGTTTGTACATTTTAATTAAAAGTTAATAAACATTTATAAATGTTTATAAGAACCTTTATAAAATTTTATAAAAAATAAAATCACCTGGGGTATTAATGTGAAATAGGAGACAAAACAAGTCAGGGGCTGTCAGTTCTCATTCGCTCATCAAAGCGTAACGTTGCCGGCGGGCACGCACAAACATGCACAGACAGCGCAAAAACAGTTGTTGTGGTCATCCTAACCTCTCTGGCGGAACACCACCTGGTGACGCAGGTCACCGTTTTGGTGACGGACCGTCGCCGGGTTTGTATGGGTACCCGCTTCGGTGAGATTGGATATAGAACGACCACCAAAACAGCGAATCTTTTTTTACTGTGTAATCATCAACTTAGCGAAAGATACAGAAAATTCTTCGATGCACAAGGTAGGGATATGCGAATCAAGGATTTTCATTTCGGATCGAAACTTTAAAAAAGTTCCGAATCGAACTTGAATCGAATCTGAAAAAAGTTGTCAAGCCGAATCGAATCTAACTTTTAAAGATTCAGAATCGAATCGAATTCGAACTGAAACTAAAAAAGATAGTGCATTTCAAAACACATTTTCTGCAATAAAGGGAGAGCATAGAGCAGGAATACAAAAAGAAGAAAACTCAAATATCTGATCTTGCATTGGTATAAAAACAACGCCATGAACGTGATTTTCAACCGTTCCCGAGCAACAGATTCGAAGCCGAACCGCTGTCGATTCGAAATTTCGAATATTCTGGGTTGAAGCAAAGAGATCCGTCCCCGAATCGAATCACCCCTAATTCGATTCGATATCGAACTATTCACACATCCCTTGCACAAGGCATGTCTGGTCTGAGATCTTTAATGCATGCGCCCGCCCGCTTAAAAACATAAGAAGCCCCAAAACGGTCATTTTCCATTTGCTGCTTTTCTAAAATATTATAACATTGTTGTGGCCGTCAGTCTAAACTAGATGATTCTGGAGAGGTGAGACGTGACTGTCTGAACGGAAAGGGGGCGATACTTGATACTTAGACGTATCACCGCAGAGAGTGCGATACTTCGTTGTGCAACCGAAAAAAAGGGTGATACTTTTGTGTATCCCCGTTAAAAAGTGTTATTTCGCCCAAAGGCCAGTCTTGCCTCTCTGCTGACCCCTTTTCGGTGATACAATTGTTTACGACCCTGTGGTGATTCACTGTTATTCAAAGAATGTGACGTCACATTCGTTAGAATGTGAACTTTGTCACGTTCGTTTGAGTACGATGTCACATTCGTTTGAACGTGACACGGCCATTTTGCGGCCATCTGATGCGGGGGTCACATTCGTTCAGTCGTGGATCAACACTCAAACGAATGACATCACATTCAAAACGAACGTGACAAAATTCACATTCTAACGAATGTGATGTGATGTCACATTCGTTGAATAACAGTGTACTCGGTGAGATTGGTGATACTTGGTGAGAGACGCAGTGAATTTCAGAGACGAGCGTAGTGCGGGCTATTTGCATCCCACATTCTGAAACATTACCACAGCCAATGCGACGGGAAATTTTCAGGCAAGTTTAAAAGACTTTTGGTGTTTATTTATTTTTCTGCTTTTTTGACACACTTTCTTTGTGTTTGCAGGCATTATTTGCTGCAATGAGGACACAGCAAACAGGAGGAGCACGCTGGAGAGAAGTTTGGTCAAGCAACAAGCAGCTAGCATGCAGTGAAGTGTAGTGTAGCAGCAGAGACAGCTCAACATAAGTTCAAGACCAAAGCATGCAGCAATCTCGTTCAAGTTGAACCTCAAAGCAAGAAATTTCTCTAAAATATTAAATGTAATATTAATTTTGCATGGATCTTGGTTTTCTCATTCTAACAAATTATTTTGTTCAATTTTGAAATAATAACATATTTATTGAATTATTGTGCTTAATTTCAAAACATTCCTCGTCACCATAATGTGGCACATGCTGAAAATGGCACAGACATTGTGTACAGATAATCTACATGGATTACTGCGGTTAATACAGAAAATGGCACGGACAGCGAATACAGATAATTTATACGAATTACTGTTAGCTGAGGAATATTAGGCTGGACCATTTCGTTGCAAAGCCAACCGTTTATTATACAAAGATTGTAGAATTTCTTATATGCAAACCAGTACGGTTTAACTGTATTCTTTCCGTACCTG